AAGCCCTCACGGCTTCCCCCAAAGCATTCTGGGAGCTGTAGTTTGTTATGGGTGCTGAGAGTCGTTAGGAGACCCCTGTTCCCCTCACAGAGCTACAGTTCCTGGAGGTCCCTCTGTGAAGAGCGGTTGGTTGTTAGACCGCTCTGGGAATAGTAGCACTGTGACGGGGAACATGCATCCATGGCGGGGGGAAAGAGTTGTTGCAAAACGAGAGCCAGTGTGGTGCAGTGGTCAGAGTGTCAGACTAGGACCTCGGTGTTAAAGGTAAAGGGACCCCTGACCATTAGGTCCAGTCGTGACTGACTCTGGCGCTCATCTCGCTTTACTGGCCAGGGAGCCGGCGTACAGCTTCAGGGTCATGTGGCCAGCAGGACTAAGCTGCTTCTGGCGAACCAGAGCAGCGCACGGAAATGCCGTTTACCTTCCCGCCAGAGCGATACCTCTTTATCTACTTGCACTTTGATGTGCTTTTGAACTGCTAGCTTGGCAGGAGCTGGGGCCGAACAACGGGAGATCACCCCGTTGCGGGGATTTGAACCGCTGACCTTCTGATCGGCAAGTCCTAGGCTCTGTGGTTTAACCCACAGCGCCACCCGCGTCCCTCGGAGGACCAGAGTTCAAATCCCTGCTCAGCCATGAAGCTCACTGGGTGACCTTGGGCCAGTCACAATCTCTCACCCTAGCCTACCTCACAGGGCTGTTGAGGGGATAAAATGGGGATGGGGGCAGAACTGTGCCTGGGGTATAAACACAACAAATAAATAAATAAATTTCATAGCTGTTGATGGAGCTTAGTAGCCCAAGGAGGTGGGGGCAGGGGGATGAAAAGTTTTTCGACTGTGACATCACGTCGATATCATTTGTGGAGTCCTGTATCTTCGCCCAGGGATGCTCGAAAGATTTTGTAAAGCAACACCAACCTGATTTGCACAAATTTTTAAATTTGAATTTTTGCATGGTTTTTATTGTATGTATGGTTGCTGTAAACCACTCTGATTTTGTTTTTGTTTCATTTTTATAAAAACCAATATGAGTAGTGGTATACAAATTTTTTTAGATTGGGATGCAGCTCTCCTGAGGTTTTAAAAACGGTTGAGATTCAGTTTTTGGCACGCCAAAAATACTGTATTTTTTGCTCTATAAGACTCACTTTTTTCCTCCTAAAAAGTAAGGGGAAATGTGTGTGCGTCTTATGGAGCGAATGCAGGCTGCACAGCTATCCCAGAAGCCAGAACAGCAAGAGGGATCGCTGCTTTCGCTGTGCAGCGCTCCCTCTTGCTGTTCTGGCATCTGGGATTCAGAATATTTTTTTCTTGTTTTCCTCCTCCAAAAACTGGGTGCGTCTTGTGGTCTGGTGCGTCTTATAGAGCAAAAAATATGGTATTTCTTAATGATAAAATGCGTTCAGAAATACGTACTCAGGGCTGTCTTTAGCAGATGCAGTGCCAGGGTGCAAAATCCGCCCAGCGCCCCCAAATTACCACGGGCAGTGTTGGGGTGGCCATAGCTGCGCACTGCCAGCCATGGGGGGGGGGCCCACAACTCTCCCCCATGCCGCTGCAGGAGAGTGATCCTAGCAGAGGCTTGGGAGGGAAGCTGCACACTTGCCAGCCTTATGGTTGGCGGGGCGCAGCTGACAGGGGTTCAGGGAAAGGGTGAGGCCTTCGGCAAAGCCGCGCAGCTCCCCCACTTGCTGGGGCGCCCCTGAGAGGCCGGCGCCGCGGCGCAACGCACCACTAACCCCTATGGGAAAGACGGCTCTGTACGTATTTTTAAGACGCATCTTTTTCAGAAAAAGAAATCACAAGTGGATAGGGAAACAGATGGAATAGACTTATGAATGAACACACAGAAAACTGATACGGTCTGGAAATAGACTGACCCATCCACCCCTATTCTATTCTAGTCATTCCTTCCCTCCGTTCCCTCCTTCTGCTTTTTTCTGTGTTGGAGAAATCCCCCCCCCCCCTTCTCGAGACGGAGCATTTTGTCATAGCAGCCCTCCACCCACAGATTGCAGCGGTGTAACTGAGACACAGTCTTCTTCTTTTCTCACTGCCTCCCTGAGAGCCAGGCCAAGGAAACTACAGAAGCCTGTTTGTAGAAAGAAGATGAAGAAGTGAGGCAGGGTTTCGTTTTAAAAACAAAACAAAAAACCCACCCGATGTTACTGCGCAAAAATTGTTTACAGCAGGAGGCAGGTGTTTGGGACGTGAAACAGGAAGACGGCGAGGGGTGAGGAATAATAGGATCCAAGCGCATAACAGTTGTCAAAATCCAAATGTGTAGGATAAGGGTTGCCAGACCCCCAAATTTCCAGGTTTGCCTGCCCCTCTCCAGGTGGCAGGCGGAGGGCAGGAATCACCAGGTGAGCAAGAGTGGCGTTAAATGTATTTATTTTTTTATTATGAAGACTAAGTGCACAGCTTGCAAGCGACTGCAAATTACTGCATAGACTCTCCAGGTGGATTAGGGCGGTGATCCGGCCTTCCTCAGCTCGCTCCAACCCTTCTCCCAATTAACCTCCGTCTCCAGGAATAAGTGGTGGGAGGGAGCACAAAGGAAGAATCACCAGGGCCCACCCCCATGACATCAGCGGGGCCATCACTAAGTTTCAGGTTTGGGCCCTGAAATTGCAGGATCTGGGATGCTCCTGACCAATGTTAGAAACTCAGATATATGAGCTAATCGCCAAACAGCACCTTAAACCTAGGTTACAGTTGCCACAACGGAATGTCTAGGCACCATTTTTTTTTACACTGAAATTAATATTAAATAAAAATATATATAAATAAATAATACACTGGTTTATATTTCAAAGGGGAAAAATATCCACGTGGTTTAAAACACATTAAAACATCCAATAAAACAACCTAGAATAAAACAAATTCAAGCTTCAAGGAAAATATTTCAGATCCTTCTGTAAGTGACATTTTGCTTTCCCCATACAGTGGAACCTCAGAAACTGAACGCCTGTAGAATCAAATGTTTTGACTCCTGAACGATTGAAAACCAGAAGTGATTGTTCTGGTTTTCGAATGATTTTCGGAAGCCGAACGTCCGGCGTGGCTTCCGATTGGCTGCAGGACGCTCCTGCAGCCAATTGGAAGCCGCACCTTGGAAGTCGAACGTTTTAGAAGTCGAATGGACTTCCGGAACGGATTCCATTTGACTTCCAAGGTACATCTGTGTTTATTCAGTTACCTACTTAATTTATAGAGCTGCCCCATAGCAGATGTACTCTAGGAAGCCATGTGGTATAGTGGTTAGAGTGTCAGACTAGGACCTGGGGGAGCAGGGTTCAAATCCTCACTCAGTCCTGAAGCTCACTGGGTGATCTTAGGCCAGTCAGCCTCTGAACCTCCCTCACAGGGCCGTTGTAGGGATTAACTGAGGAGGTGGGGGGTGAACCTTGTACTCCTTGGAGAAGAAGGTGGGAGATAAAAGCAATAAATAAACTCTCCTGCTTGCCTGCTGAAAAATGCTGGAGGGGCCAGCTAGACGGAGATGCTCATCGCAAACATAGCATCCAGAGATCTCCATGGGGTCACAGTTGGACCTGTGCCAGTTGCAAAACGCACATGGCACATGGGGAATTTCTAACGCTGCTCCTGGCCTAGCAGCCCTTAGGTAGGAGCATTCTGTGAACAGGAGGGTTCCCCATCAAACGTGAGAAGGTGCCGTCTCTTCTACACCCACGTCTTTAGGAAGCTTCTCGGCAGGGCATTCCGCAACCGGGGAATGTTGTACAGTGGTACCTCGGGTTACAGATGCTTCAGGTTACAGACGCTTCAGGTTACAGACTCCGCTAACCCAGAAATAGTACCTCGGGTTAAGAACTTTGCTTCAGGATGAGAACAGAAATCGTGCTCCGGCGGCAGCGGGAGGCCCCATTAGCTAAAGTGGTACCTCAGATTAAGAACAGTTTCAGGTTAAGAATGGACCTCCGGAATGAATTGAGTTCTTAACCCGAGGTACCACTGTACATGGGACTGTGTTTAAAAACAACCTGGAAACTGCAGTTTGGTTCAAAACACAGCCGCAAGCCCATTAGCAGGGACTTGCCCTTTCATTCCTATAACTGCAGCCCTTGTAACCAGCTCCCAGTTGGTTTCCGGGCTCAGTGTAAAATGCTGGTTTTCACCTATAGAGCCTTAAATAGCTTAGGAGCTAACCAATTGTGTCTTAGATGACCTCAAGGCCATTTTTAGATGCCCTGCTCTGAGTGCTCCCACCAAGTGACGGAGAGGGTCTTATTGCTGGTGTGTCCATTCTTATGGAATAGCTGCCCCAGAGAGGCTCACCTGGAACGTTCCTTATGATCCTTTCAGTACCACACAAAGACAATTTTATTTGACCAGACATTTGAACAAGCCTGTGTTTTGAAACAAGTTCTAGGCTTGTGCCTTTCAAAGAAACCTGATTCTCTAATGTAGTTTTGAGCTGAATTGCCATGCGTCTTTATTCTGTTTCCATTGGGAAAAGAGTTTTATCTTGTTTTTCTTCTTCAAATAGTTTTTCTTGCTGTAATTGCTGTATTTTTAAAATACAGTGGTACCTCGGGTTACATACGCTTCAGGTTACATACGCTTCAGGTTACAGACTCCGCTAATCCAGAAATATTACCTCAGGTTAAGAACTTTGCTACAGGATGAGAACAGAACTCGTGCTCCTGCGGCACGGCAGCACCGGGAGGCCCCATTAGCTAAAGTGGTGCTTCAGGTTAAGAACAGTTTCAGGTTAAGAACAGACATCCGGAACGAATTAAATACGTAACCAGAGGTACCACTGTATACCTGTGTTTCTGACACTGCTCCCAAAGCATCCTGGGAACTGTAGTTTGTTAAAGGGTGCTGGGAGTTGTTAAGGATCCCTGTTTAAGTACTTAACCCAAGGTACCACTGTATGGGATGGAGTATTTTACAATTTTTTTTTGAGGGGCGGCCATATAAATATAAATAATAAATAATAACGGAGATCTCGTTCTTGTTGGTTTCCAGGTGGCTATGGCACTGCTGGGGAAGCTGTCTGAGGGGCTTCCAAAGAACTCCAGGTCTGACCAGTGGCACTTAGTCTTCTCTCAAAAAGATGAAGTCATCACCAGCTTAGTATCTGCCTTAGATTCTATGGTAAGCTTCTTCCTCTGCCTCTTCTCTGCACCAAACCGTACGACGTTAAAAAAACATTAAAGTGTGAATTCTTTGTGAAGGGGCTAACAGAGATCTTGGTGAGGGCCAAACCACGCATTATATGCAAATTTTAATGTGGTGGGAAGGTGTGTATGTGCTCAAGACAAGACTTATGGAAGTCCCCTCTGGTATCTTGTTTCCTGAGGCACCGCTGCTCTGCTGCTTTTGCGATGGTCACTCACTCCACAGAGCAGGCATCCCCAAACATTTTGAGACTACAACTCCCATCATTCCTAGCTAACAGGACCGGTGGTCAGGGATGATGGGCATTGTAGTCCCAAATCATCTGGAGAGCCGAGTTTGGGGATGCCTGCCACAAAGTGACGAGGTGCTAGAACTCAGCGACATGTTATAATATGCAGGACGGATTTTTAAAAATACTTCTTCACACTAGCCCATAGTTAGATTGGTGATTGTTCTTCTTTTAAAGCACCCGAGTTGGTGCCAAACAAATTCTTGGAGGAGGCAGCCAGGGGCTTTTTGGCTATGGTTACAGGGAACCAGACAGAGGGCCTTCTCGGTAGTGGCGCCCACCCTGTGGAACGCCCTCCCTTCAGATGTGAAAGAAATAAGCAGCTATCTTATTTTTAAAAGACATCTGAAGGCAGCCCTGTTTAGGGAAGTTTTTAATATTTAATGCTGTACAGTGGTACCTTGGGTTACATACGCTTCAGGTTACAGATTCAGATACGCTTCAGGTTACAGATTCAGATACGCTTCAAGTTACATACGCTTCAGGTTACAGATTCCGCTAACCCAGAAATAGTGCTTCAGGTTAAGAAATTTGCTTCAGGATGAGAACAAAAATCGTGCTCCGGTGGCACGGCAGCAGCAGGAGGCCCCATTAGCTAAAGTGGTGCTTCAGGTTAAGTACAGACCTCCGGAACGAATTAAGTACTTAACCCGAAGTACTACTGTATTGTTTTTAACACTCGATTGGGAGCCGCCTAGAGTGGCTGGGGAAACTCAGCCAGATGGGCGGGATATAAATAATAAAGCAGCGATGCTTCTGAATACCAGTTGATACCAGTTGATGGAAACCGCAGGCGGGGAGAGGGCTCATGTGTTCGAATCCTGCTTTCGGGTTTCCCACAGGCATCTGGTTGGCCGCAGTGAGAAGAGGCTGCTGGACTAGATGGGCCATTGTCCTGACCCAACAGGCTCGTATTAAGTTTTTATGTCACAAAAAAATGCCCATTTCATTGCGCAATGATAATAAGATTCTAATACATAAAGTAAGTCGAATTGAGGTGGAGGGAAGTCACACAGGTGTACCCTTATGTTCATTTCTTTTTTATTATTTCACTTTTTCTGTATATTTTCATTTTTAAGTTTGGTTAACATATACTTAGGACGCGGGTGGCGCTGTGGGTTAAACCACAGAGCCTAGGACTTGCCGATCAGAATGTCGGCGGTTCGAATCCCCGCGACGGGGTGAGTTCCCGTTGCTCGGTCCCTTCTCCTGCCAACCTAGCAGTTTGAAAGCATGAAGTGCAAGTAGATAAATAGGTACCACTCCAGTGGGAAGGTAAACAGCATTTCCGTGCGCTGCTCTGGTTCTCCAGAAGCGGCTTAGTCATGCTGGCCACATGACCCGGAAGCTGTATGCCGGCTCCCTCGGCCAATAAAGCGAGATGAGCGCCGCAACCTCAGAGTCGGCCACGACTGGACCTAATGGTCAGGGGTCCCTTTACCTTTACCTTCAACATATACTTATGTATAAGGTAGTTTAAGAGTTGTGAAATTGTTTATTTTTTCTTTTATCCTTTTTCATGACTATTTTTTTTAAAAAAAAATTTTTTTGATGCCCGTTTCCTCTTGCTCACTCTTTGCTGAGCTGCTGTGATGTGACTGGGGGGGAAGGATCAGTCCTGGAATGTTTCCTAGGGACAGGGAAGAAGACTATGAGCTGTGCTTGGGAACATGTCAGAGAGTGGACACGGCACTCCTGTTGCCTTATGCTGATATTACGGACAAACAGCTTCAGGGATTTGGGCTCTGAAGTGAAAACCGCTTCCTCGCATCCACAGCCAGAAGGGTTTTGAAGTCAGAATCTTTAAGAACACATATTGAGGTTTCTATTAACCTTTATGCTGGAATCTGCTGTTTGATCGTCCCTTGTGTGTTGCAAACTCCTGGGTGAGGTTTTCCACAACAAGACAGTGATGGCTTTTATCTCTGTGACAAAAGAAAATAATTTGCATGAATTTCTGCAAAAAAAGAAGAAGTCTTCTCCCCCTCTCTGCTTTTTGATGGATTAAAATAAAATGAATCCCATGATGAATCTTACATAAGTTTATTTTTTTCCTTATACAAGATGTGTGTGCCTGGCTACATCTCTGCATCAAAAGTGATCTTATTTTAACTACGAAAGAGATCAGACAGGGAACAGTTTTGTGTGTGTGTGTGTGTGTGTTTATTCACACACACATATTTTCAAAATGCTATAAATAAAGAGAGAAGCTCTTTAAATAAAAGCCCTGTTCAGGGGGACACATTTAGACTACACATGCTTGAAACCGATTAAGCTGAAATGGATTCCCCATACGCTGTTCTCACCCCCTGAAACTGTAGCTGCGTGAGAATTCTGCGATGGATCCGTAGGTTTGTAAGTCACGTGGGGCAGAGACCTCTTCCGTTGTGCTTCGTAATGCACATAAAAAAATTATGTGTGTGTACATGCTTAAAATTTATACGCCATTTGGTTGTAAAAAAAAACCCAAACAAACTCAAAGTGGTTTACAAATAAGATAAAACAATGAAATTATTGAGGAAAACAATTAACAAGAGTTGAAAACATTCAAAAAATAAAAGCCAGCAATAGACTAAAAACATTGAAGCATGCATCAATGGTCCATCAACAGACTACATATCTGGGCAGGCTTGCCCAGGAGAAAATGTTTTTAGTGGGCACCGAAAAGAGTACAGTGAAGGCACCTGCCTTCAAGAGGCAGGGAGTTCCGTAGTGTAGGTGGTGCCACACTAAAAGATTGAGTTTTTGCAAATGCAGAATGGGTATTATGGGGCATTTGTAACAGTGCCGGTTCTGCAAATCGAAGCAGTCAAGTGGGTCTGTATTGGGTAAGCTGATCTTGCAGGCAAACTGGTTCCAAGATGCTCAGCATTTTGTATACTGATAGTAACACTTTGAACTTGACTTGTTAGCAAATTGGGAAACAGTGTAGGTCTCTGTGCAGCAGAGTTATATGCTGACAGGACCTCGCTCCCGTCAGAAATCGTGCTGCAGCATTCTGCACCAACCGCTACTTCCAGAAACTAATTGGCAGCTGCACTCAGGCCAGAATTGGTGTTAGGTCATACCTGCAACCAGTAAATCTCCTGCGTAGAATGCTTTTGCAGCAGTCCAGAAGAAGATTTCCTGGTACTGGTATGGCAATCTCTTAAAATATTCTCACATGCTGTTTTATTACACTCACATTGCTAAGCCGCCTCGGAGGTCCTCTTGTGTCAGAAAGACAAGACAGAAACATGTAGACTAAATCATGATTAAATTCAAACCACCCTGGTTCTCTCTTCTCTTTCTTTCCCAGTGTTCAGCACTTTCTAAACTCAACGCTGAGGTTGCCTGTATCGCGGTCCACGATGAAAACACCTTTGTCGTCGGGACGGAAAAAGGGAGGATCTTCATGAACACGAGGAAGGAGGTCCAAGCGGATTTCAAGAAGTTCTGCAGTAAGTATTGGGTTGCCCTGCGTCTGGCAAGGATGGGGCGAGGTCCGATCCTGCTGCCTCCACACCTTAAGCTTGGGTAGAACTGGATAGGATGGTTGCAGAGCCATATTTCCTCAGTCTTGGGCCTGCCCCAATCTTGTAGAATTGAGGTTGGTTGAATCCCGACAAGATAGAAGTACTGTTCTTGGGGGACAGGGAGCGGGCTGGTGTAGAGGACTCCCTGGTCCTGAATGGGGTAACTGCCCCTGAAGGAACAGATGCGCAGCCTGGAAGTCATTTTGGACTCACAGCTGTCCATGGAGGTGCAGGTCAATTCTGTGTCCAGGGCAGCTGTCTACCAGCTCCATCTGGTATGCAGGCTGAGACCCTACCGGCCCGCGGACTGTCTCACCAGAGTGGTGCATGCTCTAGTTATCTCCAGCTTGGACTACTGCAATGCTCTTTACGTGGGGCTACCTTTGAAGGTGACTCGGAAACTGAAATTAATCCAGAATGTGGCAGCTAGACTGGTGAGTGGGAGTGGCTGCCGAGACCACATAACACCGGTCCTGAAAGACCTCCATTGGCTCCCAGTACATTTCTGAGCACGATTCAAAGTGTTGGTGCTCACCTTTAAAGTCCTAAAGGCCCAGTACACCTGAAGGAGCATCTCCACCCCCATCGTTCAGCCCGGACACTGAGATCCAGCTCTGAGGGCCTTCTGGTGGTTCCCTCCCTGCAAGAAGTGAGGTTACAGGGAACCAGGCAGAGGGCCTTCTCAGTGGTGGCACCCGCCCTGTGGAATGCCCTCCCACCAGATGTCAAGGCAATAAGCAACTATCTTACTTTTAAAATACATCTGAAGGCAGCCCTGTTTAGGGAAGTTTTTAATGTTTAATGCTGCGTTGTGTTTTTAATATTCGGTTGGGAGGCACCCAGAGTGGCTGGGGAAACCCAGCCAGATGGGCGGGGTATAAATAATAAGTTGTTGTTGTTGTTGTTGTTGAAGAGGGGCAGGCAGATGTAAAGCTTTCAGGACACATTTGTTCCTACTATGGCATATAAACGTACAAAGGGTCCCTGCTGGATCCGGCCAGTGGACCATCTAGTCCAGCACCCTGTTCTCACAGTGGCTGGCCAGACTCCCCCAAGAAGCCTGTTAGTAGAAACTGAGTGTGTTTCAGCTGTCATTCAGTGTTAGAACTTCAGCTTTTCATGCAAGTTGCAATTCTCAGCATCTCCAGGTAGGGCTGGGAATATCCTGGAGAATGAAAGAGCTTTTATGCTAGCTCATCTTAAATGCATTCCCCCCCCCCCATGTCTGTATTGTTTGGAAGGTTTCAGAAAATCCCCTTCCAGAACAGATTCAGTTCCTGTAATAAGAAAACACCAGATACAACACGTCACATAATTATGGATTGCCCTCTTCTTGACACCCGTCGCACAGATCTCCTAGTTGACTCCCTTACAGTGAAAAATATCGATTTGCAAAGTGTCTGTAATCCAAAATTTGTTGAGGGATGATACTCCCGAAACTACCAAGATTGTTTCGGGTACTTAGCTGAGATCTTTAAAGCTAAATCTAAAGTTGCCTGATTTATTCAATGGTGGTTATCTAGTCTTTTATATATGGTATGTGTTTGGATGACTTTGTATGATTTTATGATTTTATTGTTTTAACTTAGGCCAATAAAGGCTAGTTACAAGAATGAAGACAAGAAAGATGATGGCTTTGAGATTTTTGTGAATTTTACTTTAATTATACACACACACACACCATATATATATATATATATATATATATATATATATATACACACACACACACACACACACACACACATACACACGCTTCCAATCCCCCTTCGTGGGGCAATGCTATGATTTACCCCAGTGGGCCAGCCTCCGCTGTGTATGACTGAGCCACCACTCAGTTGTGATGGGATTACAGAATCCTGGCATTGTAAGAGTTAGAAGGGACCCCGAGGGTCATCTAGTCCAACCCCTTACCATGCAGGAATCTTTTGCCCAAAGTGAGGCTCAAACCCACAACCCTTAGATTAAGAGCCTCACACTTTACTGACTGAGCTCTGCATGGGTTTGATTTGCAGGATGCTCAGAGGGCAGGCAGGCAGGCAGGCAGGCAGGCAGGCTCTTCCGAGTTGGGCTTTTTCTGCGGGACAAAGTGGCTTAAAGCCTTGTAAACAAAAAACACATGTTTGCTTAGTTATAATCCCGAGGTTTCTGATGTGCTAGGAAAACCAGGCGGGGGCCTGCGTGCTCCATGCTGGCAGAGAGTTTATGCTTAATCCCCTCAGTGGGACTGCTCAAGAACAGTTCATTCTCCGGCAAATATTAGCCTTGCTAGGCTGTCAAGGTCAACGCTGGCTTGGATTATGTGCCGAGTCTGCACCAGCTGCGAATTTCGCCCGGAGTCTAATCCATTTCTGAGCTTTCAGCATTAGCAAAGACTGTGGCCTTTTGCTTTGCTCCTGGTATGTGTTTCACACGGCCAGAAGTGGAGCAAAGAGGCTGGAATTTGAGGGGCAGTTTGATTCTTAAACCATGGGTTTAAGAAATAAAATTTAAGAAAATCTTTCCTTTAAAAATCTCTGCCTGATCTTCCCTTTTGCTTTTTGGCCATATTCCTCTGCCCTTTCCTTAGGGAAGGGACTGGGCCAGGGGCTCGCTGGATGAGGAAGAGTGGGGGGCATAGCTGTCAATGTTTCCATTTTTTTGCAAGGAATCCTATTCGGAATAAGGGAATTTCCCTTAAAAAAGGGGAAACGTTGACAGCTATGGTGGTGGGAGCCCCCCGCCCAAGAGCCCCCCAGGGACGAGACAGAAGACGACAATTTAGATCCCAGATCTTGCTGAACAATTGGCAGGACAGCCCAGAGGAGGAGCCCTCTCCCTTGACACAGCCTTTATGTGCTTGGGAGGGATTCAGAGGGCGAGGCTAGAGGGGAAAGTGTGGGGCTAGTGGTCAGTTTCAGCAACATCTCAGACCAACTGAAGGACTCTACTGTGTTGTCGTTTTCTGTTAATAAAAAAGTTAATTGCATTCCATGCCTCCCGTGCTTCCCTGCCCTGTGGTTGACCTAGAATCATAGAATCATAGAGTTGGAAGAGACCACAAGGGCCATCGAGTCCAACCCCCTGCCAAGCAGGAAACACCATCAGAGCACTCCTGACATATGGTTGTCAAGCCTCTGCTTAAAGACCTCCAAAGAAGGAGACTCCACCACACTCCTTGGCAGCAAATTCCACTGTCGAACAGCTCTTACTGTCAGGAAGTTCTTCCTAATGTTTAGGTGGAATCTTCTTTCTTGTAGTTTGGATCCATTGCTCCGTGTCCGCTTCTCTGGAGCAGCAGAAAACAGCCTTTCTCCCTCCTCTATGTGACATCCTTTTATATATTTGTACATGGCTATCATATCACCCCTTAACCTCCTCTTCTCCAGGCTAAACATGCCCAGCTCCCTTAGCCGTTCCTCATAAGGCATCGTTTCCAGGCCTTTGACCATTTTGGTTGCCCTCCTCTGGACACGTTCGAGTTTGTCAGTGTCCTTCTTGAACTGTGGTGCCCAGAACTGGACACAGTACTCCAGGTGAGGTCTGACCAGAGCAGAATACAGTGGCACTATTACTTCCCTTGATCTAGATGCTATACTCCTATTGATGAGGCCCAGAATTGCATTGGCTTTTTTAGCTGCCGCGTCACATTGTTGGCTCATGTCAAGTTTGTGGTCAACCAAGACTCCTAGATCCTTTTCACATGTACTGCTCTCAAGCCAGGTGTCCCCCATCTTGTATTTGTGCCTCTCATTTTTTTTGCCCAAGTGCAATACTTTACATTTCTCCCTGTTAAAATTCATCTTGTTTGTTTTGGCCCAGTTCTCTAATCTGTCAAGGTCGTTTTGAAGTGTGATCCTGTCCTCTGGGGTGTTAGTCACCCCTCCCAGTTTGGTGTCATCTGCAAATTTGATCAGGATGCCCTTGAGTCCATCATCCAAGTCGTTGATAAAGATGTTGAATAAGACCGGGCCCAAGACAGAACCCTGTGGCACCCCACTAGTCACTCTTCTCCAGGATGAAGAGGAACCATTGATGAACACCCTTTGGGTTCGGTCAGTCAGCCAGTTACAAATCCACTGAGTGGTAGCATAGTCAAGACCGCATTTTACCAGCTTCTTTACAAGAATATCATGGGGCACCTTGTCAAATGCCTTGCTGAAATCAAGGTAGACTACATCCACTGCGTTCCCTTCATCTACCAGGCTTGTAATTCTGTCAAAAAACGAGATCAGGTTAGTCTGACATGACTTATTTTTCAGAAATCCATGCTGACTATTGGTGATCACAGCATTCCTTTCTAGGTGCTCACAGACTGTTTGCTTAATGATCTGCTCCAGAATCTTCCCTGGTATTGATGTCAGACTGACTGGGCGGTAATTATTTGGGTCCTCTCTTTTCCCCTTTTTGAAAATAGGGACAACATTTGCCCTCCTCCAGTCTGCCGGGACTTCGCCTGTTCTCCAGGAATTCTCAAAGATGACTGCCAGTGGTTCTGAAATCACATCTGCCAGTTCTTTTAATACTCTTGGATGCAGTTCATCTGGCCCTGGAGACTTGAATACATCTAGACTAGCCAAGTATTCTTGTACTATCTCCTTAGTTATTCTGGGTTGTGTTTCCTCTGCTGAATCATTTGCTCCAAATTCTTCAGGTCGGGCATTGTTTTCTTTATCGGAGAAGACTGAGGCAAAGAAAGCATTGAGGAGTTCAGCCCTTTCTGTGTCCCCTGTTTGCATTTCACCATCTTCTCCTCTGAGTGACCCCACGGTTTCTTTGTTCTTCCTTTTGCTACGAACATACCCATAAAAGCCTTTTTTGTTGCTTTTAACCTCTCTAGCAAGCCTGAGTTCATTTTGTGCTTTAGCTTTTCTGACTTTGTGTCTACACGTGCTGGCTATTTGTTTGAATTCCTCTTTGGTGGTTTCCCCCCTTTTCCATTTTTTGTACACATCCTTTTTTAATCTTAACTCAGTTAAAAGTTCTTTAGATAGCCACCCTGGCTTCTTTAGGCACCTTCCATGTTTCCGTCTCATTGGTATTGCCTGAAGTTGTGCTTTTACTATCTCCCTCTTAACAAACTCCCAGCCATCTTGAACTCCCTTTCCTTTTAGTATTACTGTCCATGGGATCTCACCCAGCACTTCCCTAAGCTTTATGAAGTCGGCTTTCTTAAAGTCGAGAAATTGAGTCCTAGTATGCTTGGCTGCTCCTTTCCGCTGTATAGTAAACTTCAGAAGAGCATGATCACTCGCGCCTAATGATCCTTCCACTTCTACCCCACTAACCAGGTCATCAACATTGGTTAGGACCAGATCTAAAATGGCTGTTCCTCTTGTTGCTTCTCCCACTTTCTGGACAATGAAGTTGTCTGCAAGGGCAGTGAGGAATCTGTTTGACCTTATGCTCTTGGCTGAGTTTGACATCCAACAAATATCAGGGTAATTGAAGTCCCCCATTACTACTATCTCCCTTCCTTTTGCATGCTTGGCCATCTGTTCCAGGAAGGCATCATCTATGTCCTCCGTTTGGCTTGGGGATCTATAGTAAACTCCCACAATGAGGTCACTGTTATTCTTCTCTCCCTTAATTTTCACCCAAATGCTCTCACTTTGGCTTTGAGGTTCTAAATCTTGGATCTCTTCACAGGTATACACATCCCTGACATATAACGCCACTCCTCCTCCTTTCTTGTCTGGTCTGTTTCTTTGAAATAGATTGTATCCCTCCATTATTACATTCCAATCGTGGGATTTATCCCACCAGGTTTCAGTGATTCCTATTATGTCATATTTAGTTTGCTGTACCAGGAGCTCAAGCTCATCTTGTTTATTTCCCATGCTTTGCGCATTAGTGTACAGACATTGAAGTCCATTAATCATTCCCCCGTGTCTCTTATTTAAGGATTTTTTCCTCCCACCACTAGGTCTGCATGCTCTTTGCTCCATTCGGTCTATGACATTTGGATGATCATCTTCATCAATTGATAGACTCCTACCTTCAGGAGCACTGTCTCCCTCCCCCACATTAGTCAGTTTAAAGCCCTCCTGATGAGGTTTCTGAGATTTTTTGCAAAAACATTCCTCCCAACCGTTGTGAGGTGCAGCCCATCGCTTGCCAGAAGTCCATCTTCAAGAAACTGCATTCCGTGATCTAAGAATCCAAACCGTTCCTGTTTACACCATTTGCGAAGCCAGTTGTTCACTTCCACTATTTTTCCCTCTCTCCCTGGGCCACGTCGTTCAACTGGGAGGACAGATGAGATGACAATTTGTGCATTTAATTGCTTCAATTTCCTGCCCAGAGCCTCGTAATCTCTTTTGATCTTCTGGAGGCTATTGCTTGCAGTGTCATTGGTTCCCACATGAACCAAGAGGAAGGGGTATTTGGTCAGTGGGTTTTATGATTCCTTGCAGTCGTTCAGTTACATCTTGGATCTTAGCCCCGGGGAGACAGCACACTTCCCGAGACATCTTGTCAGGCCCACAGATCACTGCTTCTGTTCCCCTCAGTAGGGAATCCCCTATCACCACCACACGCCTCCTCTTAGGTCTGGTCGGGGTTCTTCTGTGAGCTGTCCGTTCCAAGGTCGCCTGGACATTCCCTGAGGACTGCCTTTGCTGCTCGTCTTCATATACCTGATCGACTGTAATGAGGGAGAGATCCTCAAATGGAGTCTGCTCTTCATCTTCCATAGTAGGGGAAAGGACCTCAAAGCGATTGCGTATTTCTAAACAATCAGAGCGAACCCTGGGCCTCCTACTTCTTTGAGTCACGTTTCTCCATATATCTGGCTCCTGTGTTGGTGAACTAGCCATCTTCTCAGGGGAGTCCCCTGTCTCTTCCTTGGTGGAGACGGTGTGCTCTGTTGCTTCCAAGAAGAGTTCCAGGTCTCTAATTCTTTGGAGCGTAGCTACACGTTCCTCCAGTTGCTGGACTTTGTCTTTTAAGAGGGCAATCAACATGCAATTGCTGCAGGTAAAGCTGCCTGCAACCTTTGGCAAGATGGCAAACATTGCGCAGGAACCACAGGCGACTGCAGCTGTTCCCTCACCCTCCATCTTGAGAACGTGTCGTTGGGGGTGACTACAGTGGTCCTCTATCATAAAAAGGTCGTTATATGTATTATATGAAATACTGTAGGAAGAACCTTGTAAATCACCTTGAGCTCCTTGGAGGAAAGGTGGCCAACAAATGTAATTAATGCATCACTGTCATCACTACAATTTGAGAGCCCTTAGGCTAGATGTCCAAGAACCCACCAGTGACTACTGGTTTTTGTTTTTATAAGACCTCAACACACGCTCAGAAGCACTCTCCTATGTCACTTCCTCGTATTTCTGGGGACAACCGCTGCTTAGGTGCCGCCGGGCCTTTTACTCACCCGGGGAGCCCCTGCTTCCCTAGGCGGCGCGGGGAGACCCCCTTCAGGAACTCCAGCCTGGGAGCAAAACCCCGCACGGAAAACACGGCCGAGCCGCCGAGCCCACATGCCTTCCTCTGACCTGGGCAACGCTTGACAGTTCCTTGATAGACTGTGGCTCAACAGTTCAATCCCTGATGTTCTCCAGGTTATGGAGCAGAGTCCTTGAGGGGCGGGGCTTCGGAAGAAGGAGCAGGGCCTTAGACAGGGACCACATTTGGTCTGAGATGCGGCAGTGGGTCCTAGCGCCCGCCTCCTGAACTTCCACCTCTCCCTCTTCCTGTTGGCAGGAGTCCAACAGAGGAAAGAGCAGGATCTGGATGGCCAGAAGAAGCCCAAGGACTTTGGCCGGACCATTCCCCGGATCTCCCCGGACCAGGGATCGGATGTTTACCTTCTCAGGAAGATGGTGGAAGAAGTCTTTGACGTGCTTTACAGTAAGGAAGAGCTTGGGGTCCAGTTCGGTTTGGGCTCAGTCACTGCTGCCTTCTGCTGTAGGGTGTCTAGGTCATGTTGTCTATGGGTATCTTCTCTACTAGCGTGTCAGGGCGGGGGAGGAGGGGCTGGGGGAGGTGGGGCTTGGGAGGGTGAGCCGGCGGGTCATCAGGGGGGCCAAAGGCGAGGGCTGCGAGGCAGTATAGGTCAAGGCAAGCTGGTGGTCAGCTTACTCCAGAGGAGCTGAAAGGCGCTGTAATCCAACAACGCCAAAACTTTTCCATATTCCACAATGCAATTCTCCAACCAAACAGTGTTTGCATTTCTTGGTAATGGTGTGGCAAAGAGCTGGGGCCCAGGAGCACCTCGTGGCCCAGCTAAAATCTGAACTCTGTTTTGATCTGTGTTTGTGATTCTTCCTTTTTGCCCCAGGCGAGGCCTTAGGGAAGAGCAGTGTGGTGCAACTCCCCTACGAGAAGTTCTTGAAAGAGCCTGGCTCTCTGATGGTTGCTGGGCTGCCCGACGGGCTCACCTTCAGGAGGCCCGCCGAGTACGATGCGAAATCACTCATGGCCATCTTGGAGCACAGCCACAGCATGTGCTTCAGGCTCAAAAGGTAAGGGGGCCCCCCGCCCAGTGCTCAGCTAATACTTTCAGGCCTCAAGAGCCGGTCTGCAGACACTTTGCGTAAGGATGAAATGGGCTGTCCTGCCATGGCTGCGGTTGGATGCCACACTAAACTGTGGTTTGTTGCAACCTTGCATTTAAGCGCTAGCCTGGTAGGCATAAGTGAGCAGGAATGGCATGCAGGTGGTCAGTGTTAGAAACTCAGAAATATAAACTAATCACGAAAAGCCACCTTAAACCTAGGTTATGGCTGGCACCACGGATTGTCTAGATGCCTTTTTTTTTGTAATGGCATTTATTATTATTTATTTCATTTCTATACTGCTTTATACTTTAAAGGGAATTAAATCTCAAAGTGGTTTACAACACATTAAAACATCCAATAAAACAATGCAGAATAAAACAAATGCAAGCTTCAATATTTCAGATCCTTCTCGATGTGACATTTTGCTTTCCCCCATATTTATTTACCTTTATAGAACAGAAGTACAGTCGTACCTCGGTTCTTGAACTTATTCCATTCGACTCCTGAAACAGTTCGAAAACCAAGGCACAGCTTCCGATTGGCTGCAGGAGCGTCCTGCAGCCAATTGGAAGCTGTGCTGGACATTCGACTTCTGAAAACGATTCGAAAACTGGTACACTTCCGGGTTTCGATTGTTCAGGAGCAAATTTGTTTGGGGGCCAAGTCGTTTGAGATCCAAGGTACGACTGTACTCTAGGAAGCCAGTGTGGTGTAGTGGTCAGAGTGTCGGACTAGGACCTGGGAAATCAAGGTTCAAATCTCCACTCAGTCATGAAGCTCACTCGGTGATCTTGGGCTGGGTGATAGGGTTGTTGTAGGGATTAACTGAGGAGGGGAATGAACCACGTACTCTTTGGAGAAAAAGGTGGGAGATAACTGCAGTAAATAAGTTCTTCTGCTTACCTGCTTGAAAAAGCTGGAGGGACTAGCTAGATGGAGATGTCCGCCACCAACTTGGCCTCCAGAGATTTCTGTGTGGTCGCAATCGGACCTGCGCCAGTCACAAAACACACCTGGCGCCTGGCTGATTTCTAACACTGCAGATGGTCAGTGGAGTTGAATGTGGGTGACTGAGAAGAGCAGGCTGCCGGAGGAGGGATGGAGCTTTCCGAGAAGGCTGCCGGAATAGGAAAGCCCTCTCCTCCCCACATCTCACAGAAAGCATAGGACACGAGGAAACGAAATCCTGTTCAGAATTCAGGAAAGCAGCCTTAGGGAAGCAGCAGGACAAGGAGGCAACTGCCCTCTCCATTTCTTTCTCCCCAGCAAGTGGTCTTCAGCACTGCCTTTGACCCCGGAGGCTGATCCCAGTTCTACGACCCTCTTTGGGCCCCTTGCCATGTCATTTACATGGGAATACAGCACAATATATTATGGGCTGTCCCGTGAATCCACTGGATGAAATAGTGGGAGAACGTTGCCTCAGGGGAGTGAGAAAAATTCTCAGGGATGATTCACACCCTGGCCGGCACTTTCTTGATCTCCTGCCCTCAGGCAGAAGATATACAGTGGTACCTCGGGTTATATAAGCTTCAGGTTACAGACTCCGCTAACCCAGAAATAGTACCTCGGGTTAAGAACTTTGCTTCAGGATGAGAACAAAAATTGTGCTCCGGCGGCGGGGCAGCAGCGGGAGGCCCCATTAGCTAAAGTGGTGCTTAACAGTTTCAGGTTAAGAATGGACCTCCGGAACGAATTAAGTACTTAACCCGAGGTACCACTGTAGAAGCATGATTAGTCGCACCAACAGGGTAAAGAACAGCTTCTATCCGTGGGCTGTTAGGCTGCTGAATGAAAAGATAACAACAGGGCAACTGACTTTTGGATTTGGTGGGTGTGCGTCCGTAAACGAGGGGAATTAAGACTAAGAGAGATGAGTGCTCGTGTAATCTCACTGTATACAAGTTGTACAAGTGACAATAAAGTATTTCAATTTCAATTTAGCTGCAGTTTTCTCTCATTTTCTCAGACCTCCTGAGGACTCCGCCTGGGACCCCAACCCTCCTGTTGAGGCGAGCGGCCCCGTCCAAATGTCAAAGGGGAATCGAGAGCCAGGGCTGAACCACGTGCACGCTAAGCCGGCCAACCTAGAGGCTCTTCCTGCGGTCACTACGAACAGCTTCCTGTACGGGGTGTCACTCCCTGCGCAGATCGCCATGGAGATAAAGCAGGAGGGTCCTTCCGGACGGCACGGGATGAGCACAGCTGGCGAGATGCTGAGGCCCCGGCTGTCAGGAGAAGCGAAGGTGCCCTCGCCACAGGAGTTCGGTGACTGCTGTGGTAATGGCCTTAATGTTTGCTGTCCAAGGCGTGGCTGGTTCAAAGCCTACGGAGAGGCCCTGAAATGCCTTGGATCGGGACTTAAACTGGGTTGGGGAACCAGGAATCCTGTCCTGGTGGCTTTTGTAGCATCGCAACTGCAGCTGTGTCCCCCACGATGCCTGCAAAAGGCACAGGAGCCACAGCTGAGTTGGCAGAGCATGGGACTCTTAATCGCATGAGGTGTGAGCCTCACGTTGGGCAAAAGGTTACATTGCACGGGGTTGGACTAGATGACGCTTGTGATCCCTTCCGACTCTACAGATCTATGATTCTAGGTTGAGCTCCGTTCAGAGAACCCAGGAAAGCTCACTTTGGGGTTTGCAGCCAAGTATTGCAACATAGGAAGCTGCCATATGCTGAGCCAGACCAGACCAACATTGTCTATACTGACTGGCAGCAGCTCTCCAGGGTTTCAGACAGGGAGTCCCCTGCCTGGGGTTGCCGTCAGGGACTGAACCCAGGGCCTTCTGCCACTGAGCTGCGGCCCTTTCCAAACGGAAGCTGAAATGGGGAGGTGGTCTGGAATAAGCTCCAGTTTCTCCTTCTAGCAGCAGGAAGACAGATTCCCATGCTTTGGGGGGGGTCACACAACCCCTTGTGCAAACGCTGATATCTCCCCATATGACAGTGGTTGCTAATAGGCAAGGATCCCACGGCTCCGTTCAAATTGGATGTGAAATACCGCCTTCCAGGTCGAGCCACCCAATACTTGTTAAAGAAGGGGGGGCACAGATTCCTGGCAGCTGCCAGAGGACCCTGCATGCTGCCACACAGGCCTGACTCTGAGCTGGAATAGCCTTAGCTGAAACTTGCATATCAGGTCAGGAGGGATGGAGTCCAGCCTTGTTTGTGCCCAACACCTTTCCATTTGTCCTTGCCATTTTGGATTTCCCTCCCCCCCCCCAAACAAAATCTCATCTTTCTTATTCATTCATTCATTCATTCATTCATTCATTCATTCATTTTTGCTTTCGTTCTTTCCTATGTCCAGGACAGAAATCTGCTCTCCCCGGCGGTCCGCTCATCCAGAACGTACACTCCTCCAAACGCATTCTGTTCTCCATAGTACACGACAAATCAGGTACCCTTGCTGGCGCTTGCGAAACGGAGAAGGGGTTTAGGAGTGTCAACGTGTGGGTTTTAAATCACGGGGGCCCCCCTTGCTTAGGAACCATAGAGTGACAAAGGTACGGCGTTTGGGCAAGCCCAGATTATTGGCAGAAGCTAAACCTATTCCAGAACAATCAGAATGGCAGATTTAAGGCCTGGGGCATTTAGTTTGTTCTTGGAATTTTGTTTCTTTGGAGGGGCTGCCACCTTTGCTCACGTTGCTTGCCAAGCTGGACCACTCTGCTCCCTGCCAAATCGCCCCCCCTTGCCAACCCACTCCCCCTTTATACCTCACCCAACCCCACTGTCCCATCATGTTCCCTTCATGAAGTGGGAGCACCACACTCGCAGCCTTGGCAGTGCTGCCGCTTGCCAGGCTTGAGACTGGGCAGAGCAGTGGCAAATGCAGACCCACACATGCTTGTAATGCCACTGGCACCCTAGTTATTTTCCTCATTGCGCCCTGCCCCAGTCCTGCTGAGCGGCAGCACTACCACAACCGGAAGGGCAGCGTAACGGCGCCACAGTTCATGCACCGCAGCCAGATACGCAAATGATAGGGTGTCCATGTCATGTTTCGCACCTGCATCTCTGCGTCAGTGTTGATGTGAAGAGGACTAAACAGCAACGGCTGACGGCGCTAGCTTTTTTATTTTTATTTTTTGCCAAGCATTTTACAAAGCATTTACTCTCCCATTTTTAGACCCGCATACATTGTTTGTTTCTTCCGCTCTTCTAAGTCTGGTCATGAACTCAATGTTTGAGGTAGATGTGTCAATAATTACCTAGGCGCTTGGATAATCCTTCCGATATGAAATATTCATTTTGGATGTTTGGCAGGGGTCTTTCATAGGAAGGAATTGAGAGCATCGACCACTTTGCATGCAGCGCCAAACCATAGTTTAGCGGCGCATGAGCGAGCCTGGGGCTCACGTGGTCCTTCCTCTGCAAATTCCCTCCCTAGCATTAGAGACTACTTTATCCTGAGTCAGAAGACGGTGGTCCCGTTCTAATGGTTTCCAACCTTTTTGATATAGCAGCCCGTGAGTCCCAAATTTACTTGACCCATCAGTTTATCACCATGTGAATTTTGGATGCTGCTATTAACATGAAAATTTTCTTAGAATATTTTTAGTACTTACAGAGTTAGTCACAGTTTGTTTATGGGTGGGGATGTGTGAACACCAGCCATCTGACTTCAGAATATTCCTGTGCATCAGAAGGGAGCTGCAGTAATTGCTCCCTGTATGAGCCCATTGTGGTGAATTGCCACCACATCTTCCATCAGCCAGCAGAGAGCAGTTCCCAAGTCCTAAAACATATGACTGGGCCTTCCCGACCTAGCTCAGTATGTAGAGCATAAGACTCTTAATCAGGGATGTGGGTGGCGCTGTGGGTTAAACCACAGAGCCTAGGACTTGCTGATCAGAAGGTCGGCGGTTCGAATCCCTGCGATGGGGTGAGCTCCCATTGCTCAGTCCCTGCTTCTGCCAACCTAGCAGTTTGAAAGCACGTCAAAGTGCAAGTAGATAAATAAGGTACCGCTACGGCGGGAAGGTAAACGGCGTTTCCGTGCACTGCTCTGGTTCGCCAGAAGCAGCTTAGTCATGCTGGCCACACAACCTGGAAGCTGTACGCCAGCTCCCTCAGCCAATAAAGCGAGATGAGCGCCGCAACCCCAGAGTCAGCCACGACTGGACCTAATGGTCAGGGGTCCCTTTACCTTTAAGACTCTTAATCTCAGGGTTATGGGTTTGAGCCTTACCTAGGATGAAAGATTCCTACATTACAGGGGATTCCTACACTGTTACACCCTCGGGGTCCCTTTTAACTCTACAGTTCTGTGATTCCATGATGTTCAGCTGCAAGTTGTACGTGGTATCCATATTAAGGAATAAAAGCAATTATTAGATGTGTACTTAGGGACGCGGGTGGCGCTGTGGGTAAAAGCCTCAGCGCCTAGGGCTTGCCGATCGAAAGGTCGGCAGTTCGAATCCCCGCGGCAGGGTGCGCTCCCGTTGCTCGGTCCCAGCGCCTGCCAACCTAGCAGTTCGAAAGCACCCCGGGGTGCAAGTAGATAAATAGGGACTGCTTACTAGCGGGAAGGTAAACAGCGTTTCCGTGTGTGGCTCTGGCTCGCCAGAGCAGCGATGTCACGCTGACCACGTGACCCGGAAGTGTCCTCGGACAGCGCTGGCCCCCGGCCTCTAGAGTGAGATGGGCGCACAACCCCAGAGTCTGGCAAGACTGGCCCGTACGGGCAGGGGTACCTTTACCTTTAGATGTGTACTTATACAGCCTGTGGCTTACTTGCACAAAATTTGTGACCCACTCAACCATGGGATTCACTGCGTGTTTGGGGCCAGTCACAATCTTCTTTGCCTAACCTCTCACATGGTTGTTGTGAGGAGAAAAATGGAGAAGAACCACGTATGCCACCTTGAGCTTCTTGGAGGAGACGGGATATAAGCAATAATATAAATAAAGAAAAATGATGGGTTTGTCGTGTATTGTACATCGGTTTCTCGTTTGGTTTTCTGCACCTGCTGAGAGATTTCTCTACGTATAAAAAGCCTAAATGAGTTGGTCCCGTTGCAAGTAATAATAGGGGACGCTTTCTAGCAGGGAGTTAAAGGCTTCCGGTTGCTGAGCTGGTCGCAGAGCAGCTTGTGCTGACGGACCGGGTTCTCGCTCCTCCCGGCCTCTTGAGTGAGATGGGAACAAACCGAAGTCTGTCAAGATCGGCCCGTACGGGCAGGGTACCTTTTTAAAGCCGTAATGGAAATGGTCTTAAGTAAATAAATGAATGGAGGTTGGAAGCCAGTTGCTGGGCAGAGCGTAGTTGAGTCCATGCTCTGGTTATGCGCTTCCCAGAAGAGGCGTCCGGTTGGGGATAGGCTGCTGGGCTAGATAGGCCCTGATCCAGTAGCCAGTTGCTCCTCTTGGTGTTAACGTTGGGTGATTTACAGTCACCGTTTCCATTTGCCAGCTGCAGGGTTTGCCTAAGGGAACCGTCCAGCGCCCAGGATTTGAACCCGGTGCAGCTGGCACAGTTGGAGCCTCCCACTTCCCCTCAAGCTCAGGCTTGCTCTCAGAGTAGAGAGGAACCACAAACCTTGTTCCCGAGGGCAGAGTGAGAGGGATGGGGAGCCTCTGTGCCGGAGATGCCATATGGAAACTTCTTGTTTGTTTTTGCTAGATAAATGGGACGGTTTTATAAAAGAAACCGAGGATATCAACACCCTGAGGGAATGTGTGCAAATTCTGTTCAACAGCAGATATGGTGAGTGGATGTGAAGTGCCTGTTTTTCATCTGCGGTGCTTATGGCGCGCATATCATTATGGAGAGATTTTCTGGACTTTTTTTTCCTGACTTTCTGGTGTTTTTTCCCCTTTTCTTTTTCTTATTCTCTGATGCAGCATCAGGCACCATATGCTATGTGTCCCTTCACTTAATTGCTTTCTTGGCATGGCATTTTCCAGGCCCACAGCTTCTAATTAATGCATATGTTTCTGGGTGGTTTTTTTAACTCGTTTGTATCAAGTCAGTAAATGTGCAGTTGGTCTGAATGGGGTCTTCTGGCCTCCTCAGTGGAAGGCCTTCACGGAGTCAAAACAGATGGGGCAACAGCCACAGAAAAGCCGTCTCCTATATTTGAAGTGTTTTGTTTTTTTAAAAAAACAACCAACTGGTATATAAATTTTATGGAATAAATAAGATACATAATTTTTTCGGCCTGGTGCCTTCTAGGTGCCCTTTGAACTACAACTCCCATCATCCCTTGCTATTGGGTAAGCTGGCTGAGACTGGTGGGAGTTGGAGTCCCCAATGGGTGACTGGTGCTTCTCAAACTTGGGTCTCCAGCTGCTGTTGGACTCCAACTTCCAACATCCCTAGCTAGCAGGACCAGCGGGCAGGGACGATGGGAGATGTAGTCCCAACAACAGTTGGGGAACCAAGTTTGAGAAACACTGACAGAGGGAACCAAGTTTGGGAAGGCTGCCTTATGTCAGTGTCCTGCTAGGACCCTGCCCCTCTTTGAACTGATACTATATAAATTGCTGCCTTTATGAGTTTGGATGTATGCAGTTAGTACTGTGGTCCCCATGAAGCTACCCATGGGCATTGTGTTGCCTTCAGGAGCCTGCTGAGCAATCTTCCACTTCCAATATTTTCACTGAGAATGTGATTTGCCACTTTACCATATTGGCTGCCATTGAACTGAAAAGGATGGCCATAAATTAATGGATGATGACAGTGATTTGTAAAGCACTTCAGAGTATTTATTGAACTCATGGCATCCTGTTGGGCACCTTGGTTTCTGAGCACAGGACATTATATTCCAACTTTCTCTGTTATTATGCCAATGTGACATGTCTGGAACATGGCCAGGGCTTACTGAAAGGGCAAAGCAGCATTTTAACTTTCCTGCAGGGAAAACTGGGTTGCAAAACTGGGTTCATGCCAGTAGTGGACCCAGTTCAACAGTGTCTGCTGTTAAGAGTGTCCTGTCTGTTCTTACCCTTTAAAGGTTAAATGTTCTGTCACTTTCAGCTGAAGCTTTGGGGCTCGATCACATGGTCCCTGTCCCGTACCGGAAAATTGCTTGCGACCCGGAAGCAGTAGAAATCATCGGCATCCCTGACAAAATCCCATTCAAACGGCCCTGCACCTACGGAGTCCCCAAACTCAAGCGGATATTGGAAGAGAGGCACAACATCCACTTCGTCATCAAAAGGTACGTGATTGTTTTGAGAGGCTCGTGAGCAGGCGGACTGCAGAGAGCCGAGAAGTGGGCTTAACTCTGTGTGACTCAAAAGGGTGGTTCTTCTTTCCCCAAAATTGCTGTTTCTCCTTTATTTTAAAATATTTATATACCATTCATCATGGAAACGATTCCAGGTGGAGTGCAAGAATACTAAATATACAATAGTGTTAAAAACATATTCAGGAGCTGAAATATTTAAAATCATAAACCACCCAACAGTGGGGTGCTTCTGTGGCAACGGGGAGGCGGGAAGTCTGGGCACTTGCAGGGGTGGGCCGCCTCTTGCTTTTCTACCGCCTGAGGCGGCTGCCTCCCCCTCCATCATGGATGGGAACGGCTCTGAAGTACACCCACTGAGGTTAATGAACATTACTAACTTAAACCCATTCATTTCCATGGATCTGTTCTGAGGAAAACTTGCCGTATTTTTCGCTCTATAGGACACACTTTTCCCCCTCCAAAAATGAAGGGGAAATGTGTGTGCGTCCTATGGAGCGAATGCAGGCTCCTTGGCTTCAGTGATAGCAACGCAAAGCCTCTGAAGCCCAGAGGGAGAGCTCCCCCCGCGCTCCGAAGGCTTCGTGTTAATTTCGCTGAAGCTGCCTGAAGCCCCCGGAGCACAGGGAACTTCCGCTGTGCTCTGGGGGCTTCAGGCAGCTATCCACAAGCCTTCGGAGCGCAGCAGGAGTTCCCGCCGCGCTCTGAAGTCTTGTGGATAGCCGCCTGAAGCCTGGAGAGCGAGAGGGGTCGGTGCACACCGATCCCTCTTGCTCTCCAGGCTTCTCTTCTCTGGAGAGGCGCTGCACAGTTTTCCCTCTCTTCGCAGCGCCCCTTCAGCGAAGCGGGAGGAGAAATGGAAGGGGCTCCGTTTCTCCTTCGGTTTCGCTGAAGTGGCGCTGAGCAGAGAGGGGGAGAATTCCCCCCCCCCTGTTCTCCCCCTCCTATGGTCCGGTGCGTCCTATAGAGCGAAAAGTGCAGTAGTTGGATACAGACCATTGTTTTCCCAAATTGTCTGCATACTTTTGTTTATTTTATTCACACCCCACCTTTCCATCCCTCCTCATTTAATCCTCTCAGCAACCCTGTGAGGTGGGTTTAGGCAGAGAGGCGGTGACTGCCCCAAAGTCGCACCATTTGTGGCTAAACAGGGATTTGAACCCTGGCGTCTCCCAGGTCTGACACTCTAACCGCTCTGCCACACTGGCTGGCGTCAAGGAAGGGTTGACTTTAAATCCAAACTTTAATGTGCCTTCATTTAAAATTCCACTACCAATATTGGTTCCTCACCCCTGCTATAACAAATGAACGTGGTAAAGATGGTGGCAATAATCTGATTTAGCTTACTCTTGTTTTTAATTAGTGCTGCATGGTTGGTGTGTGTGTGTGTTTTAAAAAATCTGCTTTTAACCAACTTTTATTGATCAGTTAAACATTTTACTTTGTCATGAAAATCCCAAAGCAGCGTACTAAAAACAATCAAGAGCAGTACGTAAATTGTATCAAGCCAATAAAATGGCCGTTGTGGTGACCCCCCTAAGGCCAGAGCACAACCCACCAGTTGAAGATCCTAAATGAAATCTTGAATTATCTTTACCCCCTCCCTCCCTTCCTTCCTTCCTTCCTTCCTTCCTTCCTTCCTTCCTTCCTTCCTTCCTTCCCTCCTCCTCCTAAATTGTTGCCTTTTCTTTTACAGGATGTTTGATGAAAGGATCTTTACAGGTACGCTGGGCATTGTCTTTCCTTTGGGGGAAGGGATGGTAGCTCAGTGAGTAGAGCACATGCTTTGTCTCCAGGCAGCCCCAGACTCAGTCCCTAGCATCTCTCAGTAAGGATGGGAAAGGCATCTACCTGAGACCCTGGCGGAGACCAGGAACCTCTCGCCCTCCAGACGCTGTTGGACTACAGCTCCCATCCTCCATAACTATTGGCCTTGCTGACTGGGGACGGTGGCCCTCCAGTTGTTTCTGAACTATGACTGCCACCATCCTTGGCCATCGGCCATGCTTTCTGGGGCTGATGGGAATTGTATCTCAGCAACACCTGGAGGGCCATTGTTTTCCCAAACCTGCCTTAAGCTGACTAACCACATTCTCACAATGTCCCATTTCCGAGCCAAGTACCAGCTTCTGGTAGTTTTGGGAGGTGACCAGAATATGCTCAGCATTTGTGCAGTTTACCTTCCCAAATCCGCTGGGAAGAATTTGGACCTTTCCCTCCTTATTGGGGCATTTGATGCCCAACTCTCTTTCCCACATAGCTTTTGATTTTTGATTTGATATTTCTATTTTGCTTTTCCAACAACAAACACTGAGCTCAAGGCAGCTCACAATGATCACAAAAGCTTCAAACAACAACAACAACAACATTATAATCACTGTGCTATCACACACAGAAACATATAAATAAAGCAAGCAACAACAGGTTCACCAAAGTGATTAATACAATTCAATAAAGTCATAGCAATTCGAAATATCCCTCCCCCATAGCTATTAAACTAATCTGTATGGATGGCAGACTTACTGGGTAGAGATAGGGAGAGGTTGTGCCTGGCCACGGGTAATTATTGGTTCAAAACTCTGCGCCTGGAAAATATCTGTTTGTTCTTCCTTCCTTACAACCAGGAAGTAAATTTACCAAAGATTCAACCAAGATAGAGCCATCCAGCCCTTCTGGGGAAATCTCTCCTGACCCGCACAGAATGGCGTTTCTTGATCTAGCAGGAACTTCACAGTCCAGTCATAGGTAAGCCTGTATTACCCCATATCAAATCATAGAGTTGGAGGGTCCTGCAAGGTCCTCTAGTTAAAGCCCCTCCTTGATGGCAGGAATTCAAAGCCATTCCTCAAAAACCCAAGGTTCCCAGTTCCTGGCCCAGCTGCTATATTATAGTCATAACCAACCTTGTGCCCTCCAGATGTTGTTGAATTGCAACTCCCATCAGCCCCAGCCAGCATAACCAGTGGTCAAGGATGATGGGAATTGTAGTCTTGCAACATCTAGAAGGTGCCAGCTTGGGAAAGCCTGGTGTCTTAGTGTCTCTAATTTGCTCCGGCCAGCATGTTTTCTCCCTGGAATGCCAGTAGAGGGGAGGAAAATGTTATGTACTGAAGTTCTCACCCTGGGCCAGCAGGGGGATACTGTAGATAGTTTTCACTCAGGTCCACATATGCAAATAAGGGATTGAAAGTGACGTTCAGTGATTGGATAGTTACAGAAAGTGATTACTGTTGCATTGTAGTGGAGCTCTATATAAGCAGGCTGGCTGAACCCTTCAGTTCAGTTCTGTTCTGGCCTGTGAATAAACAAGAGCTGTTTGAAGAATCGCTGTGTCGTCTGATATGTTCACCCACAACTTAACAGAAAGCATGGCCGCTGCCAGAGTCAGTGACGTTGAAACCATTTAAAAAAAAAAAAAACAGAGAAAAGAAATTAACCGAAAGACCACCTGCTTCTATACAGACTATGCCATATGTCCGGAATTTTCGTACATAGCCAGAATACAGCATTCGGAAGCAGTGTCCGGGTGGAAATCGCTGAAATGTCCAGCAAAATCCAGATGTATAGCATCCCATTTCAGAAGTCTAGATTCTGGCAAATTTCCTTTTTTAAAAAATAGATTTTGTAACAACTTTGGCCCCCCCAAAAAACAACCCACAAAGAAACTTTTGTGTCCGGATTTTCACTTTTTGAAATATAGCAACTCTAATACAGACCCTCCATTATGCAGAATGATGTCATGTTTGCTCCTAAGGGCGAAATGAGGTCAAACATTGTACATTAAAAAATAATAATGAATCTATGGAATTGCCTCTTTCTTTGTGGGCTGTTCATACCTGTTTGGTAGTACAGCACATTGTATCCCCCCCCCAAAAAAAACAACCAGGCACTTGATATGAATGAAATTTAACCATGATTGCTTTCCTTTGCCAGATCTGAAAAGTGCCCCATTTCTGGAGAATGTGAACCAGGTAAGCTGCAAACAGCCGCTGCTCTCTTAATTGGAAACGGGAAAAGGGAGTATGATTCTTAGGTCTTGCGAAGCCGTGTGAAAGCAGGAGGATTGTCGTCTTGCAAAAGCCCTGTACACAATGCTCTGCTCAGCTGCTGGGGAAATGCCTGCAAAACCCCCCTTTTCATAGAATCATAGAATCATAGAGTTGGAAGAGACCACAAGGGCCATCGAGTCCAACCCCCTGCCAAGCAGGAAACACCATCAGAGCACTCCTGACATATGGTTGTCAAGCCTCTGCTTAAAGACCTCCAAAGAAGGAGACTCCACCACACTCCTTGGCAGCAAATTCCACTGTCGAACAGCTCTTACTGTCAGGAAGTTCTTCCTAATGTTTAGGTGGAATCTTCTTTCTTGTAGTTTGGATCCATTGCTCCGTGTCCACTTCTCTGGAGCAGCAGAAAACAACCTTTCTCCCTCCTCTATGTGACATCCTTTTATATATTTGAACATGGCTATCATATCACCCCTTAACCTCCTCTTCTCCAGGCTAAACATGCCCAGCTCCCTTAGCCATTCCTCATAAGACATCATTTCCAGGCCTTTGACCATTTTGGTTGCCCTCCTCTGGACACGTTCCAGTTTGTCAGTGTCCTTCTTGAATTGTGGTGCCCAGAACTGGACACAGTACTCCAGGTGAGGTCTGACCAGAGCAGAATACAGTGGCACTATTACTTCCCTTGATCTAGATGCTATGCTCCTTTTGACTGTATGATGCTAGCTGCAAATCAAGTGGATGTAGCTTGGCTGAAATGGCCTCACGGACCAAACGCAGAGCATGAACAGGCCTTATTAGCCCCATGGGCCGGAGATTCTCAAGCCCTGGCTTAGGACCCCAGAACTACCGCATTGTGTCCTTTCAACACACTGCTTGAAGTAGTCAAGCAGCAGCTCAGTCGGTAAAAGCGTAAGACTCTGAATTTCAGGGTCATAGGTTTGAACCCCACGTTGGGGGAAAAGATTCCTTCATTGCAGAGGGTTGGACTAAAGGACCCTCATGGTCCCTTCCAACCACTGGGGCCATGTTGGGGAGGGCAGAACCTGCAGCTCTTTGGTTGTCGTAGAATTGGAAGGGACCCTGGGGGTCATCTAGTCCAACCCCCTGCAACACAGGAATGTTGTTGGACTCCAACTGCCCACTGCCCCAGTCAGCATGCTCAGTGGTTGGGGATGAAAAGAATTTCAGTACAGCTATGTCAGGCTCTCTGCTTCTGCATTAAATGAAGTGTAGAATCTAATTCACATGAGTCCCCTATTCTGGTCACTGCTGGATTCTGGGAACATGACAATTAGCGACCCTGAATCCAGAACTCTTGCACATGATAAGTGTACTTCCAGATATTTAGCTCCCCCAGAATCAGAGCGTCTCTGCAAATGCAGTAAACAAGAACCTGATACTTTGGAGCCTATTTTCTTTTCTTGTGATTTTTGCATTTTTGCCAGAAGACAATTATTAGAGGCCTTACAACTCAATAGGCTCAATTCTATGCTACCAAAGCTTCAGGACCTGCTCTCGGACAGGAATGATCAAATTACTTTAATAGTGGCTGAATTTTTGAGTGCTGTCCATGTAGAAAGACTGGGCCATTATAAATAGATTTAGTGGTTCTTAATTGATTGGTGATGTGGTAGTGTTGTATTGTATTATTTATGCAAACTGATTCTCTCTGGAGTTAAAGATCCGACTGGGACAAACCTTGTTATGTTGAGCTCGTATTTTGCACAATTTGTAAACGGTGTCTGTTTGATAATGTGTGGTTTGCTATGCCTAATAAAGGATATTTTATCTAATGAATTAATGCCAGGCCATTGTCCATCTAACCCAGTGCTTCCTGTTCTGACTGGCAGCTAATGTAGACAATGCTGAGGTAGAGGGACCAATAACCTAAGTTAACATAAGGAAGGCTGTCCCTCAGCGGGAGAGCAGCTGCTTTGAGTGTAGAAGGTCCCAGGTTCAGTCCCCAGGGGCATTTCCAGGACCATGCCAGAAAAGACTCTAGCCTCGAACCCTGGATAACTTCTACCAGTCAGTGCTGATTTGTCGTCGCCCCTCTGCTTTCCATTCCTGTTTCCATCGTCCTTGACAGGTACTTCAGGAGAACTGGGAGGCATAAAACGCATCAAGATAGAACCGGACGAAGTGGACATCATTCAAATCACCGTTCCAGGTAGACTAGATAAAAGCTCTCGACAATGCCGGCAGGATTAAGATTATTTCTAGATGGGCAGTGTCAATTTGGGAACAGTTTTCAGCCCGCTGGGTTACGGCCCAGAGAATTCTGGGAGCTGTAGGCTCAAAGAATTGAGGGTGACTGAGAATTGTTTAGGAGGCCCCTGTTGCCTTCACAGAGCAGGGAGTTCCCTTGGAAAAAGGGATGGGTTGTTAAAGAACCCCGAAGGGAATTGTAGCTTTGTGAGGGGAACAAGAGGGTCACCTAACAGCACCCTCAACAAACGGCAGCTCCCAGAATTCTCTGAGGGAAGCCATGACGGTTTTTAGTGTCGTCATAGCACTTCAAATATATGATGTGAATGTGGGGAGAGTTGAGAGGGGGTCAGGGATTGAGGCAAGGGTGGCTCTGCCACGTCATTGGCATCACCAAAACGACGGACTGAGGGTGAGGCAAGTGGGGGCCAGTGGCAGAGAGGAGCGGTTGGCCAGGAAATTTCTCAGGATGGAAGGATCTGCCATCTTCACTTCTCTCGGTTTCTCATTTTTGCCATCTTAAATTCAGTTTCCACACTTCTGCAGCAATTTGCAAGAATGTATTTTTTAAAAAGCCGTCATGAAGATTCGCCAGCGTTTTGGTGCAAATTTCTCCTAATAAACGTATTTGCGTGAAGTCTAGACTAATCTACACTCTTTTTTTGCCGGCAATTTCCCTTAACATAATGCATTTTTCAGGTTACAGTCCTCAGCTAGGATGTTTAGTTTCCTGCTAAATGCCCGTCTCCTCTCTGGTTTCAGATAAAGGGCCCAGCAATGATTTACAACATAATGAGAAGCAGATGGAGGGCAAAGGTGAGTTTGGCCCGTTGCCTGGATACCTGACGGATCATCTCCTCCAGTGCAGGCCTGCAGGTACCTGAAGATGGCCTTCATAGGCCCTTCACCATACCCCACCCCCACCATCTCAGATGAGGCGGATGGTAGGTGTGGAGGCCCTTTGTGGTGTTGTTTCCTCACTAGAGGAATAGTCTCTCCAGACCTGGAGTCTAATAGGGAAGATCTTTTAATGAGGGATGGGCAGGTTGGTGCATCTGTACGACACTGACCTGCCCGACTCCTCTCCCTCTCCTGCTTGTAGCCTCTAGCATTATTCTTTTGCATTTTCCCAGACGTTGTCAACCATCTCAATTGTATCAGTGCTGTCGACGGTGCTTTCCTCTGCTTGCTTGTGATTTTTCCTGCTGCTTTATTCCTTGCTTTGTTCTGCATTTTTATTATTTTTTTTATAATAATATTTATTAGTTTTCCAACAAATTAAACAGAACACTACAAAAAACCAAAAAAGAAAAAACATACAATAATACAATACAATACCAAAAAAAAAACCACCACTGCAAAACACTAACATAGAACTAACAAAACAAAACAAAAACCATTTAAAACACAGTCCAATTTCAATATTTTATCCTTCTTTCACTAATTTCCACGACCTCCTCACACCTCCCTTTTGGTATTCCACTTCTATTAATTGTTTCAGCAATTCCTTTCCATCTTCCTCTATTTTCTATCCTATAATTGTCTTAACACATTCTAACCTTATTTTTCCCTTTAATGCTCTAATAATCTATTTATACTTAATTCTTTGTTCTGCATTTTAGTCCTTTGTTTATGAGCTGGCCTGGAATTTTTTCTTTGAGGATGCCAAAATAACACCTCCCCCCCCCCAATGTGAGTCTTATTGCCATTAATCCCTGAGTTTGCTGCTTTTTTTTTCCAGATGGCGTCGGTGACGTTTTAAGTCACTTGAGGAAACAAGTAGAAATTTTGTTCAACGCTAGTTACGGTGAGATACTTGGCTTCTTTCTTTTAAGTGTGCTTTTCGGAACCTGGATCTGCCATTAACCTTCGCACATCTGGAGGGCTCTGGCTTCCTCACACCTTCTCTAGAACTTCCTAGGCAGGACAGCTATTTTTTCCTCCCCTTCATGCGAAGATCACAAGATAAAAAATAGTCTCCACATAAAAGCACATATAGATAGTTAAACAAAAGAATAACACAAACACATTTAAAAGGCTGTAGAATATTAATCAGCCAGAGGCCTGGTTGAAGAGGAGTGTTTTCACCTGGCGCCTCAAGATGTATAATGAAGACACCAGGCGAATCTCCCTGGGGAGAGTATTCCACAAACGTGGGGCCACTGCAAAAAAGGCCCTTTCTTGTGTTGCCACCCTCCAGAGCTCATGGAAGAGGCCCACAAAGGGCCTCAGAGGATTAACACAGTGTCCTGGTCGTTTTCTATGGAGAGAGGCAACCTTTTTCTAAACCATTTCCTATTCAGTGATATCCTTTTTGAGGTAATACCATGTTGGCAGCAGCAAGCATTTTAACATGCTCAGCGGTGTTTCGATATCTTGACGACGACTTTTAAGCTACAGGGGCTCAGGCCAAAGATCCTTTCTGAAAGTTGTGTTTCTTGCGCTTGCAGCTAAAGCCATAGGAATTTCCGAGCCTGTCAAAGTCCCGTATTCCAAGTTCCTGATGTACCCGGAAGATCTCTTTGTCGTGGGCTTGCCAGACGGGATCTTGCTCAGGCGACCAAACTGCTTCGGGATTGCGAAACTGAAAAAGATCCTCCAGGCAAGCAGCAGTATCCGGTTTGTTATCAAGAAGTAAGTTCAAAGCCTTCCTCTCGCTTCGGCCCAACCATGTCCCACCAAGAGAAGGCAGCTTTCTGTGTTTCCTCATTATTATTATTGTTATTATTATTGCAAATTTCTCTTTCAGGCCAGAACTTCTTACGGAAGCAGTGAAGGAGACAGTTTCTGATAGCCCAGGAACAATAGGTAAAACACATTTATTTCCAGTGATTTGATTAATGAACCCAGGGATTCCCAAACTGCATCATGTGGACCATCAGTGGTCTATGAGATTCCTTCAGGCAGTCTGTGCCTATTCAGTAATAATAATAATAACATTTATGCCCCACACATCTTACTGGGTTGCCTCAGCTACTCTGGGCGGCTTCCAACATATATACAAACATAATTAAACACTAAACATTTTTTTAAAATGTCCCTGTACAGGGCTGCCTTCAAATGTCTTCTAAAGTTACTTATCTCCTTGGCCCGGGGTTCGCATAACTCTATACTCTCTAACACTTCTCTGATGAAAATAGGGACGTCCTAAGGAAAAGCAGGACATTCTGGGATCAAAACCCAGGACAGCTTCTGTAAATCCAGGACAGTCCCTGGAAAATAGGGACACGTGGAGGGTCTGCTCTCTGGCATTGTCTCTCCTTATTTACATTTAGACTGTAAGCTTTTGAGGGGCAAGGAAGCTCTTGCATGCTTGTGTGAATAAGCAGTGATACAGTCCTGAGCCTTAGGATCACCTAACGAAAGAGGTAATCCAGTTTTGGAACAGGCCAGCTTAGCTTGGGACATACTGTTAGCCCTAAGAGCTCAAAATAGAACCTGTGGGGTCAAATCCAGTGTTAGTTATAGAACCTCTGCAAAGAATGGGCATGATAAGGCTCCATCTAAACATTTAAAGCACTATGATGCCACTTCAAACAGTTGTGGCTTCCGCCCAAAGCATCCTGGAAGCTGAGGTTTGTTAAGGGTGAGGCCCTTACAGAGCTACAGTTCGTGGAGTGCTTTAATAGCCAATCTCCCTTCGCAGGGAATTCTGGGGATCGTAACTCTCTTGACGGGCTCCCTAATAACTCCCAGCACCCTTGGCAAGCTAAACTTCCCAGAATCCTTTGAGAGAAGCCATGACTGTTTAAAGCGGTATGACACCGCGTTAAATGTAGGGTGTGGCCCAACCTAAGTCCAATTGATTTCAGTGGGTAGAATTGGGTCAGAAACAGTCTACTCTGTGGGGCGTCGTGGGGTTGGATGCTGAAGAGGGGAAGAGCTAGATGCTGCTTTAAATGTGGAAGAGGATGTGTGATGCGGACAGTCCTCAGAGAAGATGTTGAAATTAAGACAAATAAATAAGAACCTTGGTGCCTCTTCTGTTGGCAGCCAGTGAGAGAGACTCTAGTGAACGTCTTGTAGAGGAACCGGTGAAAAGACCAGGATTTCAAGGTGAGAAATGGAGATCTGCCACTGCTACCACGACCACAATCCATCTGATTTCCCAAATTATGTGGTGTTAATTTATTTTACTGTTGACATCCCAGTGTTTATTGACGTCCCTATCCTTCTACTGTTTACTCAGAAGTAAGCCCCACTGATTTGAGTGGCACATTACTTCACATTAGTATGATTGAGATTTCAGCTGAAATGGCCCTTGTTGGTAGCTTTCCCCCTAATAACGAAAACAGAATTGTTTGAAAAAGGAGCAGGCATTTGACATTATTCTAGGATGCTCCCCCGCGCCTTTCCTTTTTGGTTTTATAAAAAAATGGACCGTCTGTTTCAGAGCTGAGCCTATCTCAAGGTTTTCCCTGTTTTAAAAGTGTACTATAGTTAAGCATTGTTGCGTTTTGTGTGTCCCCCCCAAAAAAACCCTCACCGGGCAGAACTCTATGATAGTTTCCTCTCTCTCTCTCTCTCTCTCTCTCTCTCAGAAAATTACGACACTCGGCTTTCGAGGATAGATATTGCAAACACGCTAAGGGAACAGGTTCAAGATCTGTTCAATAAGAAGTATGGTGAGTGATCTGGCTGGATGCTAATCTTGACACTTGGGGTTCATAGAATCATAGAATTGTAGAGTTGGAAGGGGCCTTGGGGTAGGTAGATAGTTACCTGGATCTTCTCCCTACAGTTTTTTGAAGGTGGGGACGAGGTTTGCCCACCTCTAGTCTGGAGGAACCTCACCTATTCTCCAAGAATTGTCTAGGGTTATAGACAGAGGCTCTGAAATTGCACCTGCAAGCTTCTTTAGCACCCTTGAGTGCAGCTCACCAGACCCTAAACATTCTATCTTGCTCAAAGCAAGAGTTCCCGGGGAGAGCTACAATGTTTGTAGGTGGGCCTCCAAAGACTGTAGTGGCAGAGACAGTTCTAGGTCCTGGAGGTCTCCTCCAGCAGAAGTTGCTGGTCCAGTGGTGTCTTCTGAGGTTTGTTTCAGGGCATGGTGATTCCTGTCCCCAGTCTTCCCCCTCTGTGATGTTCTCTGATCTGTCTCCTGATCATATGGGGGCTGATAATAATTTTTTATTAGTTTTACGTAAAGTTATACATAACTGTTCCAAAAAAGTAAAATAAACAGAGGTTCTTTCAAACCTTCGGACCTCCTTCACTCCCTCCATGAGTTCCATTTCTAACTTTTTTTTTCTATTTTCTGCCTCCTTTACCGTAATCCATCTATTATGTAATCATAATAACCAAAGTTTGTTTTACTTTACAAGTGTCATTGTATTCCTGCCAATGATTTCAGCTGTCTGCAGTGGTCTTTCAGATACGTTAAAAAGTTATTCCAGTCTTTTAAAAGGACTTGGTCTTCCTGGTTTCTGATCTTTCTCGTCAGTCTTGCCATATTCCATCAGCTTAGTCTGCTAGTCTTCTCTCGTCGGTACTTCTCCTTCTTTCCATCTCTGGGCAAGAAGCATTCTTGTTGCCGCTGTCGTTGCATACATAAAGAGTCTTTTCTTTTGGTATTTCCTCGCCTATAACACCTAACAAAAAGGCCTCTGGTTTTTTTAACAAAAGTTATCTTAAACTCATTATATATCATTTCCCAGAAAGCTTTTACCTTCCCACATGCCCACCACCACTACTACTACTACTACTACTAATAATAATAATAATAATAATTTATTATTTATACCCTGCCCATCTGGCTGGGCTTCCCCAGCCACTCTGGGTGGCTTCCAAAAAAAATATTAAAATACTGTAATACATCAAACATTAAAAGCTTCCCTAAAGAGGGCTGCCTTCAGATGTCTTCTAAAAGTCTGGTAGTTGTTGTTCTCTTTGACATCTGGTGGGAGGGCGTTCCACAGGGCGGGTGCCACTACCGAGAAGGCCCTCTGCCTGGTTCCCTGTAACTTGGCTTCTCACAGTGAGGGAACCGCCAGAAGGCCCACGGCGCTGGACCTCAGTGTCCGGGTAGAACGATGGGGGTGGAGACGCTCCTTCAGATATACTGGACCAAGGCCATTTAGGGCTTTAAAGGTCAGCACCAACACTTTGAATTGTGCTCGGAAACGTACTGGGAGCCAATGTAGGTCTTTCAAGACCGGTGTTATGATAGAAAGTACCTTCTTTCCTTTTACATTTCCATATGGGGGCTGATCCTGGCAAGGCAGCGTGGCCCCAACAGCATTGTCTGTTATCACCGACCCGGACTTCCACTCCACGTTTATCAAGGCCAAGCCGGAGCAGAACTTGGGCGTGCCTGCCTCCAACCCCAGTGCTATAACCACTGCTCCATCCTGCCCTCCTGTCACCTTCCTGCCTTGCCTTTCAGGTGAAGCGTTGGGCATCAAGTACCCTGTCCAGGTTCCATACAAGCGCATCAAGAGCAACCCGGGCTCTGTGATCATCGACGGGCTGCCCCCGGGGATCCCCTTCCGGAAGCCCTGCACCTTCGGCTCCCAGAACCTGGAGAGGATATTAGCCGTGGCAGACAAGATCAAGTTCACGGTAACAAGGTATTTCCCTCCTCAGGGATCCTTCCCAGGTTGTGCTTTTGTGAGGGCGAGTGTGTTTGTGCTGGAGTGGGCCTTCTGCCTTGTGGCCTGCATTTACCGTATTTTTCACGCTATAGGACGCACTTTTTCCCCTCCAAAAATTAAGGGGAAATGTGTGTGCATCCTATAGAGCGAATGCAGGCTGCGTGGCTAAGCCCAAAGCCAGAAAAGGGAGACGGAGCGCTGCGCAGCACACCGTCTCGCTGTTCTAGCTTGGGGTTAACTGCACAAAGCCTTCGCAGGGCAGCGGGGTGCCGTCACCCTGCTGCTCTGCGGAGGCTTCAAAGGCTGCGCTCCGGGGGCTTTAGGCAGCTATCCACAAGCCTTCGGAGCGCAGCAGGAGTTCCCGCTGTGCTCCAAAGGCTTTGGGTTCCTTTAGCTGAAGCTGGGAGAGCAAGACTCTCCTGGCTTCAGTAGAGAGGGAGAGCTGCGCAGCACCCCTTCAGCGAAGCGGGAGGAGAAATAGAAGGGGCTCCGTTTCTCCTTCGGTTTCGCTGAAGGGGCGCTGAGCAGAGAGGGGGAGCAAAAAAATTTTTCCTGTTCTCCCCCTCCTATGTTCCGGTGTGTCCTATGGTCTGGTGCGTCCTATAGAGCGAAAAATACGGTATGACTCTCTGCTAAAACAAGTCGCTCGGGGTTTCTTCCTAGTCTTACAGGCATACTATCCATGTGGGTTTGTATGCGTGTGAGAATATGGATGTGTTGGTCTCGCCCACCGCCATCGTGCATTTCCCTTCCAAAGGTATCTGGCCTAGTGGGTGAAGAAGGTGCAGAAAGGTTCTCCCACCTGCTACTTGAAAGTAATGCACACCTTTCTGGGCCAAACGACATCGCTATTTGGCGTGCGCATTAGATTTGATGGTGCGGTTGCATTTGCCAGCAAATACTTTTCTCGGTCTCAAGGTTTTGAAAACTGAGGTGTGCATTACATTCACGTAAATATGGTATGAGACATGGTGGGAAATGCTCGTTTTATTTGTAAAAATTTAAAAAGTTCTTTATTGCCAAACGTACATGGCCCTATAACTAAATATTAAAGTAAGTTTGGGGTGGGATTGCTTATTGTAAACAGGAGAAATAAATCACACCATAACCCACAAAGAACAAAGACTGAAATGGGGCTGGGGGTGGGGAGAGTTAAGGAAAGGAAATACTAAAATCAATTATGATAATTGTAATAATTGCTTACTTATTTATTAATACATATTTTGTTTTCCAGGCCTTTCCAAGGACTCATTCCCAAGCCTGGTAAGTGCCCAGTGTAACCAAAGACTTAAGTATATCTTTCCATTCTGGAAAGCAAGATAACTTTAACAATTTTGTGGGGCCGTCCATTTGGGGGAGGTGGCCTGTTGTCTGTTAAATTTTTGCTCCATGGTATTCTCCATTCTGCATGTGCATTAGCTCTGTGTGTCTTTGCAGATATAGTTGCTTTTCACATCTCTCTCTCTCTCTTGTGTGTGTGTATTCCGTTGCTTGTTTCAAATTGTATGTTACCCTGTAAATTCATATTCTATATATACATGCCAAACTGAGGATGACCACAGGTCCAAAATGTGTCTGGCCATATTTCATTTTGTTTGACGAGAGTCCAGCCATTTTATATTTGGTCTGTTTATAATACAGTCGTACCTTGGAGGTTGAACGAAATCCATTCCGGTTTGACTTCCAAAGCGTTTGGAAACCAAAGTGCGGTGTCTGCTTGGCTGCAGGAAGCTCCTGCAGCCAATCAGAAGCTGCGGAACTTGTGTCAGATGTTCAGGTTCCAAAGAATGTTCGCAAACCGGAACAATCACTTCCAGGTTTGCGGCGTTCGGGAGCCAAAACATTCGAGAACTAGGCTGTTCGAAAACCAAGGTACGACTGTAGTTCATATTAGTTATACAGAATGCTAGTTCTGTATAACTAATATAAACTGCAGTTGTACCTTGCTTTTCGAACAGCCTAGTTGGCCTTCTTTGGAGGCTTAGTTTCCAATTTGTTCAAAATGGCTTTCATTAGCGGCTTATTACGAAAAGATCTCTTAAGAGCCAAAGGCACTGCATAAAATCAGAAACATTGCATTGCAATAGAAGTCATGGCAATGACCCATAAACAGACCAAGCAAAGCAGAAGCTTGAGCAACAGAAAGTGTCTCATCGATAAACAGCTGAGCATTTACGAATTGAAGACACACAAACACACAAAAGGTGTGTGCTTTTTATGCAGACCGTCTCAGGTTCATACTGTGGCATCTCTATCTGGAGCTAGGAAAGACAACCGTCTAAAGGCCTGGAGAGCTAGTCAGTGTAAATTACCCTTCCTTAACTCCAGGCCTTCCAGATGTTATTGGACTTCAACTTGCACCAGCCCTAGCCAGCATGACTAATGGTTAGAGGTGGTGGGAATTGTCGTCCAACAACCACTGGAGGTTCACAAATTCCCTATCCCTGGACCAGACAAAACTAAGCTGGATGGAGCAACAGTGTGGTATATAAGAGGCCTTCCATAATATTTTAAATGGTGAATGTGCTTTACAACCTCTTTTCTCATACTTCAGAAACCAATGAGTTCAATGTTAAGTCCATTTTGCAAGTGAGGGAACAAGAGGCTTAGGAGTGGGCGGGTGGCAGATCATTGCTTCTTCCGATGGAGAGAACTCAGTCCATCAGAAGCAGAAATCGTATTAAGGAGGAAAGCTCTCTATGACTTTTGGTGAAGGGGATATGGTGTAACCCAAAATTTTTCAGTCTGAAAAACGACATGTTTGGGAAAATGGGGCTTTCGAAAGCAGGAGAGATGGAGAACAAATATGTTTGAACAAGAAAAAAAGGGTAATTAGGGTCAATATGTTGCATGTATTATGCTTATTCCGAAAAAGGAGGGGGAAAGGAAATTGCTGGGTAGAAGGCAACTTATCATTATTATTAGTGACCTGTTTGCCAATTTATCAAGAAGAGTTTCTTCCAAGTCTTGTTAATTGCCCAGGGACAGGGAGCAATCATGCTTGGGAATGCAATGAAGAGGGAGGGAATGCTTTGCCCACCTGAAAGCAGAGTACCTTTTAAACTTTCAGCTTAAAGCAAGAAAGCAATGATTTTTTTTAAATGTATTTATCTTTTTTTAAAAAAAAAGTTTAATAGCAAAGAAACGTCAGATAATAAGAATAATCCATCAATCTGAATTTAAATATTTACATATTCATACAAACAGTCCATATGCTCAAAAAGATATCTAAACAAGATTGATTATACATTGAAATCCCATATTACCCTTGCAATTTATTGTTATTCATGTATTGCATTTCTAATCCACCTTCCTTCCAAGGAGCTCACGATGGCGTACAAGGTTCTTCCGCTCCTCGTTTTATCCTCACACAACAATCCTGTGGGGTAGGGCATAGGCTGAGGGGCAGTGACCAATGATGAGTGGAGATTTGAGACCAGGCATAGGAGTCATCTCCTAGGGGCTGAGGACCCTTCACACACACACACACACACACACACACCAATAAAATATTTGAGGGAGCCAAGCCCCGCAAAGTTGATGGGCACTGCCATTCAAAAGGTCTGTGTGTGCCGCGTCTTGTGATTGATTAAGTGACGCTCCCTCCCCATATTTTGTTCCAAGTTGGCACCCTGAAATCAGCATCCCGGGTCCTAGTCTGGCACACTTACTGCCACCCCACAAGGCTAACTTTTCCTACGGCCCTAACAAAGAAGCGCTTGTCTTATTTTACATTGCGAACTGCTCTGCAATCTTGGGATGAAGGGCGGTATTCAAATTTAATAAATAAAACACATTGCACATTCATAATAAATAAAACACATTTAATAAATAAAACACATTAAAGGGCATGCACACACACAATAGAAATAGTGGTTTTTTTAAGTAAGTAAAAGGTAAAGGACCCCTGGACGGTGAAGTCCAGTCAAAGGCGACTATGGGGTTGCGGTGCTCATCTCGCTCTCAGGCTGAGGGAGCCGGCGTTTGTCCACAGACAGCTTTCCGGGTCATGTGGCCAGCAGGACTAAACCGCTTCCGGTGCAATGGAACACCGTGACGGAAACCAGAGCGCACGGAAACGCCGTTTACCTTACCTACCTATTTATCTACTTGCACTGGCGTGCTTTCGAACTGCTAGGTTGGCAGGAGCTGGGACACAGCAATGGGGGCTCACTCCGTTGTGGGGATGAACCGCCAACCTTCCGATCGGCAAGCCCAAGAGGCTCAGTGGTTTAGACTACAGCGCCACCCAACGTATTAAAAGGAGCAGAGGAAGCGAGCTACCTGATTCCAGTTCAGACTACTGGGCCATTTTGGTCAATATTGCCTACCACGACTCCAGGGTTTCAAGCGAGAGGTGCCCCCCCCATCTTGCTAAGAGATGCTCTGGGGGGGGGAGCCTCTCCCTGCCTTAGCTGGAGATACTGGATACTGACCCCACGATCTTCTGCGTGTAACTCATATGCTACGGCCCTCGTCCCTGGTCCCCAGGAAAAACCACTTGACCACAGGGGCTACTGGCATGAGTGATGGTGCCCTTGGTGCAATGCCCCATGGCAGCTTGCCTCCAGATGTGTAGCTTAACGTTGGCACAGAGCTTTCGGGAGATCGTGTGTGGATCAGCCTCAGCCTTTTGGGCTCGGTTCTCGTGCGAAAACTGACCTCTGCTCATTCTCGCTCCCCCTTCTCTCTTTCCTTAGCGCCTAGACGGATTTCCACACTGGAAAAAGCTTACGCTGCTTTGCACGGTACGTTGCTCCGTGGGTGCGTCATGGATGGTAGCAGACAAGAAAGGCTTGGCTAAGGGAACATGCGATTAAACCGAGCGGCTGTGGAAGGGCCCTGGTGGGTTTTAAATACAGTGGTACCTTGAGTTACAGACGCTTCAGATTACAGGCGCTTCAGGTTACAGACACCGCTAACCCAGAAATAGTACCTCGGGTTAAGAACTTTGCTTCAGGGTGAGAACAGAAATCGCGCGGTGGCGGCAGTGGGAGGCCCCATTAGCTAAAGTGGTGCTTCAGGTTAAGAACAGTTTCAGGTTAAGAACAGACCTCCAGAACAAATTAAGTACTTAACCCGAGGTACCACTGTATGTCCAGGGACTGTAGCTGGCATTTTAGGTGTGCTGTGGAGCTTCTGAGCCTGCGGGGGGGGGGTGCCCCACAACTAGCCAAAGAGGCTGCCAACCATCACAATTTCAGGGATCTTTTTTTTGGGGGGGGGACATTTCTGTATTGCAGGGGGTTGGACTAGGTGACACTTGCGGTCCCTTCCAACTTTACAGTTCTATGATTCTATAGAGAACAGGTGGCGATGGGATGAAGCGAGATGGCAACTTGGCCAGGAAGGCTGCGTCCTGACCTGAGCTTTGCCCCTGACCTGGGCCACATTTATGACCTATGTTTAAAGCAACATGGTTCCACGTTAAACAGCTGTGGCTTCCACCAAAGCATTCTGGGAATGGTAGTTTGTTGAGGGTGGCTGAGAGCAGTCAGGAGACCCCTGTTCCACTTGCGCAGCTACAGTTCCCAGAGTTGCACGGGAAGAGGAATCGACTGTAAAAACCACACTGGGAACTGTTGCTTTGTGAGGGGAAGAGGGGTCGCTTCCAAGCAACTCTCAGCACCCTTAGGAAGCTACAGCTCACAGGATTCTTTTTTTTCGGGGTGGGGGGGAATCTACGGCTTTTTAAAGTGGCATATCATCGTGCTTTAAATGTATGCGTGTGAATGTAGCCCTGGTTCAGCTTCATTGCTTCCCTCTCAGAGGCTGCTTTGAATATTTAAAATAAAATTTAACCAGGCACAAGAGATCAGATGGCAGATCTATAGGTTGACTCTTACCCCCACTTAAAGTGAGAATAAGCAATCTTAAGAGCTGCACCCACTTTGTATAGTGGAAAATAGACAAGACGATTATTATTATTGTTATTATTATTATTATTATTATTATTCCTGGACTTCAGCCAAAGATCCCACAGCGGCTTAGAACAATTAAAACACAGTATTACAGACTTTTTCAAACAACTTAAAATTACACAAACAAGATGGGTCCTAAAAATGCACACTTAAAGTATAAAATGCCAGGTGTGTCTTCAGCATTTTCTAAAAGCTGTATTGTGAAAATACCATGTGGGGAGGAAAATTTCACAACTTAGGAGCTGCCATAGAGAAGGCCCTCTCTGGTCAGGTGAGGTGAGAGGTGGGAGATTCAGGACAGAAAAAAGGAAGTGCTTCATTTCACAGCTGAACTGTGGAACTCACTGCCACCAGATGCAGTAAGGACCTCATCCTTGGACAGCTTTGGGCAGAAGGATAAGACTATCAATGACAAATAGCCATCAGGGTTAGTGGCAGCGTGCCCTTGAAGAGCAGTTGCTGGGAAGCAGCCACCGCAAGATAAGTCTATGGCTCTCATGACCTGTTCATAGCTATTCCATCGGGGGATCTGGTCTGATCCTGCTGAGTTCTCCTTATGTTCTTAGGTTAGCTAGAGAGGACCTTACTCCTAGGTTGAAGGAGCTAACTGAGGCGTTCTACAGTAGCCATGAATTTCATAAAGGGTGCAGAACAACTTCTCTGCGTTTTACATCTCTCATTAAGTGCAATTGTCAGCAATGGCATCGGAGTAGGTCTTTGGGGCAGAATAAGGAGGAGGTTTGTTTACTTTTTTGAACTATTTATAGACAGCACTTCCATAAAAAAATACAGCATCCAGAATTACAGTGAGATAAATAAAAAGAGCAGTAAATTCTGGCTGGCAAAAAACGGAAAGTTACCTTGCAAAGCGCTGAGTAACAGTTTATAGGAGACACCTGAAGGAAGGCAGGGGTAATTCCCGCCGAGCCTCTAGTGGCAGGGAGTTCCACAGGGCACAGACTGCCGCATTCAAGGCTTGGAGGCCTCTAGTAAAGACTGACCAAACCCCAGGGGTGTGAGGAACCTCAGGGAGTGGCCATCAAAGGATCTCAGTGATCGACGCAGAGCATAAGGAATCAAATGGTCCTTTAGGTACTTTGGACTCAAGCTGTGTTGATGCAGCTGGGCCTGACAAGCGGGAGAGGGCGATCATACTCACATCCTGCCCACTGGCAGTTCTTGTGTCCTCAAGAGCAACATAACCAGTGACAAAGGCTGCATTAGCACCTTAGGGTACTTCCAGGATGATGGGATTTTTGTGACCTTGCCCACCACTATGAGTCTCAATGATGGAACGAGAGCAGTCAGCCCCTTGGTGCGCAATGGCACCTTCTGAAGCACACCGGCGACTCCTGAAGCACACCGGTGGCCCCGCCATTTCCCCCATTGGTGGTGCGCAGCTGGGGACGCACCACAGCTGGGGAAAGTCTTGTTCAGCCTGCATAGCTGTCTTTTTGAGGCCTGCCTCTGCCGTCACGAGGGGCTTGATCAGCTGTGCCAAAAGCCAAGGTTTCAGAAAGAAACGGTCCAGACTCCTCTGTCCTTGCGTTACACCCAATATTCACTGCCTGAGGCAGGTGCAGGGAACCTGCAGCCCTCCAGGTGGTGCTGTACTACAACTCCCATCAAGCACTGCCAGCAGCCAGGCATTATGGGGATTGTAGTCCAACAGCAGTCAAGAGCTGCTTGGTGTGAGGCAGCTTCCTTTGCTTGGTGCTGTTTCAAACCGAGCAAAAAAACCAACCGTGTGTTTCAGTCCAGAGTTTCCTTTCTTTGTCTGCTACCATCAACATACCCACGTCTGCCAAACTGAGCATAAGTGGCGTGAAGCTCAAAGAGTGAAGGGGAGGCCGAGCCCCTTTCCTCCGGATCCTTCTAAATCCTTCAGGACATCCTTCCACCCCGATAGCATGAAGAGCTGCAGACCCGGGTGGCAACAGGCCATAGATCGTCTCCCCCCCCCCAATCTGGTGCCCTTCTGGGTGCTTTGGACTACAACTCCCATGACTCCCGGCAAAGCTGTGCTGGCTGGGGCTGATGGGAGTTGTAGTCCAAAACGTCTGAAAGGCACCAGATATGGTTGTCATAAAGTGGAGGGTGGTGGAACCTCCTACCCAGAGGACCAGATCTGTATCTGCCCTACTAATACCCAGCTCTACTTCTCCTTTAAATCAGAACCGGTGAAGGCAGTGAAGGTCCTGTGTGAGTGTCTGGAGGCAGTTGGAGGATGGATGGGAGCTAACTGATTGAGGTTGAATCCTGACAAGACAGAAGTACTATTTTTGGGGGACAGGGAGCGGGCTGGTGTGGAGGACTCCCTGATCCTGAATGGGGTAACTGTGCCCCTGAAGGACCAGGTGCGCAGCCTGGGAGTCATTCTGGACTCACAGCTGTCCATGGAGGTGCAGGTTAATTCTGTGTCCAGGGCAGCTGTCTACCAGCTCCATCTGGTACACAGGCTGAGACCCTACCTGCCCGCAGACTGTCTTGCCAGAGTGGTGTATTCTCTAGTTATCTCCCACTTGGACTACTGCAATGCACTCTACGTGGGGCTACCTTTGAAGGTGACTCGGAAACTGAAATTAATCCAGAATGCGGCAGCTAGACTGGTGACTAGGAGCGGCCACCGAGACCATATAACACCGGTCCTGAAAGACCTACATTACGTTTCTGAGCACGATTCAAAGTGTTGGTGCTGACCTTTAAAGCCCTAAACGGCCTCGGTCCAGTATACCTGAAGGAGCGTCTCCACCCCCATCATTCAGCCCGGACACTGAGATCCAGCGCCAAGGGCCTTCTGGCAGTTCCCTCGCTGTGAGAAGCCAAGTTACAGGGAACCAGGCAGAGGGCCTTCTCGGTAGCCGCACCTGCCCTGTGGAACGCCCTCCCGTCAGATGTCAAGGAAATAAACAACTATTTTGAAGGCAGCCCTGTTTAGGGAAATTTTTAACGTCTGATGCTGTATTGTTTTTAATATTCGGTTGGAAGCCGCCCAGAGTGGCTGGGGAAACCCAGCCAGATGGGCGGGATATTTATTATTATTATTATTATTATTATTATTATTATTATTATTATTTTACTCCTCAAGCACCAAATGGCCTGACATCAGATGACCCACACCTTCAAACTGGCTTGCAAATTTTTAATTTGTATGTTAAATTTATATGCTACCCTTCATCCGAGCCCGGGGCTTCGCAACTATGACGTAGTGAATTGAGCAGAATGGGAGGCAAAAGGCAGGGAGGGGGCCAAATTTTGGCCTTACACAAAACATCCGGCACTGCCCAATTCCAGTTGGGAGCAAAGGGCGAAATGCCTCCCACTCCTCACATCAAAGTCTTGATGCAGCTCCTACACGCAAGCTAGACAATTAGCCAGTGCACTGTAGTGGTTAGAGTGTCGGACTGCAACGTGGGAGACCAGAGTTTGAATCCCCACTCAGCCATGAAGGTCACGGGGGCCAGTCACCCTCAGCCTAGCCCACCTCGCAGGGTTGTTTTGGGGTGAAAATGGGAAGACGTGCGTACGCCACCTTGAGTTCCTTGGAGGAAAGGTGGGCAATTAACGTAATGCGCTAAAATAAACCAGGCAGGGGCAAACTACGTGTCACATGCAGTAGGTTATGTCAGCAACCGGATGGGTGGGAGGAAGAGCTCCCAAGGTTACAGCTCCCTGTTTCCTGTCTCCGCAGACGAGGACGACGCCAACCGCTTAGGCGAGAAGGTGATTCTCCGAGAGCAAGTGAAGGAGCTCTTCAACGAAAAATACGGTGGGTTGCCTTGCTCTGCGAGCGACAATAGATCTGCTGTGGTGGCGCTGGTGGTCAGAAAAAAAAGTTTTTGCCTGGTGCCCAGTGATATGTAATGATGGCTCCAGGAGAACCTCCCCGGGAAAGCATTCTATAAGCAGGGGGCCACCACTGAAAAGGCCGTCCTCCTCTTTACCAATGGAAGAGTGCCTCAGTGGACGACTACAGGGTCTGGGTTGGTTCCTGTGGGGAGAGGTGAATAACTTTGGAATCACGGGGAATGCGGGCAGAGTGTAACTCAGCGAGGCAAAGGCCTGTGGTGTCTCCAGCAATAGGAAGGCTCGAGAAGGAGGCCTTGTGTAATCTGGCCTCCTAAACTCCAGCAATTGCTGGAGTTATTTGTGAGAAAGCTTCAGGAGTAAACCCTGAGGAAAACTCCATAGTGCCCACTGCCTTGCGGGACATCTTTGGGAGGAGAAAAGGCTAAGTCTCTTAAGACAACCTTGTACGCCTCCTTCCAGCAACTCCGGCAGCCAAGCTGGTGCCAAACACATTGCTCTTCTTTCCTTTGGATCACCTCAGTGAGGTCGAGAGAGGGGTGGGGTGGTCCTGTTGTATGGGCAGCCCAGGTTGCCTTGCTCCCCAGGGAGGTCAGTCCGATGCTTCTAACGCAACAAAAACAACACAGGAGGCAGCAGTTATGAGTGAGTGGTCTCTGCCGCTACAGCAGACACTGGGGTTCTACAGGGGGTTGACTTCACTCCTGGGTGGCACACTCCATTGTCGCTCGAGACAAACAATACAGTGGTACCTCAGATTGAGAACTTAATTCGTTCTTTCTCATGAACTGGGCAGAAGGAGGCAGCAAGCAGACTTGGAAGTAGCAGAGAGATATGCATGGTGTAGAGTGGTACTGTGCTGGTCCAGGGTGGAGGTAGCCGTGGGCGAGGTCCAGGACCTGAGTTGAGGGTCGGCAGACAGTCCTCCATGGGCGAAGCAGGATCTAAAGCGAGGAGCCGGGCAAGGACAGGAACTCTGGAGGAACAGGACTGGGTGCTGGCCGAAACAGCTCTTCAACGACGTTGCTCCCGCAACCTGGGACCGGGCTGACTGGCCTTTATCTTCTCTGAGGCCAGGGGCGGCCCCGGCCCCCAGGAGACCCGCCTCTCCTGGCCTTAAGGCGAGCACTCCTCCTGGGAGAAACCAGTTCCCTCCGCCTCTCTGCCCTGAGCCTCTGCAGTTCAGGAGAGGCTGGAGGGTTACTGGACTCAGGGGGAGACTCACCTGTAGGCACTGAGTCCTCAACCACCTCCAGAGCCAGAGTGGATTCACCTGGTGCCTGCTCCTGAGGATCCGGCACAGGTGCAGGCCCTTCAGATTCAAGGCCCTGCCCCGGCTCAGCCGGTCCTGGAGACGGGGACTCCTGTGCAGGCTGGGATTCCTCCGGTTCAGCCTCTGAATCGGATTCCCAGGCCATCACAGGTACCTCGGGTTACAGACGCTTCAGGTTACAGACTCTGCTAACCCAGAAGTAGTACAGTGGTACCTCGGGTTAAGTACTTAATTCGTTCCGGAGGTCCGTTCTTAACCTGAAGCTGTTCTTAACCTGAAGCACCACTTTAGCTAATGGGGCCTCCTGCTGCTGCCGCGTTGCCGGAGCACGATTTCTGTTCTCATCCTGAGGCAAAATTCTTAACCCGAGGTAATATTTCTGGGTTAGCGGTGTCTGTAACCTGAAGCGTCTGTAACCCGAGGTACCACTGTACACCATGCATATCTCTCTGCTACTTCCAAGTCTGCTTGCTGCCTCCTTCTGCCTAGTTCATGAGAGAGAACGGGCAGTAGCCGACTAACTTTTACTCAGAGTTCGCAGTTACGTTTTAGGACCAGCTTTTTCCAGGGAGGTTTCGGAAACCGCAAACAGGATGGGGACCAGGCCGTTTCCATTTCCGCTGTGAGACGTGGCAGGGTTCTCCATCTTGGGCCTTTTGCATCCTGCTATATCCTCTGCTGTTGTTTCAGGAGAAGCTCTGGGCCTGAACCGACCCGTCCTGGTGCCATACAAGTTGATCAGGGACACTCCGGACGCCATCGAAGTAACCGGCCTGCCGGACGACATTCCCTTCCGAAACCCCAACACCTACGACATCCACCGGCTGGAGAAGATCCTCAAAGCCAGAGATCGTATCCGGATGGCGGTTACCAACCAGCTCCAGTAAGGGCGTCCCAGTTCCCACCTCGCACCTCTGAGCGCTTCTGTTGGATATGTAATGTCGCAGCGGCCTCTGCTGGCCTGAAACCAGAACTGCTTTGTTGATTTAATTGCGGCAGAATTGCTGCAAGTGAATTTATCAGAACATACAAAAACAGGTCAATTCATTTATTCACCGCATTTTCCTCCGCAGCACCTGGGGTCAAAGCAGTTCACGATAAGAAACAGTCTAAATATGGTAGTTCAAAAACAATGGCTACTCAAAAAAAGAAGAAGAAGTATAGTATCGCTAGATAGCTCAGTTGGTTAGGGCGTGGTGTTGATAATACCAAGGTCGCAGGTTCAGTTCCCTTATGGGACAGCTGCACATTCCTGCATTGCAAGGGTTTGTATTAGATGATCCTCAAGGTCCCTTCCAATTCTATGATTCACTAATAACATAATAGCATATGATTGCCAGTTCATTTCTGGGCCCGGTTCAAGTACTCACATTGGTGTTTAAATTACAGATAGGTAGCCGTGTTGGTCTGCCATAGTCAAAACAAAAAAAATTCCTTCCAGTAGCACCTTAAAGACCAACTAAGTAAGTTCTTGGTATGAGCTTTCGTGTGCATGCACACTTCTTCAGATACCAAGAACTTACTTAGTTGGTCTTTAAGGTGCTACTGGAAGGAATTTTTTTTGTATTGGTGTTTAAAGCTCTCAATAACTTAGGTCCCAAATATCCCCTGGCAGATCACAAAACAAGATTCCAAGATTCCATTTCCAAGATTGTTTTGATTCCAAGATTGTAGACTTTTCACAGGGGCTTCCAAACTCTTCTTCGTCTGTTTCATTTCCTTAAGAATCGCCATCAATCTTTCACTATGCAAATACCGCATTTTTCAATTTATCCATTCATTTTTATTTTTATTTTTTTTACACTGCAGGCCCTTTGCAGACCTAGGATCTGAGGCCAAACAGCCAGGTAAGTTGAAAAGTGAGGAGGAAGGGAGATGAAAAACAAAAACCCCAACCCCGAAACAGTCTCTCTTTGCTCGTAAGAAGATCGGAAGAATCCTGCGAGTCTCTTAAAACTTCTAGCAGGGGGAGGATGTGATTTGAAGTGGGAGAGGGGTGCTGTTTAATCCTTCCCTGCGCTCGTGGTTTCCGCACAACTAGGGCACTGAAGGTGTGTTTATTGTGTTGCGACGCAAAGTGGGGCGGGAAGCAGGAAGGGTGCTGCAGTTCCCGTTTGAACCCACGTCCCCCTTGGATGTCCCTAGAAAACGATGGCACCATTCCCAAACGGAAGCGGAAGAGGATTTCGGAAGGGAATTCTGTGTCTTCCTCTTCATCATCATCTTCCTCCTCCTCTTCAAATCTGGAGTCCACGTCATCAACCAACCAGATCTCACTTGTGGTAAATCTACATCAAGGGGCTTGTTTTTGCTGAAGGGGAGGGTCAGCCTGTGTCTGGACTGCACAACCTCAGAATGTGGATTGGCCCTCCCATGACTGAACACACAGCACGTCCACTGCTTTCAAGACCCAGCATTGCCCTAAAGAGGATTCAGATTAAGAGCTTTATCAAATGCTGGTGCTGCTCACAGTAGACCCACTGAAAATAATGGGCATTGCTAACTTACAATCACAGAATTGTAGAATTGGAAGAGGCCCCAAGGGTCTGAGAGCCAGTGTGGTGTAGTGGTTAAGAGCAGTAGACTCGTAATCTGGTGAACTGGGTTCGCATCTCCGCTCCTCCACATGCAGCTGCTGGGTGAAGTCTCTCAGCCCCACTCACCTCACAGAGTGTTTGTTGAGGGGGAGAAAGGGAGGGAAGGGAAAGGAGATTGTTAGCTGCTTTGAGACTCCTTCGGGTAGTGATAAAGCGGGATATCAAATCCAAACTCTTCTTCTTCATCATCTAGTCCAACCCCCTGCAATGCAGGAATCTCAGCTAAAGCATCCATGACAGATGGCCATCCAACCTCTGCTTAAAATCTTCCAAGGAAGGAGAGTCCACCTAGAAAAATGTCACCTAGACCCAGGGAAACCAACCTCCAGATATTACTGGGCAGCATCTCCCACATCTTTGGCCATTGGTGTAGCAGGCTGGGGCTGATGGAAGTTGTACTCCAACAAATTTGAGGCTACCCTTAGTCTAGACAGGCCCCATTATAGAGTGTTAGCTTCCTATGAGATCCTTGAATCGCTCAGGGGTTCTTTGTTGGCTGTTTCGAGGGCTGCATCTACACAGCTATAAAAAAACATTCTGAAAATGCTCTGGAAGAAAAACCATTTTAAAGTTCACAATGGAAAAAAACCATAGAGTTCTGATTTCAGCTCAACAGCGCCATCTGGTGTCACAGTGTTATAACACATTTATAACGTTTTATGTTTACTAATGTAGAGTTTGGATTTGATATCCCGCCTTTCACTCCCTTTAAGGAGTCTCAAAGCGGCTAACATTCTCCTTTCCCTTCCTCCCCCACAACAAACACTCTGTGAGGTGAGTGGGGCTGAGAGACTTCACCCAGCAGCTGCATGTGGAGGAGCGGAGACGCGAACCCGGTTCCCCAGATTACGAGACTATCGCTCTTAACCACTACACCACACTGGCGTTTTATGTTTACTAATGTAGCTGAGTCCATGTACTCATTGTGGTACATTAGCCGATTTGATTAAAAGGCTTCGTGTTTAATAAAAGCACACTGTAATTAACCAGGAATAGTGCTTTTTTGTTAATGCTTTAAAAAAAAATTGCTTAAAATCAATGAGTAGCAGGCAGTAGCTTAGAAGAAATGAAATTCCTTCTCTTCTACCAATAGTAGGACACTGTAATCCTGTATATGTGTGTGCTGTGTCTGTAGAGTGTGGGAAGTCATGTCCAATTTTTGGTTGCGCCCCCAGCTGGCATGCCAAGGGTGAATGTGGTTTTGGGGCTAATGAAGGTTCTCAACCCTGGTTTAGCGCTGCGACATCAAGCTTCTCCCTGCTCTCCTTTCCCAGTGTGGTTGCAAGGAGATTGGAAGCTTCGATTAACCACAGTTTCATGTGTTAATCCAAACCGTAAACTATGGTTAATCTTAAATACGATTAGCAAAAACAAGCCAGCATCATAACCTATGGTTTGAAGGTTGACTTGCTGCCATGAACCATAGTTAGCTACTAACCACTAGCCATAGTTAAAGACTCATTGCAGTTTGTCCAGATTGGGACATCAAAAAATAGCATGAAATGCAAGTGAAAACTTCCAAACTCCTCCTGAAAGGAAGGAGGAAAGGGGAACCATGCAGGTTCAAGGCTCACTGGCTCTTCCAAGTTAATGTTCAACTATGTGCAAATGTAACCATCCCGTTTGGCCCTGATGCAGCCTGATATTTGCAGTGTTGCAATTTCCTTTTGTGTTTTTAAAATTATTATTATTGTTGCTGTTATTGTTATTGTTATTATTTTAATGAGTTTTCCCATCTCTTGCTTTTCCCCCCAGCAATGGCCGATGTACATGTTGGACTACGGAGGTCTCAACGTTCAGATCCCAGGACCGATGAATTATTGAGACCTCATTCACTGAATTGGAACCTCAGATTATATAACACACAAACACACACACACACACAAAGAAATCTCTGACGATGTGTAATTTTTTGTACAAAGTGTATATTCCAATATGTATCGATGCCTTTTAGTTTTTCCAATGATTTTTACACTATATTCCTGCCGCCAGGGCCTTTTTGAATAAAAAAAAGGAAGTGTTGCCTTGCTCTTAAAAAAAAATGTTTTAAAGTTATTGTTGACCACGTCTGCATGCTTACGGAGAAAGAAGTCCCACTGAAAAGAGTAGAATGTGGTGCCAGTTCTTGGAAGCCCTACCTGGTAGCTGGCCAGTCCCACTAAGCCAATTTGGGTCTCAAATTCTTGCTATTATATTTATTACACAGCCTTTCACCAGAGGGTCTTGGGGTGGGTAATATAAAATACAGTATTAAAAATGATTTAAAACAAATTTCTCTTGCACTAGTAAGGTAAAGGTAGAGGAATCCCTGACCATTAGGTTCAGTTGTGGCCGACTCTGGGGTTGCAGCGCTCATCTCGCTTTATTGGCCGAGGGAGCCGGCGTTTGTCCGCAGATAGCTTCCGGGTCATGTGGCCAGCATAACTAAGCCGCTTCTGGCAAACCAGAGCAGCACATGGAAACGCCGTTTACCTTCCCGCCACAGTGGTACCTATTTATCTACTTGCACTTTGACATGCTTTCGAACTGCTAGGTTGGCAGGAGCAGGGACCGAGCAATGGGAGCTCACCCCGTCGCAGGGATTCAAACCGCCAACCTTCTGATCGGCAAGTCCTAGGCTCTGTGATTTAACCCACAGCGCCACCCACGTCCCTCACTCTCTTGCACTAGAGTGGGTACTAAAATACATATATCTTGAGTGTTCAGAGGCCAAGGCAGGGACTGTCGACCTGGTCCCTACCGTCCACTAGTGGGCGTTTCAGGATTCTAGGTGGAGGTTCTATGGCAGAAGCTGAATCCTCCTTCCATCGAGCACTGGTGGGCAGTAAGGAAATTTTACCATCAAGAAAGATGCATTAGTGGGCGGTAGGTATAAAAAGGCAGTGGTGGAGGAACCCTCTCCAGCACCTGGGGCGGGACAAACCGCCTGGCGGTGCACACACAACGTCCCATACGGACTGCGCATGTGTGGCAGCCTGTGCAGACGCCATGTGAACGGCGCCCATACTAACTGTGTGTGTGCCCTTGGCTGCTCTACAGCTGGGGGGGAAGTGGGCCATCTTGTCACCCCCCTGTGGTGCCCCTGGGGTAGACCCCTCCGACCCCCCTTCGTATGCCCCTGTAAAAAGGTTGACTACCCCTGGGCCAAGGCAAAGAAAGTGTGTCTTCAGCATATGAAAGCTGTACAATGAAGGTGCCAGATGTGAGGAGAGAATTCTACAGCTCAAGGACTGCCACAGAAAATGTCCTCTCCTGGGCTACCACCACCTTCGAGCTTCCGAGGGTCCCCACCTGCTGGTCTTAACACCCAAGCGGGTCTGTAGGGCCTGTTAAGCATCTCTTGGCCTAGTTTTTGGCCCATGGAGGTGCAGCTGATGGAAGCAGCTGAATGTCACAAGCTCCAGGGGGTCTGTCCAAGGAGAGTCAAGCCTTTGACCAAACACCCAAGAGAGCATAGCCCCAACAAGCCCAGGTCAAGCACAGATAATCAGCTTAGGTCCAAAAGGTGAACCAGAAACAAGGTCAGGGAACAGTCCAAGGTCAATCCGAGACAGTGAACTAGAAGCACATCCGAGACTAAACAACTAGAAGGCTCGAGAGAGAGGTCTTATCTACTGTGGCCTCCTAAACCACCTCCTAAGCACAGCTGCTGGTCATGAAGAGATTCCTTACAAAGACTCTTGTGTCCGTCGTAGTCAACAATACTGTCGCCATTCTTTGGCCTGGACCCCAAACTTTTAGGCTTGGGCTCTTGAGGACTTCTCCTCCTCTGACAATTACAGGGTATTTCATCAGGTAGCAGCTTGGGGGTCCCCTCAGCATTGGATTTGGGGGCTCTGCCTGTTCCTCCTCAAGGTGTCTTGAGGTGTCTTGTTTGTCTTCAGAGGACTCCATGCCTGGTACCAGGCCAGGTCAGGGCGGCTTACAGCACATAAAACATTGTAAAATATTAGACATTGACAATTTCCCAATACAGGGTTGCCTTCAGATGTCTTCTAAAAGTCAGATAGTTGTTTATTTCCTTGACATCTGATGGCAAGGCACCACTACCGAGAAGGCCCTCTGCTTGGTTCCCTGTAACCTCACATCTCGCAGAGAGGAAACCGCCAGAAGGCCCTCAGAGCTGAACAATGGGGGTGGAGATGCTCCTTCAGTTACACTAGGCCGAGGCATGGTGGCAGAAGGCCTCGTTGGGCCTGCCCGCGGTGGTGGCAGCTCCCCGGGCCTTATGGCCTCCTCCCAACACGTGTGATGTCACACGTGTTGCACGTGTGATGTCACACGCGTGCAACGAGCCCCCGCAATGCTGTGCAGAACTCGGCGCCTTTGGTGGTATCGCAGTGGATGTTAGGCCTTCCTCCTAAACCAGGTCTTGCTTTGCTGGTGCCCCAGATGAACACAAGTGTTGCTCATATGTAGTCAGGCTTGGATTCTATGGAAGGCTTTCATAAGGAATCTCTCTCTCTCTCTCTCTCTCTGCCAAAATTGCAAGAGAATTCCATGATTGCTTTATTACTGTTTTCCCTCTGCTGCTAATTCTTGCTGTTTCCCACAATCATCCATCTTTTCACTTGTCTCCTGCTTTCCACGCAAAGCTTCTGTATATAACATAATTATATGCAGAAGGGACTTTTTGCTTCATTGCAATTAAGAGACGGGAGCTGCAGTTCTTCCAACCCCCCTCCACGCATCCTTTTACAACTTTTGAAGGAGTTTGCCGGTTTATTTGTTCACGTTGCACATGCTTGCACGCTCCAAATTCAATCACAATCCTTGTTAGAAGTGGCAAAACATGAAACGGGTTTATTAAGAAAGGAAGGGGGGAAAGAGTACCCCGAGCAGATGGCATCTCAATGGAGCTTAATTAAAGAATGACAGCTTTGATTAAAACCGTTCCTTGGAAAGCGACGGCACTGAGGTGTTGGAGAAAGCGGGTAAGCAGAATCTGCAATCTTGCCAAGAGCTTGAGAATCACCACTGCAGTGGGGTGAGGGATCCATCTACTTTTGAGCAGAACTTGGTGGGATACAGCCCTATGTATTTATTTATTTGCATTTATTATTCTGTTTACATCCCATTTTACATGCCTCAAAAGTCACTCTGGGCTTCATGGCTGAGTGGGGATTTGAATCCTGGTCTCCCAGGTCCTCGTGGGTGGCGCTGTGGGTTAAACCACAGAGCCTAGGACTTGCCGATCAGAAGGTCGGCGGTTCGAATCCCCGCAACAGGGTGAGCTCCCGTTGCTCAGTCCCTGCTCCTGCCAACCTAGCAGTTCGAAAGCATGTCAAAGTGGAAGTAGATAAACAGGTACCACTCCGGCGGGAAGGTAAACAGCGTTTCTGTGCACTGCTCTGGTTCTCCAGAAGTGGCTTAGTCATGCTGGCCACATGACCCGGAAGCTGTACGCCAGCTCCCTCAGCCAATAAAGCGAGATGAGCGCCGCAATCCCAGAGTCGGTCACGACTGGACCTAATGGTCAGGGGTCCCTTTACCTTTACCTTTATTATTCCGTTTACATTCCATTTTGCATGCTTCTCCCTCCAAGCAGCTCATGGTGGCATCCAAACTTCTCCCTTTCTCAGTTTTAACCGTACAACGACCCTGTGCTGTAGGTTAGGCTGAGAGCTAGCAAATGGCCTCAAAAGTCACTCAATGGGCTTCATGGCTGAGTGGGGATTTGAACCCTGGTCTCCCAGGTCCTATCCTCTCTTAACTGCTACGCCACAGTCCTACTCAATTGTATCCTTTGTAAGTCCTACTCAGAACAGACCCATTGAAAACAATAGGCATAACGAACTTGGGTCCATTATTTCAGTGGTTCCTGCTGTGTGCAAACCTCCGTTGGAAATCACCAATCAGAAGTATTTAACATACATTAGCCATGCCACATTAATTTCACTCTGAGTAGGGCTAGCATTAGCTACGGCTCTGTATTCTGTTTACAAAAATATGTATATACCGCTGTGTAAAATGCAGGAATCTCGCTGGGGCTCAAACCCTGAGATTTAAGAGTCTCACGCTCTGCCAACTGAGCTAGCAGTCATAAATATATATTCTAAAGATACATCACTGTGGTTGAGAGCAATATAAAAACATAAAACTAAACAGTAAAACTATAAAAAGCAAAAAGCAATTAAAAACATATATCTATCTTGAGCAGCACACAGGGCACAGATCTAGGCACAGATCCCTCCTTTACAGGTCGGAAGAAGCCTAGTTCTCATGAAAATGGCACCCTGGTGTCAGGGCCAGGCAGTGGGCAGCAGCCCGAGATGGACAAGGGACCAGGAGCTGTAGGAGAACTAAAGAACTAACGAGGAGGCGAGCTGGACATTAGGATCAAAGTATAACTGAAGCTGCAGGAACCTGTCAGAGCTCAAGAGCTTGTTGCTCCAGCAAATGACAAATGTAACTGGAATCCTGTTTATAGTCCACCCTGTTCAGGAGGAGCCAATGGCCAGTTTGGGTGGGCGGAGTCAGCCTAGGTGCCCACCTGCAATTTCCAAGACTCATCACAGGGGGCGCCAGAAGGCCAGTAGCTTCAAACAGGTGCAGATGGTGGCAGGCTCCAGGGGTCAGCAAGATTTTTCAGCCAGTCCACTGTCCCTCAGACCTTGTGGAGGGCAGACTATTTTTTTTGGGGGGGGATGAACAAATTCCTGTGCCCCACAAATAACCCAGAGATGCATTTTAAATAAAAGGACCATTCTACTCATGTAAAAACATGCTGATTCCCGGGACCATGCGCGGGCAGGATTTAAAAGGCGATTGGGCCGCATCCAGCCCCCATGCCTTAGTTTGCCTACCCATGCTCCAGAGGTACTAGGCAGGGCCGGCCCATCCATGAGGCAAGGTGAGACGACCGCCTCAGGTGGCAGGATGCACAGGGGCAGCAGCAGCAGCAGCAGTGGCACGCTCCTGCCGTCACCTCAGCTGCCTCATCGTGCCACCTCTACAGCAGCCTCTTGGCGAATACAAGGCTTCGCTCCAATCCTGCTATCACAGAACTGCAAAACTGGAAGAGCTCCTAGAAGTCAACCCCCCCTAAGCCAACCACAGTAATATTTTGGGGTGCAGGGGTGTCCCTTGCTCATGGGTTGACCCTAGCTAGCCACAGCCTGTCTCTGCGAGATCCATTTGGAGGAGGAAAGCCTGCATCCGTCTTGGGATATGTTATCAAAAGTGAGGCCTGCATTTTGTTTAAGGTCCCAGCCAGCCTCTTTGGGAATATTCTATTCCACTCCTCTCCACACCTGGTTTCCTGCTTCGTTCTTTTCCAAAAGCCAGTCAGCATTCTGTGCCTCAGAGCTTACTTACAGGGCCAATTTGATTGATCCCACCTGCTTTTCGGGTTTTGTCCTTGTACTTCTGCAAAGCTTGGGGTTGCCCCAAGACGAGTCTACTGCAACCTCTCTCTCGCATCTGGATGACCACATCATGTACATAATATGGAAAAATATCTGAGTTCATTGACTCCTTGATGAGCTAATCAAGTTATTGTCACTCACAACCCAAATCCTTAGGAATGTAAATGAAATGAAGCCAAAAAATACCAATATGTAACCCAGATTTATTAATCACCAATCATCATTATTAGGAATCATAAAATGTGGGGGAAAATAAGCAAGTGAAACAAATGAAAAATAATACCATACTTTTTTTTTAACTTTCTCTAATGAGATAGCTAGACCTGATGGGCTCTATTGTATTGTGAGACCATCTAATTACAGAGGTTCCGCAAAGGAGGTGCACTCTGTACATGCCCATGTGCAGAGGCTCATAGTTCCTACTGAGCTTTTTCTCACCACCATATAAATGTTGGATATTTCTTTTCTACTCTGCTCCCAAATCCTGGCCTCAAGACCTTTTCAATAGCCAGGAAGAGGCGTTTGCTCAGATACGTTGAGAGCTTCACCCTGGCACACTGGGGAGAATGATATAAAGTGCCCCAGATGGCGCCTTTATACTCATAGAATTGGATGGGACCCCAAGGGTCATCCAGTCCAACCCCCTGCAATGCAACGATCTTTTACCCAACATGGGGCTTAAACCCATGTCCCTGAGATGAAGCGACTCACACTCTGCTGACTGAGTTTATTCCAGCCTAATGCATTATATGCACATGCGACAGGGGTTAGGAACCCAAGAAGAGCCTGCTGGATCAGGCCAAAGGAGACCCATCTACTCCATCATCCTGTTCTCACAGTGGCCAACCAGATCCCTGTGGGAAACCTTCAAGCAGCACCCAAACAGAAAAGCACTCTCCCCACCTCCCGCCATGTCGTGGCTTCAAGCAACTGGTATTCAGAAGCATTGCTGCCTCTGAATGTGGAGGCAGAGCCATAACTATTGTGGCTAATCGCCACTGAGAAGCCTTATCTTCCATCAAATTGTCCAATCCAAAATGGGGCCCACCCCTGCTTCTTGCTGAAGTGAGATCCATAGTTTGACAACTGTGTGAAGAAGTGGAAAGAAGAAGTCCCAGGAAAGGAAGAATGGATACAAAAAACTTATGGAATATGCAGAAATGGCGAAACTCACCAGAAGAATAAGAAATCAATATAACAATATAACAATATGACTATCTATCTATCTATCTATCTATCTATCTATCTATCTATGAATGGAAATGGTTTATTGAATATTTACAGATAAATTATAAACAGATAAAAACATAACATTGGCAGGGTTATTGTAATAACCTGCAATTTCATAAGAGTACGGTATATATTTAAAGAAGATGAATAAATGAGCAAATTAAGTTAATTTGGATATGCAGAAGGTATTAAAAACCAATTTAAGGAACCGCAGAAAGAGGGGGAAGTCGAGGTTTGAAATGTCAACATGATTGTAAAATTAGTGAAATGTATAAAATTAGTGAAATGTATAAACTTTAAAGAGGATGAGTGTTCTCGAAGGTACCAGCATGAGTTTGACCAAACTGTGGGAGGCCGTGGAAGACAGAAGTGCCTGGCGTGCTCTGGTCCATGGGGTCACGAAGAGTCAGACACGACTAAACGGACACGACTAACCGACTAAACAACAACAACATAAACTTTAAAAGTACAATACATTAAAAAAGAAGTACTTTATTTCATCTGTCCCAAATCTTCCAGCTTCTTTAGATGCCCACGAGTTCCAGTCTTATGAGGGAGGAAAAAACGTCTCTCTATCCACTTTAATATTTACAATACAGTGAGGGTTATGTGGTGTTAGAGGAGGGATAGTCCCTCTGGGAGTGGGGACACATCCTGCTCCTTCTGGGTTAGTTTATCCATCTTTGCTGCCCACCCTGCCCTCAGTTCTCACCAGTGGCTCCTAGATGTCAGCATTGCAACAGCAGGAAACAGCTTTGACTGGCCGACTAAACCCGGTGAGTGTAGCTGGTGATGGGTCTCAAACCCTCAATGCGTTAAGGACTTCCCCTGCATGCAGCAGATTGAATGGACGAGACCAACAGTGGGTTCAATGGTCAAGAAGGCAGTTTCTGCATGTGCTGTGGAAGTGAGGGGCAGATGGGGCTCGTCAACCTGGGAAGGCAGCCCATCTAGGAGAAGGAAAACTCTGATCCTAAACCTCCGCTGCCTTGCAGGACATCTTCAGGAGAAGAAAAGGCTAAGGAGTAGCACAATTATGGAGTGGAGTTCCTAAGACGGTTGGATGGTGCCTTGTATGCCTCTCGCGAGACAGACGGATGTCAACAACAGCACAATGACACACGCTTACTTATAGGCAAGCACAGCTGAGCCCAGTGGGACTTATTCACAGGATGTAAGAAGGGAGTGATTTCCACTCCCTTTGTGAAGTGTATTCATTGCAATCGGTACTGTTTACATTCTGCTGCAGGTCAGTTTCTGCCAAATACTAGTTATCCATCTCCCTGTTTGCTATTTAATGTGACTTGCATAACTATTTATGCAACTTACATTGCTGACATTCATTTCAATGTAAAGGAACCATCAACGCCATGTGAAAAAAGCAGTTTAATTAAGCATTATATCTGTCGACAGCAATGATGTGAATATCAATTGCATTTGCTTGACTGATTTATGTTCCTGACATAACATGCAAACTGCACCAATTTCCGCTTCATTTTTAATTGAAATTCTCCAGCTTCTCTGCCCACTCATCCTGTGAATAAGCCCCACTGGGGACTTACTTTTGAGTAGATATATGTATAGATAGGATTGCGCAGTCAAGGTGAAACCCTAATCTTGTTTACCAGGGAGTAAGCTTCACCGTACTGTACACTCTAAGCCTTCTTTTCTTCTGAATAGAAAACCTTGTGCAATACAGGAAAGGAAATCTTGCAAAGGTGGTATTTCCATTTCTCATCACTAAGCAAAATAGGACAATGATTTAACTAAAACATAGGGGCACTTGGATCTGTCCTCTCAGATTTGATGAAGGTTTGGGGAGAAGAAACATATATACAGTACTGTATATGTATATGTAAATATTGCCCTCGCTATCCTTAAAATGTTTTCTCTTTGTTGTTATAGAATAGTAACAGTAATTTTTGGAATTCCCACTCTTTACATTGTCTATATAAATATTTCACATTATTGTTGATGATGCAGCAGAGTGTAAGACAAAACACTTAACCGTATCAATGAGTATTATGCATTTATTAAAACTATAGGCTGTATCCAGTATTAGTCGTAGTCTTGACTCCTTGAAAGCAACTTGTGTCCATTTATTTGAATGGGTTGCCTCTGAGTAGTACTTCCCTGGGTACAATCCTACATTCAAATTATCAGAGGGAAACCATGAAAAGTTGCAATACTAATCCCAAAAATTATAGTGTCATGCACATATTGCGATTTTTTTTTAAAAAAAGAACAGAATAAGCAACATAATATTTTACATGCATTTAAAATGTTTCTAGACCTCAACACTTTGGCCGGGAAATGTTCAGGCAACATCTTAAAAATGCTTTCTTTTTTGTTTCTTTTTGTATAAATTAATGCCAGGGCATTTTAAAGGCAGTTAGATTTGCGGCGGGATGGGGAGTGCTAAGAAACAATCCCCGGACAAGGTTTAAAGCGGGCAAAACAAAGCTACGCATCTCGCCTTGCCAGGGCGCACCCTCAATGGAGGACGAAGAAGAAACGGCCTGATCTCGCCAAGCCTCCTGCCTCTGCAGCAAGATTCCCTCATTGTGCACGGGAAAAGGGGGCGGGATTTATTTTTTGTGCCAGTGCATTACACACACACACAGCAATTCAGGTTATGTTTTTGTTTTGTGCTGTGCATCTAAAAAAAAAATAATGCAGTGACTTACAATCCCATTATATATTTTTTTTGCAATTACCATTACTATTATTTTTATTTTATTTTTTTAAAAAATCCTTCCCAAGTGCAAGGAGCTGCTGGAAAGCAACGCCGCCTGGGCCCTGCACAGCCATGTTGTTTCTCCCTCCCCCCTTTTCCCAGGTCCTCGTTGATCGACTCTCTCCGGCCCTTAAAAAAAAAGAGGCCAACGCAGCCCCTCGCTGCTCGGCGCGGTGCTTCCTGGGAGGCGTAGTCTTCCCGCCGAATCCAGGCCGCTCGGAGGCGCCTCGGGAGAACTACATGGCCCAAGGCCGCCATGCGGCGGCGGGGCATGCGCAGAAGCGCCTCCCTTCCCCGAGAACGGGTGAGGGGGGAAAAGGGAAAAAAAAGAGAGAGAGATTCGAGGTCTTCGCTCTCCTCCCCCTCCTCCTCCTCCGGTTCTGGGTTCAGGGTGAGCCGTTGAGCGCAGGGCCCGCGCGCCGCCCCGAGACTTGAGGGTGGGTGAGGGGGGCGGGAAACGCGGCGGGGGGGGGGGCTTCTCCACAAAGAGGGAGGGAAGGGGGAGGGCGGTAATCCCGAGCTTTTCCGCAGGCGGCAGAAGTGCAGGGACGGTTTTTTTAATATATAAAAAATATTTATTTAATTTCGCCATCCGACGCTTCTCTTTCTTCTCTCTCTCTCCCGATTCTCCTCAGCGGCGACGAGTGAGTGGGGGAGGGGAAGGAGGGGGGAGGGGCGAGAGGAGGAAGGTGGGGGAGGGGAGGCCTCGGCCTATCTCTAGATATCTCTCTATCTCTTATCTATAAAATGCCTATTAACCTGCCCATGTGTGGTGGAGGAGGAGGAGGAAAGAAATTGCTCTTCCCCAATTTCTATTTTTGGTTTTTTTTCCCGAGGGGGAAGGGCGCTATTCTTTGTTCTTGGGGGTTTTATTTTAATATTTATATTCCCTACCTCCACACTTTTCTCCATTTTTTACTTATTTGTTTATTGCGTGCGAAGGGGGGGGGAGGTAGGGGCATTGTTGTTGTTGTTGGGAACTTGATTGAACATGTTTCATTGGGTGTTTTTATACTGTTGTGAGCCGCCCTTCTTTGGGTGAAGGGCGGCATACAAGTTGCATAAATAATAATAATGTTCTGGCACTTTTCCCTCTTTCTCTCTTCGCCCCCAATTTTCCATCGTGTTTATCCGCCTGGGGTGGGGGGACGAAAGAGGGTTGGGGCATTATTATTACTGTTAGGAACGTCATTTAAAGATGCTTTCGCACTTTTCCTCCTCCCTTTCCTCCCATTTTCCTTTTGTGGCGCTGGAAAGGAAGAGAGGTTGGAGCTTCATAATTGTTACAAACTTATTTTTTAAAAATACCACCACCCTTTTCCTCTTCCTTTTCCTCCCATTTTCCATTTTTGGGGGGCAGGGTTGGGACACCATTATTGTTACAATATTTAGGAACTTGATCTTAAAATGTCCTTTTTTATTTTGGAGAGTGGGGGTCAATTTTTTCCTCCAGGGTGTTGGGCAGAGGAAGAGGGAACCACACTGAGCCCTTGTTATTGGGAACCTAATTAACATTTTCTCCTTACACTTTGCCATTTTGCTCCTATTTTCCATTGGGGGACGTTGAGAAGGATCCCCTGCCCCTATTTTTCTGGATGTGGGAGAGGAAAGAAGGTTGAGGTTTTATGACGGTTGTGGCTTTCATAAGAAACTTCATTAAAATTTTTCTCTTTACACCTTTCTTCTCCCTTCTTTTCCCATGGGAAGAAACAACAACAAGAACTCCCAGTGCAAAAGAAGTAGGTTGTTGATGTTATTAGGAGCGTATTTAAGAATTTCTTAACTCTTTCTCCTCCCATTATCTATTATGGGAAACAGGAGGACCAAATGTTTCCAGTGGGGGGGGGGGCAGGAGGAAGACAGACAGAGGCTCTATTGTTGTTGTTGCTATTATTACTAACTTAATAATTTCTCAATTCACTACTACAGTACTTCTTCCCTGGTCTCCCATTTTCTGTTGTGGGTGAGAAGAAGCCCTGACTGAACTAATTTTTTTTGGGGGGGGAGGGGAACAACGGGGAAAGATTGAGGCTGTATTATTATTATTGTTGGTGCTTAGTAATAAAAAAAAATTCCTCACACTTTTTCTTCTTTCTCCCCAACCCATTGAGGGGGAGAGGAAAGACTTCTAGTTTTTCAAGAGTGGGAAGGAAAGGTGGATGGGGGACGCGTTGTTATTGTTAGCCACTTAAAGAAAAAAATCTTCTTATACTTCCCCCATTTTTCAATTGAGGGGGTGGGGTGGACTGAGCCATTAATAATATTAGGATTGACCCTTTATTATGGTGGTTGTTGTTGTTGTTGTTATTATTATTATTATTATTATTATTATTATTATCCACCCTTCGACCTAAGGTCCCACAGCAATTTGAAATAAAATATCAAAACAGTTGAAAACAAATTACAATCACATGAATAGGGTGGGTTCCAGCATATGAGGGAATGCTGCAACTTAGGGGGTGCCACAGAAAATAGCCTCTCCAAGTGCCACCCTGAAGCAGCCTATTATTACACTATTATTATTATTATTATTGTTATCATAATCATCATCATCATCAACAACATTCACTTCATATTAGTATTTCTTTACAGCCTCCCCCCCTCAAATCTCTAGAGGAGTTTCTTAAGGGGAAACTGAGGGTTATATCCAGTGTTAGTCTTACTCAGAGTAGACCCATGGAAATTAGGCCTAAGTTGGTCATGTCCGTTAATTTCAAGGTGTCTACTCTGAGCCAAGCTAACATTGGCTACAACCCTGAGCCTCTATTATTATCAACAATAATAATTTATCTTCACACTTCCTCCAGTCTTCATAGAGGGAGTAAATACTTTTCTTACCTATTTTTCTGTAGGGTGGGGAAAATATAGCCTCTGTTTTCGTAGTCATTGTTGATAGGAAGGTGACTTGAGCCTCTCTTTTTGTTAAAACACTAATAAAGACTCAAACCACAACTTCCTGGTAGTGTAAGGAGTAATGTTTTAGTTAATAATAGTAATAAATAATAAGACTTTCACTTTGGAAAGTTGACTAGGAAAGTTCTCTTGCCTACTCTCCCATCTCAGAGAATTTGAGATAGTCCGAGTAGAAATAATTTCTTTTTCCTTGCACTCATTTCCCCCACCCCCCACCCCCAAAAAAATTATCCATGGGAAAATAACATTCTTAGTCTGTATTTGCATGTATGTTTGGAAAGCCAACTGAGGAAGACTTCAGTGGATAGGTTTTTTGTGGGGGTGGGGAAGTGTGGAGAAATAATTATAAAATTTCTTTTCCCTCCCAGTTATCTGGGAAGGCCTTCCTTAGCCAGTTTTCCACAGTAACAATACCAGAGGTTCGTTTCCACTCTGGAAATTAGGCTAAGGCAGTCCTTGTGTGGGATGGGATGGGCAGTGTGGTGACTGGGGCCTGGCTCCGTAGCTTGAAAGTCTGCAGCCTCTGACCCACAAGTCTTGACTCTAGGTACTTGTGAGTCGGAGGCTGAGGCTTTCAAGCTAAGGAGTCAGACCAGGTGCAGGGCTGTGAGCCTCCTGCTAGTAATCACAGACTCAGAATTGTAGAATTGGAAGGGACCCCAAAGGTCCTCTAGTCCAACTTCCCTTCAGTGCAGGAATGTCAGTCCCCTGCCCAATTTGAAACCATACCCGACCCTGCTTAAGCTTTGCAAATGTGCAAGCAGCTTTATTGCTGAGGAAGACAACTGAGGGTGAGGAACATGGGTATGTAGGGCCAGAGCCTGAACCACTCATGAACCTCATCAGTCCAGCTGGCAGAGAGTGCAGCATGCCTGAGGCTAGGGAATTGAGAAGTGCTCCTTGTCTGGCCAGAGGGTTGGCCCTTTAAGAGAGTAGAGTTAGTCACAAGGGGGTGGAGCCTGAGAGAGGTAGCCTGAGAGCAGGAGCTTAAAAAGGCCCAGTCTGCTCTCAGCCTTTCCCCAGAGCAGATTGCTCACTGGGAGCTATCCGTGGTGCTGGTCGGGCAATTGCAGGCCAGCCTTGCCTTCTCTGTGGGTGTATTATTATTATTATTATTATTATTATTATTATTATTATTAATTGAGTTTATACACCGCCCTATATCCAGAGGTCTCGGGGCGGTTCACAGAACAAATTAACCTCTATTCATAAATTAGCATCTATTCATCCTTCTGATGCAATCCCAACTTTTAAGAGGTTTGACAATAAGATATTTGTTTACTGCCCTTCATATAAATAACCCAGGACAGCATTCAGAACTGCAACCTGTCATAAAAAGAAAGAGGAGGAAAAGAAAGAGGAGGAAATACATGTATACATGTGTAGCAGAACATACCAGGCAGTGTGGAAAATAAATTACAGTGGTACCTTCATTCTGGAACTTAATCCGTTCCGGGAGTCCATTCAACTTCCGAAACCATTCGAAAACCAAGGCGCGGCTTTCGATTGGCTGCAGGAGCTTCCTGCACTTAATCGGAAGCCGCATCGGACATTTGGCTTCCAAAAAGCGTTTGCAAACCGGAACACTTCCTTCCAGGTTTGTGGCGTTTGGGAGTCGATTTGTTCAACAACTAAGCCGTTCGGGAACCAAAGTACCACTGTACTGTTTTCCTCTTCACACACACCCTGCTGCCAAGTCTACATGATGGTGGCAAGGCTTTCTCAGTCTCCCCCCCCCTTTTTTTTTTTGCTGAGGCCTGAGTAGTTGTTGTGATGCCTCCCTGAAAATTTGCTTGTCCTTCCACTATGAGGTGGGTGGTGCACAAGAATGATAAATAAATAATTATTCCTAAAATGATAGTAAAATAATAGCATTTTCTCCTCAAACTCTCTACCTGCCTCACGAATGGGCTAAGGAGCCCTTTCCCCATAGAGGGAATGGAGGGGCAGTAGGAAGAGGGGGGAAATAGTTTTATCAAACTCTCCTCCCATTCCATATGTGGGGAAGGGCTTTCTTGTCCTATTTCTAGGCAGAGGGGTTTCATCCAATGTGTTGATGATAATTTAAAAATGCAATAATCAAATTGAGCTTTCTTCTCTATATGCACATCTTTATTACCTTGGTACAAGGGAACAGCTTCCATAGTGAATCTACCAGGAAGAATAAAGGGTGGGTGGGGAAGAATTAAGTTTCATTATTATTGTTTGCTGAATTTATTTCTCTTTCCCCTACCAAACATTATAGTGTTTATTTGTGTGTAGACTTCCTTGGTGAATTACATTGGGTGGGTGTGGAGCCCCTGTACTGTATTGTTTTTGTTGTAATCTTTATTCCACTCTGGTTGCTACATTGTGGTGCTCCCAGCATATTTGTTTCCATATGTGTATCTGTTTTCTACCCTACCCCCACCCTCAGCACCAAATCATAGTGGCCAGAACAACAACTTTTTTTCCAATTACCCTCCCAAATCTGAAGGAAGCCTCCCCTTTTTTCTTTGTTAATTGCCTTTTAAAATAAAGTTCTATTTCTGGAAGGAAGGCTATTTTTGTTCTTTCTCTCCTCCCAAAAGAATCTTCCCACACAAGTTAATGTATTATAGATAGATAGAGATAGACACACACACACACACACACACACACAATGTTTTCAAAGTTTTTGGTGGGATTGTTTTAAATTTTGGCACAGAGCCTGGCATAAAAATAAAAAAGGAATGCTGTGAGCCCCTTTTGGAGAATTCCTGTCAAAAAGTAGGATACCTATTTAATAATTAAAATAGTGCAGATATATTTTCTTTATAATACTTTATCCGTTATTTGTTATCTACTCTCTCTCCCCCCCCCCAAATCTGTGTCCTGCAGTGCACTGTTTTTCTTATTTAGCTGAAGGTTTTCTCCTCACACCACATCAGTGGTAGGAAATTTGCCTACATATTGTGCAAAGAGAAGATATACAAAAAATCCCTTCCCATAGTTCCTACGAGTCCAGTTATCTTTAGATGGTAAACTGTTCCTTTAACTTTTCAGTGGCCTTGTGTACATTAGCTAAAAGTTGGTAAAATGAATGTGGCAAATGTTTGTGTGGTAGTCAGGTATGCTTAAGATTGCAGCCTGATCTTACACATGTTTTTTCAGAAATAAGTCTCCACTCTGTTCAGTGGGTCTTACTCCCAAGTGTGTAATAGGATTGTAGTCTTAGTCTGTTATCTCTTCTCTCCCCGCCTCCAATATTTCTAATGGGGATGTAAGTATGCTTCTTTTCTTCTTCCTGCTATGCCTAGTGGAACCTTTCAGTTATCTTCTCCCCCTGCCCAGAGTCAATATGCTTGGCGGAATGATAAATATGGGGATGATTTTTTTTTTTCACCTGTCGCTTCCCACTGCAGAATTTCCTAATGGGGATCTCCATATATATCCTCCTGTTACTGCTTTATTTAGGATAAAGCTGTCTACCCCTACTCACCAAAATAATCCTTGTAGCGTGTGTGTTGACTGTGGGGAAGAAGTTGTCTAAATATACACCTCCGCTTCCACAGTAACTTCTGAGTGTTCCCCAGCTTTTTGCGTTGCTCCTTTAGACATTTTATTCCCACTCTTTGTGTGTGGTTTTTATCTTTTCATATTGTTTCTTCAAGAAGAAGTAACTTCTCTTCTTCCCCCACCACTTGCACCTCCGCTTTCCCAGACCACAGTTCCTAATTGGCAAATGAAAAGGGAGTACTGCATTATTTGAGTATGGCTGGATGTTCTTCATCATCACATGTATTCAGTGGGCCAAAGGACTTGCTTTAAATACAACATCCTTTCTGCTTTGACCTTATTAGAAGTCCTTTGTTCTGTTTTCTCCTTTCTGTGTTCCCCTCTTCCCCATTTAAGAAAAGGCCTTGAATCTTCTCACAGCTTGCAACCTGCCCCGCCCCCACTCCATATAAAGATAAAGGAAGCATGTTTTGAGTAAACACTAGTGATGCTGGGGAACACTAATCCCCACTCTCATACACTTTGTTCCTGAAACCTATCCTTAAACATAAATCTGTTTTAAAAGAAATTATTTGATTATCCCTTTTAGAGGAGTTGGTATGTAACCCACAACTTCTTGATATTTTCATGTATGTTACCTAAATTCTCCACTGTTCTAACTACAGATGGAGAGAGATTTCCCCCTGTAATTCCTTTTCTTTTCCAGATAGTCAATTTGTTGCAGCAAGTAGCTGCAGTACTTGCTCTTGGAGACTTGGGATCTAATCCCTGATCTTACTTAGAATTTTTAGATTGACACTTGGGATATGTGTATGTGTGTGGCTTGCAGATGTATTGCCACCTTTTAAAGTCTGTTACTTCCTGCAAATTTAATTATTGTAGTGGTACAGAAGTCTTGATCAAAGTGTTGTTTCCTTCAGAATAGATTGCAAGTATGTCCAGGCCAGTGCCCTCCATCTTAGAAAGTATTCTACTCCTAGTGCTAATTTTGCTGTATTGGTGATTTGTTTATCACACCTGTATCCTGCATTTCTTTCAAAAAGTGTACATTAATTACTTCATAAATGGGATGTTCCCAAGAGACCTTAGTGGCCTCTGTGGAAATTTCAGCCTAGGTCTTCCTGATCTAAGCCCTGCCTTCTGCAATCTATGAAGCAAATACTGAATCACCTACTTTTTGAAAAATCCTCTAATTTCTAATACTCTTTGCTTCTAATCTAGACTTTCAGAATTGCTTTAAGAATGTTTTTGACCTATAGAGGGGTTCATAGAATCATAGAGTTGTAATAGACCACAAGGGCCATCGAGTCCAACCCCCTGCCAAGCAGGAAACACCATCAGAGCACTCCTGACATATGGTTGTCAAGCCTCTGCTTAAAGACCTCCAAAGAAGGAGACTCCACCACACTCCTTGGCAGCAAATTACACTGTCGAACAGCTCTTACTGTCAGGTTTTGGGGGTGGGTTCACAAAAAGGTGTTTAGAGCAAAATGAAAAGGGTTGTTCATTATTACATTTGCAGGCTTGATGTGTTGGCCTCAGAAAGAAAGTGGCCCAGATTTCACAGACCTAAGTAAATGCAGGGAATCCAGGTATCATCCCCACTGTCTCCCAGCACCTCTCTTAAAGTGACATGATTTTTCATGCAGCATTCAAAACACTATTTTGAGAGGCTAGGAGAGTGCAATTTCACCTGCTGTTCATTTGCAAAGTATGCTATGGATAGTGGTTGCAACTCACAAGTCCAATTTCCCGGCATCTGAGCCATTTGAACTAGTTTCTTACTGCCAAAGTAAACAGCCTAGTTGCCTGCGGATATCCTTGTTGCCTTCTAAAATTTCGTATTTTACTGTTAGGTAGCATAGATTCCCCAATCCACAAAGCTTCCCACCCCATTTCATTTGCATCTCAATCCAATGCGTGTTTACATAGAAGTCCCACAAAGTGCTGTGGAACTTAGTAAGTACATTTAGGTTTGTATTGTACTGGCCAGAAAAAGGTTTGGTGCTTCACATTAAAAATTGTGTTTTTCTGTGTCTCCTCCACATTCCCTTGTCTGTCTGGAAAAGTCCCAGATTTTTAGAAACAATTGTTTGAGCTTTCTTTGCTCAGAAAATATGATCACTTTTCAGTTGTGCATTTTTCTGTTTCAGGTTCCATTTTAGCTGCAGAATTCTTGTAATGCAGAGAATAGGTATGAAAATACAAACTGGACTTTCATTAGCTTTTGAAAATAAGATGTGAGAGATACTGTATTTGCAGTTGGTACCCACGTGTTGTTACCAATGAACTTATGAAACAGAACCTTTTCTACAGAAGAATAAAGCAGTAATTTTTCCCACCCCGCATCGCTGGAGCAAATGAACGGTTGACTCCAAATGCTGGCATCAAGGGTATATCCTTTATCAGCCACAGTTTGGTTTATCAGAAAGGTCGGCAGGATCTTTCATTATTGAGAACCATGGTAGAAGCCTGGGCTGAACAACAGGTAGCTTTTCTATCACACAGCATAATAGAGTGCAGAATATAGAACACTCCAAAGTCTGGTCATTTTGGTCATAATCCTGTCCAGTTTTGTTGGCAAAATACTGAAAAAACTTTGCAAGTTTTTAAGTCCCAATAAATACATTGACTTAGAAAAATGATACAAGTGGCTCTTTGAGTGGGCCCTTATCATAATCAAAAGGAAGAGGCCCATTTTTAGGAGAGATAAGATTGGGTGGGTTACATAGCAGGACCTTTTCTGTGGCGGAACCAGCTGACAGATCTGCTTGGTGCTCTACCAGTGAGCTATTGCCTTTCAGTGTAGCCATGAGTTCTGCAAATCCTTTTAAAAAAAAAAAGAACTCTCATTAATGATCTTTGCTGATCATTATTATCTTTACATCCTTATTGCTATATAAGACTGCATTTGATAGTGGCAGTTGAGCCATGAAATAGGTCAGGATTTGAAAAACTTAATTCTTTTATAAAAAAGTTTTGCATAAAATAAGTCCTTAAGATGGAGGCAGGAGGGAGTTGTGAGCTTCTCCTTGGGCATTTGGAGGTTCTCATATATGCCCAGATTTAAGAGTGCACAGTGTCCAATCATATTTGTGTAAATAAAGTGCAGGAGAATGCTGCTAGGGTTGAATGATGCAGAAGGGAGAGAGCCCATGTTTATTTTTGTATATTTTTATTCTGCCCTTACTCCAAATAAATCTGAGCAAGGTGCATGGATTTCTTCCCCCTGCTCGTGTTATCCTCTCAGCAGACTGTATGATAGGTTAGGCTGATGTTAAATTCTCGAGAATAATCTTTTGGAGAATATTCTCGATTAATGAGAATATTAGAGAATTTTCATTTAAAATAAGAGAATATTCATGCATGGAAAATTATATTATTAGTTAATATACATGTTTATTCATGAGTAAACTTGTTCAGATGGCAACCAAAAACTGTAGAGATACCGTATTTTTCACCCTATAGGACGCGCTTTCCCCCCTCCAAAAATGAAGGGGAAATGTGTGTGCGTCCTATGGGGCGAATGCAGGCTTTCGCTGAAGCCTGGAAAGCGAGAGGGGTCGGTGCGCACCGACCCCTCTCGCTCTCCATGCTTCAGGAGAGCCGCAGCACCAGCCCCACAAGGTCAGGGGACAGCGGGGAGGCGGAACGCCGCCATCCCGCTGTCTCCCGATGTGGCTTGGAGGCTGACGGGGAGACGCGTGCTTCTCCCCACCGCCAGCCCCGCAAGCTCCGGGAACAGCTGGGAGGTGCAGCGCTTCTCCCCGCTGCCTGCCCCACAAGCTCCGGGGACAGCTGGGAGGCGCAGCGCGTCTTCCCGCTGTCCCCGGACCTGGTCTGCAGGCGGGCAGCGGGGAGAAGAGCGCTTCTCCCTGCTGCCGGCCCCACAAGCGCCTGGGGGGGAAATAATTTTTTCCCCTTTATTTCCCCCCAAAAAACCCTGGTGCGTCCTATGGGCTGGTGCGTCCTATGGGGCGAAAAATACGGTACTTTTATTCAATGGGGCAATGCAGTGAATTCACATTCATTGAATTTTTTTTGTAGCAAATTTGAAATTGAAAATTCAATGTGAATTACTCACGTTAATCACTAAGCCTGCCACTAACCAAATATTTACCATCAATTTTGAATTCGAATTATGTTGTGTATGCATGAAATGTAGCTTTTAAAGTAAAAGGAATATTAAAAAACCTCAGGTCAACTACATGAGTACATTCTTTAATAAGCATATCTACATGGTATAGTGTTTTCAGTGCAACGCTAATAAAATCAATATAAAATTTAAAATAAATGCTATTATTTCCAGAAAATAAAACATAAATCAGTAAAGACAAGTTACACAACATCAGAAATGCAAATTACTATCTCACATTTCAGAACTGCTAATGGTGAATGACACAATGCCCAGTAATGTAACTGGATCAAAAACATCATTATTCATTACTTACACTGGCATTATCACAGCTTAACTTACTATTTACTAGATTTGTAAAACTGGCTCTTACATTACAGTTTGTGGAGAATATTCTCCTGGAGAATTTTCTAGCAGAGAGATGTGAAGGATGTTCTGGCAAATGCAAGATATCAGGGCAGGGGGAAAGGGAGCATCTTCACCTTCTACAGCCATCCCATAGTGAGCAGTTGAGAAATCTGATTGCTCAGTAGTTTTGGTTATCAGTTATTGCTCTTGACTTTGTATTCCACACTATGCAAAGGGGGTAAATAATTCATTATGTGTATGCCTACTCTATAATTTGGATTCACTGTGTTCTTTTCTCATTTTTTTCATAGCAAAAATGGCTCAAGCGGCTATGGCAGCAGCATCTAGCCATGAAGAGGATTCATCTGAAAGCAGAATGGTTGTTACATTTCTCATGTCAGCCCTTGAGTCAATGGTATGATGATACTGGTATTTACTGTAATGTATCTTCTGCTTGCAACCTTTCTTTAGGTATCTTCATGCATGCCTGGTCATCTGATTGTTATTTTATCTTGCAAGTGGTAGAAGGTGTAACTCGACAGTCTTTCAAACCCGTCTTCCTCGTCTTTTTAAATAATTAAATAATTATGATACAGCTGTGCCACTTGCTACTGCAATTCTAAGCAGCAACTTTTCCCTTTTACAGTGCAAGGAGCTTGCCAAGTCTAAGGCGGAAGTTGCCTGCATTGCCGTGTATGAAACAGATGTGTTTGTGGTGGGGACTGAGAGAGGAAGAGCCTTCGTTAACACAAGAAAAGATTTTCAAAAGGATTTTGTAAAGTACTGTAAGTTTAAATTGCAGTTTTTTCTCAAACCATTTAAGTGTCTCCTTTGGGAAAAGCGTAACCCTACACAGATTTGGAGTGGAGTGCTGAAGATGGTTGGATGGTGTCTTGTATGCCACCTCTGGCAACTCCTGCATCCAAGCTGGTGCCAAATGTATTACTCGACTTTCCTTTGGGCCACACCAATGGAACTTCCCCCCCCCCAAAAAAGTTTTTTTAAACACCTAAAAGTGGGTCTTTTCTCCTCCCTAAGAAAAAGCTCAACAGCTGTGAGCTGACCCCCCCAAAAAACGTGGCTTTTCTCCTTGAAAAAGCTCAACAACTTTGAGCTGAAACCCCCCCCCCAAATGGGGGTAGATCACTGCCAGTTTTTAATTCTGAAAGTAGATCTCAGTCTCTTGAGGGTTGGCCACCCCTGATGTATTTGAAATGACTACAAAATAGAAAAACGACTGCACAGTTCATGAAGACGGCAACAGTTAATGCAAATCAATGTTTTGGGGCATCATTTGCACCATATAAACATCTGTGTATACCACAAAAGTCCAACCATAATGCATATTTGTGCAGCTGCCCAAAAAGGAATGTAGAGAAAGCTAGGCACACTATCTTAGAGGGAATTCAATGTTGGTGCAACAGTTGACAAGACTGTCCTCTGCATGGTCTTCTGCTGTATTGAAATATCTTAACTTGTGGTTAGGCCCATATATTGTTGCATTTTAGCATTCAAAAGGTGACTTGGTTTTAGATTTCATACTTTCTGTTTTGCAGGTGTTAATGAAGAGGCAAAGGCTGCAGAACTACAGAAAATAAAGTCAACATCCCTAGATAATAGGATGACTGTGGATATTGTGGAAATGGAAGCCCTCAGGAAATCGGTGGAGGATTATTTCTGCATCTGTTATGGTAAATATTTTTATTTCATTTAGAATAATGGTATAAGCTTTAGTTTATAAATGTTGAAGCTGCTATAAAGAGGGTTAAAGCTGGTTTGTGGATCCTCTTCCACTCCTGGTTCTAGGGGTTCAGGGGAGAAGAAAACAAATATTGAGTGGAAAGTTGTCATAATTGTGATGTCCTTATTCCTGAGCTGGGATGCAAATGGGTCTCTTCTTGAGGAAGGCAATAAGACCACGAAGATGCTGAATCCTACCTTGTTGGATAGGCATTTCCACCCATTTCATAGACGCGAAACTAGTCTTAGGTAAATAAACCCATAGCTGCTTTATTCCTTTAGGAACGGGATAGTAATAGCAGTTTTGTAAAGCACTATGTAAATAAAATGCACTGTGTGTGTGAGAAGCAGCACTTCACACAAGTTTGCTCTTGTTCAAGTTTTCTTGTTCAAATTTCTTGCGTAAGATGTCACCATGCTAGCGTCCATTACTGTGTCTTGCAGTTGTAGGTAGTATTTTCCACTGAAGAACATTGTTACAGTAAGGACTAGTGTAGCTAATGTGGTGATGACCTGTGTTGGAGGACTGAAATATTCAGAAAGGCTTCATTTACTGAGGCCATGGGGTGTTAATTGTTTTCAGTGTCTATATCCAGAAGTTCTCTCTTGGCTAATGTAGGACCAGTAAGTCTGACATGTTGTGGTTGTAAGAATTGAAATGCTTAGCAAATATTAATATTTCACAGTTTATAGACAGGTTCTAAAAAGTTCTCTTTTTTCTAATAATTCATCATCATTGTCCATCATCATCAACCTACATTCAGTTATTGTTAAAGTCAGATTGTTGCTACAAGGTCCCAGTTTTGTGAAAATTATGAAGGAAGCACTCCTGCCCTCCTTTTTTCCTGATTCAGGAGTATCATCTATTACAGACATATTTTGCTTGGAGAAATGATTTTGAGCTTACAAGACTGAGGCAAAAAAATGGGTGGAGGAGGCGAAAGACAAAGGAAGAATGGATGTTGCTGTGCAAGAAGGGGCATAATTGCCATAGTTTTGGTATCTTATTGATAAAGATTGCTTTCCTCCATCCAGGCAAAGCTTTAGGAAAGTCAACTGTAGTTCCTGTGCCGTACGATAAGATTCAGAGGGATCCATCTGCTGTGATGGTGCATGGTCTCCCAGAAGGACTTGCATTTAAGCATCCCACCAACTATGATGTTACAACACTGAAGTGGATTCTGGAAAACAAATCTGGGATCTCATTTGTCATCAAAAGGTGTGCTAGCACCTCCTTTTCTTGGAGCAGTTTGTTCAGTTAAATTATAATTGTGTATAAATCTTTCTATATATCCTTAAGTTTATCTATAATTATTTTGGAAGTGGGTGGTATTTAGTGGAGCAGTGTTGCTGCTGAGTTGTGAACTTGAAAATCTCTCATTCAGACCTTTCCTTTGCTATGCCATTATTATTATTATTATTATTATTATTATTTCAATTTTTATACTGCCTTATACCCAGAAGTCTCAGGGCAGTTCATCTGTTGTCTGAAATGGACATAATAACACTGAGCTATTTTGCAGGGTGGCAGTAAGGATTGCATATACAGTTTTACCTCCGCTTACGTATCCCTCCACTTACGTAAACTTCGGGATATGTAAGCGGCAAACCCGGAAGTGTATTTCCAGGTTATTGCCATGCGTGCTTGCGCAGAAGCGCTCTACCGCTGCGCATGTGTGCGCAGAAGCGGTCCCTCTGGTTGTGGAAACCTTGGGATCTGATCGGAGCTCTGGAACAGATCCCGTCCGCAACTGGAGGTACCACTGTATACAAAATGCTTTGAATACTTTTAAATGCTAGTAGCTCTTTTTAGCTGTGCTTTTAAAATAACAGAACACTTTCTTTTTAATAGGCCCTTCCTTGAGCCAAAGAAACATCTAGGTGAGTAGACACTTGTCTGATCTAAATAATTTCATTTGATACAATGGCCCAATTTGCACATTTTGGCAAGCCAGGGTGTGACTAACCCTTTCTGTACTGAGGGCTACGTTGACGCATGACCAATCTTCCAAGGATTGCATCATAAAAGTGGGTGGGGCCAAAGGGTACAATTTGGCATGGCCATTTTCTTGTTATTGGGGAGGACAAATTTGCTGTGTGTCTGTCTCATTCTCACAAACCATTTAACACCACAGATCGTAGCAGGGGACCTGAAGGAGTGGTCAGTTTTAAAAATGTTATTTTTAAAATATTTGGGGGGGGCAGTCACAGACCCCTTTTGCTTGCACAGCCAGTCGCTACTTGTCAAATCTGGCTTTTTTAGATTAGGGTTAGGTAGAGATCAATCTGTTAATTGATCTGACCAGCAAGCAAGCCTAACTCAGAAGCCTGTATAGGCATCAACAGGTATTTTCTGAATCACTCTGGCCTGTTAACTGTTAGAGACTTTCTTTGCTGGTGTGACTGACTTTTCTCTTTCTCTCTCTGTAGTTTGCAGGGCCTGGCTGAATTTTTGTGAGACCTTTGGGTCCCAGATTCAGGACCTGCTGTGACCTTGAGTTCTGATACTGGTGTTATGCCACTAGTAGTATTAATCTTTCTAAGGGGGGGTGGTATTTTCAACCAGTTCCTATTGTTATTGATGATAACTTTATGTACATATCAAGTGGCATTACTGCCTGCTCACTTGTTCTTCTGGTTGTGTATACACAGCCAGTGAGGGGAAAACACATCACAGATGCTATTCCTTTACACAACCAAATGCTTCCGGTGCTGTGATTTGATGCATTTTAGTTTTGTACCTTGTGCTTAGAGTCTTTGGGATGAAGGGTAGGCTAAAAGTAGCTTGAAATAAGTGAAAATGTGGAGTCCAAGTGATATTAGTTTAACCTTACTCTAGAATTATATAATTGGGTGTGAAATATAAGCACCACATTAACAGATAACATTTTATTCCTTGCAGGACCTCGCATAACAGATTCCTCACACACAGTAACATCCCCAGGTGGAAGGTAGAATATCTTTTGTTCTTTTCTGTGGTTGTTTCTCTTTTTCAACAGCTTTTCTCCTGTTGGTGCAAAAAAAAAATTCAGAAAGCACGTCTTTCAACCACAAAATATGGTTTTGAATATTTGTCTTTCATTTAAAATACTCATTTCCCCATCATCGTGGTTTGCCAGGCTGCTGACAGCTTCCTTTGTAAGCGCACTAAAAGCCTAAGAGTATTTGGTGCCAAAAGGCCACCTGAATTGATGCCAGACAAAAATATGTGTGATGACCTTCTCATCTATGCAGTTGTCTGTCTTGGCTGATGGGGCCCTTTTGACATTTCTAAGAACCACATTTGCCATTTCAGTCCAGAATAGAAGTTTCCAGCCCTTGTAGTTGTGAGGAAAAATGTGAAAACAGCCCAGTGTCTCTACTAGTTCTAGGAGCCTGACTTAAAATGTTCTGTGGTTTTTTTAAGATTTCACCTCCATGTTGCATAGCTCTGGTATAAACACAGGTATGGGATATCATTTGGCACGTCTGTATCGCTTCCAGGGCAACAGAGAAGGGCAAGAGTTTAATGACAAAGCACCTGCTTTACATGCAGAAGGTTCAAATCTTCATTTAAAAGGCTGTTGGGTAGCAGGGCTGGAAAGGACCATGTCTGACACCCTGGACAGCTCCTGCCAGTTACACGGGCTAGTACCAGGTTAGATGGGCCAGCAGTCCAACTCAAGTTAAAGACCAATCCATAGGATTTTTGTTATTGCACTCACGGTTTGCATTAACATACTCTTTTTTTCATGCATTCATCTAGCTGCCCTGCCATCCAGGTGAAGACTGAGCCCAGTGAAGATTCTGGTATGTATCTCTTACTTGCTTGTTAATATTTGTCTCTTGAGCAGTAGGGGATTGTGGTATATATACATCACTTAATATACATATTTAGGTTATTATTATTTCGTGGTAATATGGAAGCTAGAACTTAGTGAACTTGCCCTGTGCCTTCTCCCCTGGCCTTATGCATCCCACTTAAAGACTCATTCCACTTGAATGATCCCATCAGCATTTGAATGCACAGTGGAACCTTGGTTCTTGAATGGCTTAGCTCCCAAACAAATCAGCTCCCAAAAGCCTCAAACCTGGAAGGAAGTGTTCTGGTTTGTGAATGTTTCTTTGGAAGCCAAACCTCCTACGCGGCTTCCGCTTGAGTGCAGGAAGCTCCTGCAGCCAATCAGAAGCTGCGCCTTGGTTTTCAAATTGTTTCGGGAGTCGAATGGACTCCCGGAACAGATTAAGTTCGAGAAACAAGGTACCACTGTATGTGGTTAGTGGATCTCGGTAAACATAACATGACTGCGTGTAGTATATCTGATTACTTACGTACATACTTACTTAGTAGATTTCAGGGCAGTCCACAGCATAAAAATACAAGGATATAGCATATCTAATTAGAAAGGAACTGTCTCTCTGCTCTAGTATAATATGCAAAGGAACCACTGATAATTGGGTGCTTTTAAAAATATGTGGTCTGGCTTTGCATGGTAGCAATGGGGAGTATTGCTGCATGGGGAATTTCCATTGGATTGGGGTACTTGGTGGACAAGGCCTTACTCCAGGTAAGGCCTTGTCCACCAAGTACCCAAATCCAGTGGAAATTATTACCATCCCTAATAGACCTGCTTGTGGGCTTCCAGAGATTCCCAGTAAGCTGCTGTTGGGGGAAGGGGGGAATGGAAAGGATGTGCACAAGTTGATTCAATCCACAACTCCTAGTTGTATAGAATGAACTTGTGGGCATTCATAACTCTGTCATTGTTTCTTAACGTGAGGATGCCTGCCATGGTTGGAAACTAAACACCAGACAAAATGGGTCTTTATTTGATGAAGCAGGACAACTCTTGTTGTTTTCTTTAGTCTTTCTTTCTTCAGCCTTGTAGCAGTACTTTTATCTACCCCACAGTTGCATAGCTATTAATAATGGACATGGGGCACAAGAAACCTGGAATCCCTCACACTGTAACAAGCTTTCGCTCAAAATGTTTTCGTTTTCTTGACACTTCATAAGGGTTTTTTTTTTTTTTTTTTTTTGCTTTGGAAGCCTAATTGCCAATGTAAATGGCTGACACTTGTTCTTCTTCAGGGCTTGAGATGGTAACAGTTAAAGAAGAATCTGAGGATCCCGACTATTATCAGTTTAACATTCCAGGTAACATTGAGTGTAAGACTTTTACTGTGCAGGCTGAAATCATGAATGTTAAAATATACTGGTGGAAAGGCAAGTGAAAGTGGAGGCTATTGGAGAAGACAGAAAAATCAGAAAGGGCCCTGGTTCTAATGTGAACTTAAATTATTTGAGGCAGGGTTTTCCTTTGGTCAGGGGATTCTTACGCATGGCTCCTGCTCTTTTTTCCTGCTGCTTTTTGTCCTTGTTCTGCCATTGTCTGTGCCTTTCCCTCCCTTGTTCTCTCTCTCCCTCTCTCTCTCTCCTTCCATCATCTCTCAAGGCCTTGGCAAACGTTTCCTAGGTATTGGAAGAAATTAAATAATTTATATAGGTCTGTACAATAAGTGTCTTATCAGTATCCTAACCTGTATTACAGGTAAACAAGCTTGGATTTCAGTGTTGCAAATGGGTACTTTTGAGGGAGGGGAGGGTGTGCAGTTGTTCACTTGCCTTGATATTTCAGGCTACGGAAGTTTATTCTTATTCTCCATGAGTGCTTATATTTATGACAACTCTGTCAATGGTTCATCACACTGAATACTGACTATTGTTACAAAGAATGAAATTAACCTGTATACTGGCCCATTTTGTGTTGAAGGCTTTAAAAAAGTGGTTGTGTTAACATTGCCGGTGTTATGAGGTACAAAAAAGCAAAACAGCCACAATCAGTACTTCTAAATATCTTTTCTTTTAGCAAGGCATTGTCAAATATATATTTGATGTAAACCCTGTGCACATAGTTCATGTGTATGGTTTAATAGAAATGGTCTAGCTTGCTGTACTACTAAAGACTAGTGGAGTGTGCATATTTTTCCCCTGTCACTATATGCAAATTTCCTGAAAAGTCTCTTTCATAGTCAAAGCTTACTGTTAAGTAGGTTTCTTATTGATCCTAGGCTCTAACAAATGTTGTATGTGTTCCAGGACTATGGTCTAAAGGCACATGATGTTATGATCTTACTTGTGCTAAGCAAGTCTCCATTTGGGGATTGCCTTAATGGGAGACTGGAAGCCCTACGTATACCACTTTGAATTCTGTCATTAAATAAAATTGGGCAATAATATAATGAAATGGTCCCCTTCCCAATTCACATTTGTCTTCTAGCTGCCATTACTAAAAGAAACAAAAACCTTCAATATTTATTTTTCTGTTGGCTTATTGGTAGTGCAGAAGGAAAACGAATAATGATTTTGGGATTTAACTTGAAATGGTGAATGGAATATGGTCAGCCCCGCAACCTACTTCTTGTGAGCTCCTTTGTAACTTCACTTTCCCCATTTTAATGGCCCATTTGTGACACCCGCTGTCCAGGGAGATGGATTTTGAGAATAGCATGATTAACTGGATACTAGTTTAATGGTGCCTAGTGACCCGTCGCCTAGTGCTGGCATCACAAGTCAATGAAACACAGCGGATCGGTGCCAGAAAGTTGAATGCCGTTGCTCTTACAGATTAGTGGCATAGAAATTTGAATATCAAGGATGTGGCAGTGCTCAGATTTTCCTTGCAGAGCCAGCTGTGGCTCCGTTTCTGCAACCAAGAGATCACTGGACTTGCAAAGCCTTCCTCAGCGTTGGCTCCTCTCCCCTGCCACATCTTGTTGATACCACATTCTCTAGCTTGTTGGAAAAGAGCAGAGTACTGTAGTGTTGTCCCTACTGAATCTCCTTTGAAGCTTTTAATTCTGGTGCGCGCAGTTGTGATAATCCTGCCTGTCTCTTTCCAGCTAGGGCAGGTGTTGTGTGCTACAAGGCTTTATTGTCTTTGTGCGTTCTCTCTCTTTTGGCTTTAAAAGATAGTAGAAAGGGAGGGGTCAGTACTTTGCAAGAGTTATTCTGACATGACTATTAATTTCCCTTATTAAAAAGGAATATGTAAAGGAGTCTTGCATGGGCAAGGAATTCAAAATTGTTTAAACCCCATAATATGAAGGCCACTTTCACCCAATTCTACAGATGTAAGAGCCTTGTGAGTGTTCTCATGATCCTTTAATGCTTCAGTGGAGAAAAAGAGAAGAGTCATGATCCCTTGCTTTTTTTTTTTTTACCAGATGTTCTTTTCCTATTTAACTCTCTTCTTTCTCTGAATTGGTTCAATTGAGAGTTTATAAGCTTTTCAGATAAGCTTCTGATATGTCCCAATTATTAGTTAGAATAATTCAGAATATTTATCATTCACTGTATTTTTATCCCACTTTCCAGACACAAGTAGTCTCTCAAAGTGGTTCACATCAATAATAATAATAAAAAAGACAGGCCTTGCCATCAGGTTTGTAATCTGAGAAGACAAAGACTCTCAAGGTTGGGGGAGCTGCCTTTGACGGCTTTCTGACTGGCAGAAACTTAGCAGGTGCAGAAATAGATTGAGATGGCTCTGGACCAACAGCACAGCAGAAAAATATCCCTTATTCTGTTAATGTGCAAGGGTTTGTGCATGCAGAGAGAAAAAACAAGAAAGGGTTAAGTTAGGTGTTCTGGTTAATTTTGGGTGTTTTTGCTCTGCACCTGCAACTAGTTAAGCATGTGAGAGAGAGTCAGCAAACTTGAGAGTGGGACTGCAACGCTGGCAGTGTTGGAGCATGTTGCTGCCTTGTGCTTCTTAAGGCGTTTGCTTTCTTTGTTGATGAGATTTGTTAGGGGTCTGTGAGTTGGTTGAAGATGTAAAGCACTGTTGGTAAATACAGAAAATGGAGGGTGCGTAAATCATAGTTTTTTGCTTAAGATTGTTTTCAGAAAAAAGTGTATGATCTCTTTTCTCAGTGTTGGTCTGTTTGGTAGGGACAGATTCTGGGGGAATGCCATTATGTGGCCTTCCTGCTGCACCATAACTGGTTGCTACTTTAATGGATGGGACAGTGATAAGACAGGAAATTGAGAACTGAAGTTTTGTGTTGGCTGGATTTGTAAACTGATGAACTGGAAGAATCGTGTGCTTCGCTTGATAGAAAATGGAGGGTTTTGAAGGGATAGGTGGGACTTGGCAAAAAGGGAATATTTGAGACTCACTTTGGCTCAGTTCACATACCATACCAAACCATCGAAGCTTAATTGGTTTGCTTTGATGTCTGGTGAACACTGACTTGTGAGCAGCTACCAAACCCAAATCAAAAGCTGTAATTTGAAGTGGGCTGAAAAGTCATTGTTTTTGCTACTATGCTTTGGAGTGATGAATTGTTCGACCATAGTATGTTGCTCCATCTCCAGGCAAGCTGCCCTAAACTGCGGCTTGCCTTAGTGTTAACTAAAGCCATGTTTTGGCGGATGTGCGAATTGAGTTGCTGCTTGTTTCACAACAAAGAGCTAGATGACCCTTGGAATGCTGTAATTATATGAAACAATTCCTATTTTGTTTCTACGGTTTCTTTATTCAGCTGAGCATGCTCTTGTAGTGGGACGGGAAAATCTTGGGAAGTGATTTTTTTATGGCTGTCTTTGTTTATCAAAGCAGGTCCTTCAGAAACTTCGGCGATTGATGAGAAAATCGCCATGGCAAAGTCTTACACAGGTATAGCAATTCACTTGTTCATCATCACAGTGCTATTTCTCACAACAGCATTGATACCTCAGTAGCCATGTTCTGCCTGCCAACAGTACTGTTTTCCAATATTGGTTTCAATAAATGGCTTGATTCCCCCCCCCCATCGTTTCGTGAAAGAGAGCTTTAATTCTACCCTGACCATAGTCTTGTTTGACTTTCATTCAGGGGACTTTTGTCTACCTAGAAATACTGTGAATTTACTGTTGTTGGGCATTCAGACCCTGTAAGCTTATGTTTTCTATGGAAAATACAGAAAGGCCTTTCTATTCCTATTAAAATGAAATCTCAGATAAAAATTGTGTCAAATAACATTTTGATCGGACTTATTTTGCCACATTTTCCATGAAATGTTGTTGTTGTTGAGTCAGGAAGGAGAACAGTTATGAATTATAAAGGAAAAGTATTGAAGGCTTTATGGCAGAACTTGGAAGAATTTTGTTCCAGGTTCATATTTATGCGCCCCCCACATGTTTTCAAACGTTGTGCTATCCAAATTGTGTCTGTGTTTTCAGCAAGGCTCTTCTGAACTATAGATGGCCTAATTGTGTTTGCCTTTTGCGAGGAGTGCACTCTGCCAAAAAACCCTTTGGTTTTATGTGAAAGAAAATGGGAGCAGAGATTGATTGACTGTCGAGACAGACTCTTTTTTGACATGATCCTGCTTGAGATGATGGTGCGATATGGGCCAGGGTTCACTGGTCCATAAAATCTCTGCTCCGTTCCTTCGGATACTAATTCTGAAATTTCAAGTGTTGACTAGTGCCCTCCTTATTCTTATGATGGTGTGTTTATATTTGTCTAAAGGAAGCAACCAGGGTTCCGATTGCAGTGAAGGAACAGATGTGGAATTGCCAGTAGAAGGTTAGAGATATGTAAATTTAAAAAAATAAAAAACTCGAATTATTTTTTTTAAAAAATAATTATTAAAAGAGCACATAATGCAAACATGTCCATTGTGTTCGTGTCTTGCATTCTTTTTTCCATATTCTACATGGTTGTATTTTTTTTTCATCCCCTTGAATTGTGATCCTGCATGTTTATTGTGGACAACTATTGAGAAGCCTTTGCAAGATGACCCCCATCTCCTTCTCTTTCCTTCCACACCTTCCAGTGAGCTATAGAAGCTGTTGAAAAAAGAGCTAATAAAGTTAGCATCCTACTGCCTTCTTCATGACTGTGGTGGCTTTTGCTATATGTCACACTTTTCCTTAGGAGGTCTGAGTGAGTAACAGCATTACCCAATGTGATATGCTTGAAAGCATGAGGACAGCGTTTGTTTTTGAAAGTAAGACAGTGACTTAAAGCTCTAGACTTACAGTGACCTCGAATCTTGTGATTTCTAAGCCCATCTTTTGGTTACTTTTGAAGGGGCCGAATTATCTGGGGCTAGCAATGCAAGGTTTGGTGCAACAGAACATGCATTTATTTACATCCTGAATATGTCAATGTGGGGTGAAAAACAGTGTGCAAAGCCCTTCAGTTCATGCTGCTACTAGTTGGAATGTTTGTTGAGTAAGTTACCTGCCTCAAATCTTATGGAGATCCACTGCCTCCCTGAGAATGTGAATCTGTCCTTTCAAAAGGAAATGCTAAATACACTGTTGATTTGAATTACGTAGTTTTGGCAGAGCCACTCTAAACAGGCCTGAATATCAGCTCTGCCTGACCGCCAACAGTTCTGAATTACTTGGCCACAACTTCACCTCAGAAGAATATTCCACTATTTTTGAACTGTCATTGAATCAGCTCTGTACTGGGGTGTGGCTTTGTGAAGCTTGGATTTAGTGGATATATGGATGAGGTGGGAGTGGCTTTATTTCCTTGCAAAACACGAGGAAATTAAATTTCCAACTTACCAACTAGTTTCTAGTTCAACCTATCCTTACTGAACCTGGAAATACCACTGGAAGTGCTTTTCTTGTTGGAGTATGATGCCTCTGCTCAAACTAATGGTTCGTTCTGTTTTGTTTAATGTTATTTTAAAGTATTATGTGTTTCCTAATCACATTTTGGATAGCTGAAGACACTGCACTATTCCTTCCAGGGTTGTATGTTTTTTTAAAAAATGTTTTGCTGGACTCCGTCTGCAAACTTTTTTTTTAACTTGCTCGGCATCTGCAAAGAAAAACTGCAGATTCAATATGCTTTAAAGAAGTGTTTCTGAAGTCTGTGAGAGATGGGCAGTTTAACTGGTGAAATGGAAACATTATAGAAAACCTTTTGATGGTATATGTGTCCTTAGAGACTGTTAAAGGAATCCGTGTCTTAAGGGATATAAGTAGAATGTTATTGTCGTCAAGGAGTTGGATCCAACAATGGTCTCCTCAGAGTAAGACTAACCTTGAATACAACTCACAAACCTTTCTCTTGTATGATCTCTTTTGTATCATGAATACATTTGGACATGTGTTATACATGTGGAGATTGCTTCCTTGCCAGCTTTTGACTCTTGACTTAACGACTTGATGTTATCAGTACAGATGATCCCATGGAAGAGAGATTTTTGGTCAACTGGATGGATTCATGCATTAGTATCTTCCACTGCACACTGTGGTTACTTAGAAAAGAAAATCCAAGTACAATCACTTCTATAAGAACTATGTTGTGTGAAGAAACTAAAGTAGCAAATTAACACATTGATTAGTGTATCACTAGTACAGAATTATTTCAGCACTTCAGAAGCTGGAATTGAAAGCTGGATGCAAATATCTCTGATGTGAACTACCCTACACCTATCAGAGAACTTTCTATAAGGTACATTGTGGTATAATTTCTGTAAAATGATGCTTAACTGAAGGCCAGTAGAATTAGATTTGATAGGGTAACTTGAAAAAATATCCTCTTAACACAGCCTTGCTAAAGTTCATAAACCTGTTTGCTAACCTGCCTGTCTATCTGCTTTACACATCCCTATTTTAATAATTTATATAAAATTTATGGTCTGAGAAAGAACTGGTTAGAAAGCTGTTTCACAAACTTCCTGTTAGGTTGCTGCAGGAGTGTCTTCCTATCCATGAGCAACCAGACAAGTGGCTGTCTCTGAACTTGTTCTTAGATACCTTGGAGTCAGCCAGCTATGCCTGCTCACAGAATTTTTCAGTATCTTCATTAGTTATGACCGTCTAGATCCATCTATTGGGCTAGTAGTGAAAGTGGTGTACTCAGTTATGTTGCCTGTAAACCCATCCAGAGGACAGCACTGGCAAATTGCTGCTATGGATCTCTCAAAATATCTTATCTTTTTGGGCTAATGAGCTTTTGAATCCAGTCCTCTTCCTGCTCCGTGTCATTTACTTTCAATTAACAGTTGAACCTTTTTTTCAAATTTGAGGAAGGATGTTTCAAAGGATGCGATGGAAACAGAGACCTGCATGAAGCTATTGCCAGAAGACTGATTTGTGCTTTTATTATGGGAATTCAGAAGTTGACAAAGCAACTTAACGTGTCGGTCAAACCAGTAGTATTGCAGCAGCGGAACTAGATTGCAGCTGCTGGTGGGGCTCAATACACTGGAACCTTCCGCTCCTGTCAGCAATTTCAAGTGTCTTAAGAGTTGTCCTTCTGGTTGCTCATGATTTGATGTGCTTCCTTACTTTGGCAATGGGGGCAAAAAGGCACTAAGAGCAGCATGTTTTAGGATGCACTCCACGTTGGTGGTCCCACGCCAGCCAAAATTCCATTTACGTTGGCAGGAAATCCAACCTCTCACTGAGATACCGTCGCTTTGTGAAAAGTTGGTCGCTATAAACGTCTGGAGTTAACGTGAAAACAAGATGTTCCACTTGCTTATTTGGATCCATCTTGCCAATTGTAGGAGATATTCATTCCATCGATGAAAACTTTTGACTGCGTTTTATTACACAACGTTTTACAAATACTATTGTATTGTAACATTTTCAATTTGTACACATATATATTGTTTTAATTGTATTGTGTGAAAGAAGAGAGACTTGTAAACATAGTATCTTCAGCAGTGAGTGAGAAAATGTTTGACAATGAAAAGATAAGTGAGCCTAGGAGAAGGCGACTCTCAGCAGCTGCTGCACCTGTAGCTTAGTACTTAGAAATCTCCATTTCCTTGGCAACATCCCATAGGACTTGAGGCTTGTGATAAAGTATTTTGGCCTCTGTGTTTGTGAGTCTCTTATTCATAGTGCACCACACACTTGTTGATTCGCCATTCTGGAGTAAAACCGCTCTTCCAGTTCCTGCGCCGTTCAGACTTGGTTTTTTGTTCTGCTTTTTTCAGATTCTTCTCAACATGCCACTTCTGAAACAAGTGAGGATCCTGAAGTGGAAGTGACCATTGAAGGTTGGCCATTTTCTCAGCTAATACTATTTTGCTCACTTGTTTCAGAAGAATCTCAGTCATGTGGCGTTGTGCGCATCTCCTCTATATACCCCCCAAAAGCCTTTCTCGTACTGTAAGATAACATTTGCTGGGCAAGATAGACCTTAAATGATTGAAAACAAGTTGTCAACATTTTTAAAGGCGTCTCTTAGAGGTGTCTGTATTAAGAGTGCATGCGACAACAAACCAAATTATTCAATTAGCTGGGTTTTTTGTTTTGCTTTTCAGAGGAAATAGGCAAGAGGTTTGGGCCGACTGTTTTATTTTGATACACTTTGTTGGGAGATTATTATGGATGTGGGAGTTCTCCAAAGTGGTAGGAGACCTTGAGGAGGATCAGTTTGTTTAGGGAATACAGCGACTGAAAGTTGTTGCTTGCCTGTTATCCCTAGGATTATTTGGGTCTTACAAAACTTGTAAGGTGGAGGGCAGATAGGCAATATATTTTGACAAACCCTGTGATTGGTTTGGAAAGTAGAAAGTAAATTGAATCTGAATACCTAGCCTCAAAGGTCTGAGTGCTGTATATTCCTTAAGCAAATCTTTTGTGTTAAATCTCTCTCCTCCTCTCCCTACTCCCCTTCGCTTCTTTTGTAAATCTCCTCTTGTGTATAGCAGCATTTGTTAGTTTTTAAACACACCAGTCTATAACAGGTAGGTCTGCCGTAGTCGAAACAAAATAAAAAAATTCCTTCCAGTAGCACCTTAGAGACCAACTAAGTTTGTTATTGGTATGAGCTTTCGTGTGCTACTTGAAGGAGTTTTTTTATTTTGTTCAGTCTATAACAGACACTATGCTACACCTCAAAATAGGAAGTAGAGCAAATGAGATGAATGACTAGAATGGAATATTTACATTAGGAGGACTTGGTTTCCTATCTAGATTTTCTAGACCTTGCTACTAGTAAATAAGTTTTTGGGTTAATCTGTTAAAGGGTTGTTGATAAAGCTTCCAATAGTGCTTCTAGATTATGAGTTGCTATTCCTCTTGCCTGTGTAGTGAGGTGTTCCTTATGTCATAACAGCGAAGCAGTAGTCATATTTCTCAGTTTGGGGTGAAGGAGGCATCCGGTAGGGTGGGTTAACTCCTTTTGAAACTCAGCCCAGGCCTAAAGGTTCCTCGCTCAATTCATTCTGTGCCTTTGCTCAATACAGCCTTTCCTCTCGGCTCCTCCTCTGATTTACCTTGCCTGTGAACTGCTAGTTTCCCCCCTGACCCTTTCCCCTTCCTCTTCCTAGTCTGCTGCTCCAGTTTGTTGTTTCTTTTTAATAATCTTTTATTGCTCTCCTTTCTTTTATTGCCTTTTCTTCCTTCATTATGGCCCCCTTAGGAAAGCAAATGGTGACATCCACATAAAAAGAAAGGAATTCCATATGTCAGAATGGGGAAGCAGACTAAGCCAATCAAGTGCCTGCTGTAGCTACTACAGAGCCTCCCACTGTGGGCCTCTACCATGCACTGATTCATTCTTCTCCAGAACAATTGGAGTCTCTCATCTCCCCATGCACAGTCCTATCAATGACTACCACTATCATAGGCTCAAACGCACTCGCAACCAGCAAACAACTGAGGAGTGAGGGAAACACATTCCTCCTACCTCAGGTTGAGCAGAAAGAGGTTGTGAAAAGGGGATTGTCAGGATGCCATTTTTTCCTTCTCTCAGCTTCTTTGTGCCAGGCATCATTTAGGGACTTGGTAAACATACTGTAGCATCTCTGCTACATCATTGTTATCCCCATTGCTTCTTCAGGTTTACCTACAAGCAGATACATTTCAAGTATACTGTAATGGCCTTGGGCCTTGGCTTGACCTCAAGAGTTTTCACGATTTCAGTTACAGGGCATGCATATATACCATTATCTTGAAGGTCTTCTCTTTAGTTCATCTTGGGTCAAGGCCCACCAGGACTTAACAGGCAACAGTAACCCCCAGCAAGATCATCAACAAAAGGTGGAAACTACCTGTCTCCATGCAGGACACTCCAGCACCTGAGAACTAGTTCATCTATCTTTCACATAAGAGAACCCAGAACCCCTCTTGGACCTCAGAACTCCTTACATGTCACAAAATGATGGATCTCTCAGCATGAGCCTACACCCTGGGCCTGATTATTCATACCTAAGCCATACAATAGCTGTATGGCTCAAGGTATGCATTTTCTTGGCCTATGATGCTCAGTGCTTGGAATGAACTAGTTCACTTGAAAAAAGTTCATTGATGAACTTGATTGGCAAATGCTGGGACAGAGCAACGGGAGCTCACCCCGTCACGTGGATTTGACCTTGTGCTTCAGGGCAGCAGTAGAAAGTTTTTTTCAAAAGCTGTCGAGGGTGAGCTTTTTAATTTATAATAATTGCCGTTTGAACTGATCTCATTCCTTTTTAAAATGTACTTTCAAAGCAATGGTGATTCTCAGTGAAATGTCATGACATGCTAGGCTTGTCATATGTCAGGTTTTCGGGTGTAAAAATGTCGTCAGCTCCAAAAGCCTAAAATCACTTAAGATCACCAATTTGGGGTCTTCCTAAAGAAAGCCCAAAAATGGCAACCCCCATGACATACTCCACAAGTAGCAGCGCCTTCCATTTCCGCCATGAGGAAGTTTCACTCTACGTTCATTAGACATTGCAAGTTGGACTGTTTGGCCTCCGCAGTGGCAGCCTTTGAGAGGAGAGTGCTCCAGCACGATTTGCTTCCCTAAGTTCAGGGTTGCTGAGGTATGCCTCCGTCACCCCAAACTGAGAGGAAAACATTAGACACAATGTGAAGTTTCCTTCTAGTTTGGGGTGAACAAGACACCATCCAGCTGGTTGCACCCTATTCTGACTAGCAGGTGGATTCACGTGTACACCTTTGCAGTTCACTATTTCCTGGGGCCTCCAGCTTGACCTTATAGAGTGCAAAGTTCCATGCTTTCTTTTCTGTCATTTCTCCTGTGGCTCTAGGTTTTCATTTGCAATTTTTCGTCATTCTGTCTTAAGCACAGCCACAGGAAACTGGGGAGGAGCCTACAGGACTGAGTTAAATCTCCAAAAGCTGGCCACATATTCCTTCCCTTCCTTGGTGAAATGAGGAGCTATGCTATTCTCTTGGATGCCTCATTCACCCCAAACTAGAAGGGACCTTCACAGGAAGTGCCCAACATTAGTTTCTCCATATGAGGAAATTTCAAAAGTCTGGTAGCGCTTCCTGCATAAGGAGCTAAAGAAGTTGTGTTCTGTCAGCAGTGGCAGGTTTTTTGTGGTATATGCTTGATTGCCTTGCACTATCTGTTTGAAGACGTATAACTCATGAACTCATAGGCCCTAGTTCACTTTTAGGGCCCATGCTCTTCAAAACAGCATTTTCCTCTCATTTTCAGCGATGAGAAAACTAGCCTTAGATTTTCTAAAAACAGGGCAAAACTTTAGAGTGCAAGTCTTGTGATATAACTTTCTTGTATTGATGTTGATGGACAGTGATTGCACAGTGGGGGGGGGGTCTGTTGGCTTCCCTTTCAGCAGCTCTTGCACTAATTTTAAAGTGGGGGATTTGTGAAGTGGTTTTGGGGTTGAATGGAGGGGGCCTGCTGAAAGGACATCTATTAGGGACACTAAAGTGTGTTTATCTGGCATCAGGGTGTCTGGCATCTATCTTTCTCTCTTCCCCCAATAATATTTTAAGTGATGTTTGCAACCTTAAATATCTTATTCAACATTCTTACTGTAGATACAGCAGTTTTCTTTTCTTTTTTCTTTCTGGAAGGGATTATCTATTCCTGGATGTAACAATCCTAGCCAGTTACCACTGAAATCTTCCCAACCTTTTCCAGTTGCTTGCAATTTCTATTTATGCAGTTGATGCTGGAATAGAAACCAATTTTTCCTCTCTTCCCCCACCGTCTCCTAATTATTTCCTCTATGTCATGCTGTTGTTGAACCACTGGATCTGGGAGAAGCTTTATCCTATGATCTTTATGATACTTCATTTTCAAAATCATCTGACCTGATGTGGTATCCCTTATATATTTGGTACCAGTAGGGTTGTTGGGTGTCCCTTAACAGTAGAAAAGGGCCTCATTTAAAACATGTTGGACAATACTGCTGTGCATATTCTAATTCCATTAGCATAATTTGAATATTAAATGAGAAATTTGGATGCCAGGCTCTGACCATTCAGCGTAATGCATGTGGAATTTTTTCCCTCTAGAATAATTCTCCTCCAACGGCAAATAATTTTGAGTTAGAACCATAACACCTTGAAAGACATTCAGGCATAACAGTAACAGCAGCCATGATGCATATATCTGTATTTTTCTGTCTGAAGATGATGATGACTACTTGCCACCTCATAAGAAGACAAAGAGCACAGAACCAGTCAACGATGCTGCCAATTGTGGAAGAAGAAAAGCTAGAGAATTCAATTTTGGTAAGTTTAAGAGTAAAATGGTTCCTGATCTTCTTTGCAGTTTTGTTGGCCTGGCTCCTGTTGGCTAAGGTATATTCAAGCTTTCACTTGAATTGGTACTGAATATGACTGTATCTCTATTTGAACATATGAAACTGCCTTACACCCCCCCCCCAAGCCTGAGACTGTTCTGTCTATTTCTGTGCTGGCCAACAGCAGCTCTTCAGGTACAAGTTGTTTCCTAAAGCATAATATCTGAGATGCTTTAAGCTTGAAGTGCCAGAGCTTGAATCTGGGATGTTACACATAAAACGTATGTGCTCTGTTATGGTGCCGCAACACAGAACCCCTTGCCTTCAGTACCATTAGATCTTGTTTCTCAAAGTGGAGGTACCAGCGGAAGGTTTTCCTGGGATGCCTTGAAGATCTGGGAGACTTGTGTGGGAGGAGACATTAGCCCCTTATTTTTTTAAAAAATATTTTTATTGGTTTTTCAATAAATGCATCTTTTATTAAATATCTCTCTAACAATTTTCCATTTTTTCCCTGCCCCACTTCCCTGGACTTCCCTCATACTTCCACTTCATTTTACTTTCAGTTTATTTATCCAGCGTATTATTTCCCCAGTTAATTCCTAATACATTTACATCTATTTTTTATTATATACATTTGTGAATGTTTACTCAAACCCTGCCAATGAGTCCAACTCTTCATGTTGTCTCTTCATATATATTGTAAATGGTTCCCATTCTCTTTTGAAGTCTTTGTAATTTATCTGTTAATTTTGCTAATTCTGCATATTCCATGAGACATTAGCCCCTTAAACACGATGATTTAATGCGCTGTACATGAGCCTCAGTAAGTCTGAGCAAAGTGTCAGGTTCATACGCTCCCCTCATCCTCCTGCATGATCAGGGACTTCTGCCAAGTTTAGTTTCCCTTTTAAACAATTTCCACTTTGTATTGAACCAGCTGGTTTAAAACAGCTTAAGGATAACATGCCAGCTTGAAAATGAATTGTTTAAAACAATGGTTTTGTTTAAGTTGGGTTGCTGGTTTAAATGTAGCACTAAGCTGTATTTTTTTTTTTGTTTTTTTTTACAAAATTCAACAAAGCTTCAGGGGAAGTGGAAACCTTCTTCTTTGGATCATTGAGGTCCATCCACATTGCACACCCATGGTTTAGTATTATGTTTTGGATGTGGCCACTCTTGCAGAAGCACTTCTTCAGGCTTACTTGAACTTGAACGTCAGTAGAATTGAGAAAGAAGGGAAGGAGAGTTGGTGACTGGCTTATCTGAGCAAACTGCCTAGTAGGCTGATTGTGGCAGAATGCATGAATGGTTTGAGGATGGGCTACGCAGAATGAATATACTTGGAGTTTGCTGTTTAATTATGGACTATTGTCAGTCTTGAGACAGTAGTAGCTTGAGAAGTCTGTAACGAGTCTGGCTTCTGTGTGCGCCTTCCTCTTTCGTAATGATTTCCTAAGGCTTCGGATGTCTGACGTAAATATGGTATAGAAGTGCAAAGCCACGAAGTACTCCAGTGCATCAGTAGCTTGAATGTGGATGCCTTGTGTCTTGCTGCCTCTATTTTCTTTGAGAAGTGGGACATGAATGCATTAAATCAACCAGCACCAGGATTGGGGTAATGATGGGGGGGGGCTGTATGGTTCTTCATATGACCTCTTTAGTTAAGACTTCTGCCAATACGGCTTCACACACTCATTGTAACTCTGGCTTTTTAAGAAACCTCCCAATTAAACCTTTCAGGCTCTGAATTAAAATAATTTGTCAACAGCTGCTTTGGATCAGTGTAAACCACAATGGGAGTGAGCTACTGACTGTAGAATTGCTGTAGAGCAGGCATGGCCAAACTTGGTCCTCCAGCTGTTTTGGGACTACAACTCCCATCATCCCTAGCTAACAGGACCAGTGGTCAGGGATGATGGGAATTGTAGTCCCAAAACAGCTGGAGGGCCAAGTTTGGCCATGCCTGCATAGAGTAATTATGGACAAAGTTTTTAGCTGCTTTTGTCCAGCAATATGTACATAATTTTGTCTTCAGAACATATACAGATGCTATTTTTAAAGGGTTTAGTGTTTTATAATCATGCATGAGCAACAAGGCGAAATGCATAATCCAGAATTCAGCAGCTTGATATATTAAAAGCTTGATATATCTTATATTGGGATAACATTATTTTTCCTTTCAGAGAAATGGAATGCCCGCATTACAGACTTGAGAAAGCAAGTTGAAGAGTTATTTGAAAGAAAATATGGTATGTGTACGCACTGTATCCCTGATCCCCTTTTTAAAGCCATTCCTAGAATTTGAAACTCCCCAAACTTTTTTTGGAAAAAGGTTTGAATTCCCCACTCCATAGAGTCTGAATTCTTTTGGCATGTTGTCCTGCCATTGTCCAAGGACTGCCAGTGCCAAGGGGTGTTTGTAGCCGTGTTGGTTCTGCAGAATTAGAAAGTTGGCAATAAGTACAATGATATCTCCTTTTGGGGAGTGGGGTAAGTAGTGTTGGAAGTTCTGCAAGCTGTTACTTCCACAGCCTTTGGTTCTTAACATTACACATTAATTGTGATCTGTATTAAGAATAAAATGTGGTACCAAAAAACGGGGGGCTGCAGTCTGCAACCTGTGTAATGTTGCTTATTTTGTGTAACTTAATCGGTTTCAGCTAATCATCCGAAAGGGGAAGGAGTTTGGCTGTGTTGATTTCATTCTTCTGGTTTCTTAGATTTGCTGGACTTAACCACATAGTTCATAGTCTTGTAGGCTTAAAACTTTGCTTTTTAGAAAGTTGGAGGAGGATTTCTGCATCCTTCCTGTATTTGAAAATGTTGGCATTATAGGTGGCCATACAACTTAACTACAGATCTGCAACATCTAGATCAGTGGTGACTAACGTATAATCCCCCAGGTATTGCTGGGCTCCAATGCCCATCAGCACTAGTTAGGATGGTCAAAGTCATTGATGATATGAGTTGTGGTCCAACAGTATCTGTTGGCCCACAAATTAGCCACCCCTGGTCTTAATATGTTGTAGCATATGTTTGCATATAGCAAGTAAGCTACTCATTTTGGGCATTATGCAAAAATTGTGTTGGGTGATAATATGATCCACTGTCAAAAATCTGAAACCATGACTTGAAGTTTTTATAAATCATGGCTTGGGACTGTCTGTGGTTTGATGGGGCATCTGAGTTGACAGTTCATACTTAATGGCTATAAATCTTCCTCTGGGAGTCCTGGCTCTGCACTCTAGTCTCCATATGGAGACAGAAAATAAGCACAGAGAAGCAGCTCTGAGCTGTTGTACACTTTGGAAGCTCAAACTAGGGCTTGTGTTCTAATCTATGGTTAGCGCAAATTAGTTTGGTGTGGGGTTTGAGTTGCACTTACGAGGCATAATCTCTTCCTCTTTTATATAAAGCAGGTTTGATTGTATAGGGTTCTGCTAAGTGAGATACTGCATTTGCTGTTCTTTCGAAACAAGTAAGTTTGCAGGCAATGCTAAGCCACGCTTAGTGTGTTTTTCTTTTTATATTAAAGCTGAAGCTATTAACGCAAAAGGCCCCGTGACTATCCCGTATCCACTCTTCCAGTCCCATGTTGAAGATTTGTATGTGGTAGGACTGCCAGAAGGAATTCCCTTCCGGAGACCCTCCACCTATGGGATCCCTCGCCTCGAAAGGATTTTGCTGGCAAAGGAACGGATACGATTTGTGATTAAGAAGTGAGTAAGTTGGTTTAAATTAGAGTGTCCACAAATGCAGGATTCACAGTATCTTTTTCTATAGAGTTGCTCATCAATTATAACTTCTCTCCCCCTCATAATATTGGCACTTGGGCGGGGGCTGTCTCAGTGAAATTTATTAGAAGTAGATTCAAGGCAGAAAAAAGATATCATATAAGGGCTGTGTTCAAATGATCAAACTTCAACTTAATATTGTTGAACAAGCCTAATATCCCAACTTGTTTGGAAGCTATTAACCATAGCTTCCCATTTTGGATGTTACTGGATGCTGTAGTGAACTGACTTCCTGGCTTGTTCCCTACTTGGCATGGGTGGAAAAGTGAAGCAGCTGCATGTGTGCGTGCAGGTGGCTCATTCTCATCTTGGCTCAGTGCACAAATACAGAGCTTGCAGTCACCAGATGCAGTGAAGGGCAGGGAGACAAATTCATGAATGGGGGTTGCTCTATTAATGGCTGTTACTATACATGATAGCTGGGCAGAACCTCTGTGTTCTGAAGCAGTATGCCTATTGGATGGCAGTTGCTGACAGAGAATAGGGTTGTTGGCTTCGCAGAAACATATAGCTGGCCTCTGTGGAGAACAAGACACTAGACTTGATCAGCTTTTTGACTGATCCAGCAGAGCTGCTTTTTACATTCTTACAGCATATTTGCTGCTATTTCATGTATTTCTGCAGTGCTGTTTATTTAATGTATTTTTTACCCTGCTCTTCAGTAGACAAATGGCTAAAGTAAGATCTGTAGTATGCAAGGCATGTCCTGCCTTGCAGCCTTACAATTTAAAAGACATTTTGCACAAGAGGGATCAGGAAAATAAATAAAAGCAGGCAGCAGTTGATAAAATTGTGTGTTAGTTGTTACACCCTGAATCAAAATAATTCAAGGTTATGCCACCTTGAATGGAAACAATTCAGCTATCCCATCTCTCCCTCTGCTTCAGTCACGTGGAACCAAGTATTGTTCAAATAATCAGAATATATATTGGGGTGTTGCTGGTGTGGGTTCTTCTGAACAGTCTTCAGATTTTTGCTGATAGACCCAATTTTATTCAAGCTTTGAGATATCCATAGTTCTCTTTGTTTTTGCCATTGGTTATTATTGTTAAATTATCACCATGGCATATTGCATAAAGTTTCTTGCGAGATTATTCTGAAAACATTTGCTCTTTAATAAGTATGAGGCTCTCTGATCTTGAAAAAAATGTACACTACCCATCTGTAAGTTGCATCTTTGCTTACCAGTGAGGAAGTACTTCAGAAAATATTCCATAGTCAATCGGACTTTAGCAGATTGCAGACTAGAAGTGAAGTTTTTACCCTGTCACAGTATTATGAGCTTCATGCTTTAGGTATTGTATTGTATCCAATGTAAGTCCTCCTCAGAGTTGACCTATTGAAAATAATGAACATGAGTAACTTGAGTCCATTAATTTCAGTTGGATACAGCCCTTGGCTATTTCTTTTATAATTTGTGTATCCCTCCCATTCCTGTTGGTAAGATTGGGCGGCGGGGGGTGGGGGTGGTATTTGATGGGTGAAATAATGGTTGCTATGAGACTAAAAGTAGTGGTAGTGTAATAGTAGTATGTTGGTTAACAAAAATATGCCCTAAAATGTTTGCAGGCATGAGCTGCTAAATTCAACACGAGAAGATCTACCGTTAGACAAACCTGTTGCAGGAGGTAAGAGTTGGTGGGGTAGCCTGTGGAGTTGGTGGCTGTGTTTATTTTATTCATTGATTGTATTTATGATGGCTGCCCAACAACATTGTGCTCTGAATGGCTGTCTGAGATAAAATACAGTATTACGTGTTCTAAAGACAATTGCAGCATAAAATTTGCTGAGAGAGACCTAAATCCAAGTTCACAGCATAACTAAAAGTACAGTCATACCTCATCTTGCGGCCGCTTCAGGTTACGTGTTTTGTCCCGCGGCAACCTGGAATTACTGGAACAGGTTACTTTCGGGTTTCTCCACATGCCCAAAAGCGCTAAATTGTGCTGCGTGCATGCACAGATGTGGCACTTTGGCTTGCATCAGTTCCGTGTTACGGATGGGCCTCCAGAATGGATTCTATCCGTAACACGAGGTTCCACTGTACATAACATACAGTCAGTTGGATAAATGTGTTTAGGGTATTGCTGTTGGGTCAGATTTGACAAAGTTTTCTTAGGTGAGCTGGATAGTAAATTGAGTGAAGGCATTATTGGTTGTGGCACCTGTCTGGCACTCTTTTCTCCAGGTGGCTTGCGTGGCATTGGTGCTGCTGCTGTTTTGGTGGCAGATGAAGACTTTTAAAAGAATCTATTAATCCTTCCCTTAATACTTTTTAATGGCTTTAATGCTGCTTGTGATTTTTGTTTTATGATTGAATTGTATTTGATACTTAAAATTGATCTTGTATATCTTGATCTTGCAAGCCATCTTGGAAACATTCGGTGAAGGGCAGAAGAATGGTCCAGTGAACAAATTAAAACAATTTTCATTTCTTGAGCTAGGCCTCAAGAGGTGAACCTTAACTGTAAAAATGTATTTGTTGGGTTAAAGGAAGTAAAACAACACAGCATCTATTTTTCTCTGCTTCTTCTCTGCCTGCTACCTGTAAGTTTGTGAAGGCTCCTAGGGACAACTTCCTTTTATGCCAGGGGTGGAGAGCCTGTGGCCTTCCAGAAGATGTTGGACTCTTACATTCCCATCTCTGGAGGCCTATAGGTTTAACTCTTTCCTCTCTGCTCTGTGCGCTTGCCCTCTTTCGCTATTGTGACTCCAAGGGAGAAGGATGGCAAAGTGAATAAAGTTTTGCCAAATCAACAGTGTTTTAGCTTCAGAATGTTAAACATTTAAATCAAATTATTGTTTTTACCACTGATCACAGTGAAAGAAGAATGGTATGCCCGAATCACCAAACTAAGGAAGCTTGTCGACCAGTTATTTTGCAGAAAATTTGGTAAGTTCACTTGGCAGCAATTCATTGTTCAGTTTTGGTGGTGGTGGGTTCAGGGCTGGCATGCAGATCAGAGATCGCTTTCCAGTTAGCAACCACTAAAATTCAGTAGTTTGCTTTCTGTTTGTGGCAAAGAGAGTTAAGAATGCCTCTTAACATGTTTTTTTACCTTTTAACTGGGTCCAGTGGCATCAAGATGGGGTGTTCTCAGGAGCCAAGCTGCATCTGGCAGATCCAGGGCTGTTAAGACATGATCTGCCCCAATTATCTAGAAAGTGCTTGATTGAAGAGGGCTGCACAGGGCAGGAATGAAAATACATACCAATTCCCAATGCCCTTTTTTCTCTGTACCACATATGCTTGGGATATTAGACTGCAGCAGAAGAGAAAAGGACATAGGGAGGCAGACTGCAGGGCAAGGTTACAAGACGTCCCTGTTTCCCAGGGACAGTCCCCGGATGTACAAATCAGTCCCCATGCAAAATCCATTGAAATTGAAAAGTGTCCCCGGATTCATTGAAAATAATCTGGTAACCTTACTGCAGGGAGTTTAGCCATAATTGGGGCAGGGCTCTGTACTCACCTGTATGTCCTTTCAGTAAGGGATCCTTGTTCAAAAAAATGTATTGACCATTAGTTTAATTAAAGACTGAAATCAGGGTTCTTGTCTGAGTTTTGCCCATGTTGTGAAATTACAAATGGTCTGGCTTCTTCTAACAGCTGAGGCACTGGGGAGCACTGAACCAAAGGCTGTCCCTTACCAGAAATTTGAGGCGCACCCCACTGATCTTTTTGTGGAAGGTCTGCCAGAGAACATTCCATTTCGGAGTCCGTCTTGGTATGGAATTCCTCGGTTGGAGAAAATTCTTCAAGTCGGCAACAGAATAAAATTTGTAATAAAAAAGTAAGATGAGCTTTCTTTGCATTTCTATTTTTTGAGATTAAATTTGTCAATGCCAAAAAAATGCCAGCTTTTGTCCAGTATTTCTTGATTTGTGTTAGAGACTGGAAGTATAGCTATAGGAATATACAGCTATCGACAGGTCTGTCTTTCTATCTCTGATTTCTCTAGCAACTTGTCTTGGCCAGAAGAGATCTGCTTCACCCTTGAACTTATTTCAAAGATCTAAACTGTTACTGAAGGATTGCTTTCTTTCTTCATTCTTACATTGTAAATCAACCCTGGACTGGAAACACAGAAAAGGTTAAATGATATGTGAAATAAGCAACCTTCATTTTAGATGGCACCCTTTTGTGAAAAATACAAAACCCTATTATCAACCAAAATGCAATTCATTAACTTGATAGTTTTATATGTTTCGAATGGGCTCTTGGAACCTTTGTATTTTGCTGATATCTGCTATTTTGCTTTTTAAAGTTCATTGTTTTGAGCTGGTACTTTATTATTATTTTTTAAGTCAGCTTCACAATGCAGGGTGTAATCAATTAGTACTCTGACTTGGATAGTTCAAGGGTAGAAGCACTAAAGATTGTACAGTATGGACTACCTCCCTTCCACTATGTGTTAATTTTTATTTTTATTTAATTACAGGCCAGAACTGCTAACAATCACTCCTGCAGAGGTTACCCAACCAAGGACAAACATGCCTGGTAAGATGGGCATTTATGAAGTGATCAAATACAGACAGCAATACTTCCACCCACTACTTGGAGAGATGCTTTGTCTCCCCTCCTTAATGTATTCAGATCCCATTTATTCATAGAGATGGGTTGCGAACTTTTGGAGCTTTGGTATTCGCTTGTTTCTCTGTGCTAAATGCATTCATTAAGATGGGGAAAATATATTGAAACCATCCCAACTAAAAGGCCACATATATTATTGCTATTTATTAAATTAGGTTAAACAGAAGAGGTTGATTCTACAAAGCAAAATATCTTAACTGTCAAAGGCCAGGGTAACAAGAATATGGTGCAATTCCGATGGTGATTATTGAAGGATGCAATCCATTATCAGAATGGGAAGGGAGGGACAGTTTCTGGTGATCCTTTCTATATCATGTTGAGGGTTACAGAGCACTGCAGTAGGAAAGGAGGAACACCAGAAACTATCTCTCTTTCAATTTTTCTGATGGATTTCTTCTGGGGGCACATTATCATAATTGGATCACCATCGCTCATTGTCTTCGTTGTTAAAGCTAAATATGAGATTATATATCTGAAAGCATTTTTATCATTACTGTGATCGTCCTGCTGTCCCTTAGTTTCATTAATCTAGATGTTGCCTTATGTACAGTGACTCAGATCACTCACAACAGCAAGTGATGCTTTGAGAACCCAAATGATCTGAATTTCCCACCATAGAGCAAAATTATAGCTTGTTCGCTTTCATTTCATAATCTGCATCTAAGGATATGTATTTATATACATGCAAATCTGTAGGTTACAAGTTTGAATTGATCTCTCTCTCTCATCATTGCATGTTTACAGATGGAAGCATACATTGTATATATGTGTATTTATTTTTAATTCCCAGTCAAAGAAGATTGGAATGTCAGAATCACAAAACTGAGGAAGCAAGTAGAAGAGATATTTAATCTAAAATTTGGTAAGTTAACTGTTGGATATTCACCTTGTAGTACCATTGCTTGATGAAAATATTGTAGAAGTAAAAAACACAATTTTTTCTACATTGTTGTAGCATTTTGACCAATTGCCTTGATATATATTTTGGGAAAGGCTATGTGTGTAAAGCTGTGAAAGTCATGGATGCTAGATCTGGATCTTAAATTACGTGTTATGGCTACTTGGAAATTGTAATGATTTTCATGTACATTGTGTGAATTTCTTTGAGATTTGTAAATGGAATATAAATATTTTAAATAGAATAAATAATTAAAAGTGAGGGGGGTAGCCTGCCTTTGAAAGCAGAACTTTGATGTCTAATGGTCTATTGAATCCCTACCAACTTGTCACCTTCTTTCTAGGACAAGCTCTGGGTCTGAGTGAAGCAGTGAAAGTTCCTTATCCTGTCTTTGAGTCAAACCCTGAGCATTTGTATGTAGAAGGTTTACCTGAAGGCATCCCCTTTCGAAGTCCAACATGGTTTGGAATCCCACGCCTGGAAAGGATTGTCCGAGGGAGTGGAAAAATCAAATTTATTGTGAAAAAGTAAGCTGCTGGTTAATCTCTTTACTGCTTTTAAATTTACAATTTTATAATTGCTTTACTGTTGTTTTTTTAAAGCGCAAAATGCTTCTTCTGGAAAATCTCAAAATGCTATCTGCAGATGCAGCCTCAGTCTTGACTTATTACCCCAACACGGATCTTTAATACCTAGGTCTAAAGTGATGTTGCTGTTGCTGTTAAAATTTATATCCTGCTTTTCAGCATCTAGGTCTCAAAGCAGCTTGCAACGATAAAAATATACAAAATTTAGAAGAAATTAAACCCCAGAAATTTAAACAAAGAACATCAGAAAATTTCACAACATCGGAGAAGCATTCCTGATGTAAAGGCCTCCTGAAATAAAGCGATTTTAACCAGTCATCTGAAACTCAGCAGGGACGGTGCCTGTCTGAGTTCTGGTGGGAGTTCCAGAGTTGGGCCCACAACACTGAAGTCATAACCTCATTTGTATGAGTTGCACTTCTGGTCCATGGAGGACCACCAAGCTCCATCAGATGATCTCAGTGATCAATTTGACATATACAGGGAAAGGCAGTACTTAAAGCATTCTGGGCGCCAGTTATTCAGGGCTTTGCACACTAGCAGAAGAACCTTGAACCTGGCCTGGTTGCAGATGGGAAGCCAGAGCAAGTCTTTTAGCAACAGTGTCGTGTGTTGGCAGTAGCCTGCTTCCAGCATCAGTCTAGCCACAGCATTCTACACTAGCTGAAGCTTCCGGACCAGACTCAAGGGCATCCCCCCGTAGAGTGTGACACACTAATGGTTAGTGCTATTTCCAAATGACTAGATAGAATCATAGAACCATAGAACTGTGGAGTTGGAAGGAATCGCGAGGGTCATCTGGTCCATCCAGATCCAGGTCCATTCCTGCAATGCAGGAATCTTTTACCCAATATGGGGCTTGAACCCACAATATTGAGATTAAGAGACTCATGCTCTACCAACTCAGCCATACTTCACTGTGGGGTATCATGGAAATGTGAAGCAAGCTTACATGCAGGATGGATGAAACAGACATTCAAGTATTCATTCTTAAGACATCAGCCACCTTCACAGGGGACGTAATGTACAGTTTATGTGTCTCAAAATCACTGATTTCAAATGGGTGAATATGACGGCAGCATTTAACTTGAGGGGTTGGGCAGGTGGTTATTAGTTGCCAGGTTCCACTTTTAGAACTGTAACCTTGGGCCGTTTTAATGGGATCATTAGAACGTGTCAGGTAGACACACATAATTTTGAGCGGCTGTTGCATTGTGCGCATTTGGGCAGCTTAGAAATTTCATATTTTATCTCTGGAAAATAGCTGTTGTTAAAGTGATGTTGAAACAGATATTAATATTTGGGTATGTACAAATTGGAAAGTTACACCGATCACATCTACAGTTGCCTCCTCCCACCTTAATTATAATTAAAACCCATCTCTTACTGGAGATCTTCCTCCCCACTCCCACCCCATGTAGCTTTTATAGGACCTATATGGTTTTTACAAGGGGTTCTGCCCCTGCTCGTATTGCTCGCCAACCCCACCCTGGTGACGGCTGCCTGGGCCTCTCACTTGCTTCGCTCTGCCATCCCGCTTGGAGATTTCTCCCCTTCATTCTTCCCCCTGTTCCCAGGCAATGCCAGCAGCAACAGTTGCTTGCACCGCCCACTCATTTGAGGCTTCTCAGGCTTCCATCACCCTGTTTAAACTTGGCTGCAGTTGTGTGTTTGCTTGCCAGCATGAAGATGGACGAGTACAAATATTGTATGTAAGATACTTGCATTGTTATGAGAGCATCCTATTAAAAATGCATTTTCTAATTTATAGGCCAGAACTTGTCACCTCTTATTTGCCTCCTGGATTGGCTAGTAAAGTAAATACTTCGGGTAAGTGACTAACCACCAGTTACAAAGGGAAGGGATGTCATCTTCACGCACCGCACGGTGTTTGAGTTTTCAAAGCAAGAGACCTGAAATCCAGCAGGTGTCCTCACATGCTTCCTTTACACAAAACAGATGGAGTAAATAGTTTGGAAACCAGCGTAAGCATTTCAAGAATTCTCTCTGCCCCGTGCCGATTTAGGCATGCTAGTTAATTGTGGCAGGGGGCGTTGTCTGAAACAAGCATATCTACATAGAGCTTTATAAACAATAAACAAACTGCCTTTCTTTTTAGAACCCCAAAGTCCTAACAGCTCAAACTCTGCACAAAGTCCTGTAAGCAACTCCAAGATTCCAGAGATTGAAGTTACTGTAGACGAAGGTATGGACTTGACTAAATATGTTTGCTTGAGAATAAGTAGCTTGGCTTGTACTGGTTACTGAATTAGGGCTTCTTCCATCTGCAGAACAGATCTCTGGAAGCTTAGTCTGTTGTGGGGGAGGGGAAGAAGAGCCATCAGAAAATCATCTCATTCTTAATCATAGAATTGTAGAGTTGGCAGGAATCCTGAAGTCACATAGTCGAAGCCCTCCACGAATCCTGCCCACAGCCATCAGGTGGGCTTGAACCACCAACCCTCTGGTTAGCAGCCAGACACACTGACAGTCCCTAATTCCCCACCCATCCACTCCTCATTTTCCAGTCATTGTATAGAGAGATGTCTGTGTTACCTTTCCAGTTGTGTGGGTTGTGAGTGTTGAAGTGAATAAAGCAACATCCTCTACAATGTGGATTTCTGCCTTTTCTGGCAATGAAACAGGGAAAATCTACTCACATGAGTTGGGACCATGTGTGTTTGGTGTGTGTGTGTGTGTGTGTGTGTGTGTGTGTAGCGATGAAAAGGGCTGATTTCAACAGTTTAACTGTATGCGTTTTAGATGATAAATTAGTTGAATCCAAATAAAGTAGCTTAACAGCAAAATGGGGTAGCTGCTTGTTAATATTATTTTCAAGGGTAACTGAACACTTGTGCCACGCCCACTAAGCTCTCAGCAGATTTGAATTTTTAGAGTAGTATTGGAAATTCTAGTCTTGCATGTTCTTGTTGTACACTAGAAAGTCATTAATTTACATGGGATGTATTGTGTGTGTTAACACAGGTCTTGCTAACAAGACACAAACCCCAGAAGTTAAAACTAATCCTCAAACCAATGGATCCAATGTAGGCTTTAAACCAAGAGGAAGAGAATTCTCATTTGGTAAGTTCTGGGGAAAACTGTCTCCTTCCAAACTGCATGCCACTAGCCACTTATTCCTGTTCTTTATTCCTGACAGTTGCCTACTTGAATTCAGTCTGATTCACTAACTAGATAATATATTTACACTCTTTCCAGTTTGGGCATTAAAGTGCAGTGTATAAATGTAAACAAAGCAATAGAAATCCTCATTTTTTGTTGGTAACTCTGTTAGGAATTTAATTACTTAGGGGCTGCTTGCCTTACGCCTAGTACCTAAAAAGAGAAAAGCTACGTAAGTTGCACCTAGGACAAACCCATTTCCCCCTTTATATGTAGAACTTGCTACTAGTTTTTTCTTGCTCATTGTACAGAGGCATCCAGATAACATCGCTTGGTATTTCCGTAGAAGCAAAGAAGTAGTGGATCAGGGTGCAGATAATTGACTTACTCTTTTGATGTTTTAACAGAGGCCTGGAATGCCAAGATTACTGACCTGAAGCAAAAAGTTGAAAACCTTTTTAATGAGAAATGTGGTAAGCATACTGAGCCTTTTATAACATTATCTTAGCACGTCTGAGGGAAACTTTATCAGCAAAATATTTGATACATTCATAAATTTACAGCCTAGTTCTTATTATTAAGGTGGTAAATCGAAGTCTTGACTGTACCACTTTATACTGCAGTTGAGAACTCACAGTTAATAAATGCAACAGAATGTGATTATTGTGATTTGGCTTTCTATCCTGTTTTTTGCAGCAACAAACCGATTCTCTTGCGTGAAAGGAAAGAGGTTAAGGCTCTGCAGTAACCTGTTTCCTTAATTTGGTACATCGGCATATGGATAATACCTGTAGATTCTGGATGTATAGCCTCTTTTGTTCTTTAAGGGACTATGTTACTGTTATGTAAATAGACAAGCAAGAATTGATAAGTCAACAACTGGATAATGGGAAAGGAAAAAACTAAAAAATAATTGGAATATAAGGAATGAAATGTGAATTAGAAATATGTAATATCAAACAGCAGTGGGTGAAAGTAGAGACATGTCTAGGATGAAGAGCAGGAAGTCAACTTTTTGGAAAATGTGTATTAAATTAGATGTAGTTTGGCATTGAATTGTTAAAAATTTGGAAAACTAATAAATATTATTTGGCAAAAAACACCTGCAGATTCTGGATTTTCGTGCTGATTTTCAATATTGATTGAAACCTGCTAATGTGCATTAGGGCTGAGTGAAATTTGTGTGGTGTTTCTTTTTACAAAGCAAAAAGTACTTTTGCCCTCTCCAAAATGTCTTCTCCAAAAGAGCAGTGTTCCATAATCACCTTTCACTACAAAAGCATGCTCTGAAGGGAAGAAGAATGTGCAGAATGTATTACCGATTGTCTCCTGCTAAAGGGGTGACTGCACTACAAAGTAATTATTTTGCCACCTGTTCTATTCTCTCTATCAAATATACCGTATTTTTTGCTCTATAAGACTCACCTTTTACCTCCTAAAAAGTAAGGGGAAATGTGTGTGTGTGTTATGGAGCGAATGCAGGCTGCGCAGCTATCCCAGAAGCCAGAACAGCAAGAGGGATTGCTGCTTTCACTGCGCAGCGATCCCTCTTGCTGTTCTGGCTTCTGAGATTCAGAATATTTTTTTTCTTGTTTGCCTCTTCCAAAAACTAGGTGCGTCTTGTGGTCTGGTGCGTCTTGTAGAGCAAAAAATACGGTAACTGGAATTGGGGACTTTTTGTGGAGGGTCAACTCTCACGAAAAGCCTTGTCCCTTCGTATTTTGGCTTAGCTCTAGTAACCACTAGGACGTAAGTGTGAGAGAGAAATTCAGCAAAGGTCCAGCCCCACCTCAAATATTGTGAAATACATTTTGTTTTAGGGGAAGCTCTTGGACTGACGGAGCCCGTGAAAGTCCCTTTTGCGCTCTTTGAGTCTTACCCTGAAGATTTCTATGTTGAAGGCCTTCCCGAGGGAGTGCCATTCCGTCGCCCTTCCACGTTTGGCATTCCAAGATTGGAAAAGATCCTCCGAAACAAAGCTAAGATAAAATTTATCATTAAAAAGTAAGCCAAATGCAATGCGTACCACATGACTGGCCTCTCTGAACAACTTAAATACAGAGTTCAGCCTAGGCAGATGCTGGATTCTTCCATCAGAGAAACGAGGCTGTATTTTAGACTAGCAATACTCATGGTAGGCTTCTCTAAGACGTGGGCAACCTTGTTTCAAACTTTTGGAATAATAGCTAATAAATGCAAATATTTCATTTGTTCATAGTCATAAGACTCCTCACAAAGTAAGGTTTCTAGCTGAACAAGCAGCATTTTAAAATCAGTTGGTAAGGGATCACTTGCAAACGCCATATTTGAGACCCAAATCAGCAAATCAAATGTTTTAAATCCAGATGACCTCAAGAGCATGGCTCCAAATATTGCTGTGCAAACTTCAGAATAAATTTCTCAGTCAGAGATAGAAACAAAGTGGCCCTGTGGGTTTTTGGTTTACTTGATAAGTGAAAGCAGAACTTAATCAAAGTAAGATTGAAATGTCCAATTAGGATGACAGGAAGCACTCTGTTACTGAGTGTTGAATAGAGTGAATACTGTATACAGTCGTACTTTGGAAGTTGAAAATGTTTGAAAACCAAATTGTGGCTTCTGATTGGCTGCAGGAAGCTCCTGCAACCAATCAGAAGCTGTGGAAGCCCCATCGGAATTCCGGCTTCCAAAAATAGTTCGCAAGCCGAAACAGTCACTTCTGGGTTTAAATCGTTAGAGAACTAAGCTGTTTGAAAACCAAGGTATGACTGTATTGTATAGTTGCTAATGTTTTTAGCTGCTTGAAGGCCACTTCTTAAGAAGGATCTTGTCATATCCAAATATGCCACTTGTGTTGTCTGAAAGTGAATAGTGATAAAGGCATTTTGCAAATCCAAAAGGCAAATTGGGCAAGCATAGCTTAAAGTAAAACACCTTGTTGCCTTGTATAATACATGAAACGATTATGCAATTGCTAGTGCCTGCCTTTTATCTGTTTAGTCTTGTTTTCTTTTGTCTTCACTAAATCTACTGGGACAGCTTTCAGTGCATTGGCATTCTGGCCATAAGCTAACATGAACGCATTGCATTTCTGAGCCCATCTGGAATTAAAACCTTGTTTACTTTCTTCCATATAAGACTTATTCAGTACCTCCTATTATTTCCCGGAAGAATAATGAAGATAAAACAAAGGCAGGCACTGAGCTGGTAACACTTGTATTTGTCCCGGGGATGAGGGAGGGTGTAGAACTGAATGAAGAGCACAAAAGTGACATTTAGAAAGGAGGGTTTGTAACCATCTGAGCAGAGCCTGAGGTTAAAATAAGGGGTTGGCCCATCACACTGTAACATTAAAAAACAATAAAATGAGTTGGACACAAAAGTCCATGCAGTGTTTCGGTTGATAACTACACACCCTTGCGTCCTCTCAGGAGGAGTTTGAGCCTTTTATAACTCAGGGGCACAAAACAGGTAACTCCATCTGTGGAGATGTGTCTCACGCTAGAGGACAATATGCAGTAAAGGAACAAATTGGTGGAGGATAGCCAAATGGAACACAGCCTACAGGATCAGAGGCAGTGTACCACTGGGTACCAGATGCACAAGAGGATTTTGCTTTTGTGCTGCCCAGGTGGACCTGACTGGTCATGGATGAACAGGCTTGGACCGTGGTTTCATTAACCACATCAACATTAATCACAGTTAGAAAACTTCCAAACTCTTGCAGCCTTTCCACAGGAGGAGGAAGTGTGCTGCAGGCCTGAGGCTCGCCAGCTTGTCCTGGCTCATTCACATCACATCACACTGGTTTAGTGTGATGTCTGAATGCAGCCAACATGTTTAAACTTCTTGGTTCAGGATGCACATGGATAACTTAATAGGCTCACTTTTGCTTTAATGTTTGGCTGAAGGGTTCTGAGCTTCCCTGAGGTGAGAGAGGGCTTCAGGGAGGGATATCCAAGACAAGTGGAATTTACGGGGAGCAAGACTGCATGCGTTTGGGAGGGATGGTCATTGTGCTTTCTCCTCCATCCACTTGACCAGCCATGCTATGGTACAGTGGTACCTCGGGTTAAGTACTTAATTCATTCCGGAGGTCCTGAAACTGTTCTTAACCTGAAGCACCACTTTAGCTAATGGGGCCTCCTGCTGCTGCCGTGCTGCTGAAGCCTGATTTCTGTTCTCATCCTGAAGCAAAGTTCTTAACCTGAAGCACTATTTCTGCGTTAGCGGAGTCTGTAACCTGAAGCGTGTGTAACCCGAGGTACCACTGTATTTTAGAATGATCAGCTTCACCTCAGAGGGAAATGAAGCTGCAGTTGTGTTTACTTATTGATCGCACTTCTTTATATTCTTATGCCAAAACTTCACCATGTTTCTTTGCAGGCCTGAGATGTTCGAGGCGGCAATTAAAGAAAGCGCTGCTGCTGTTCCAAGTCCTCAGAGTGAGTTTTGTCTCAGGGTTAAGCCCTCAATGGCACCGACTTTGTTGTGTTCATAAGATGGCAACACTGATCAGTAGAGCAGTGTTTCCCAACCTTGTGCCTCCAGCTGTTTTTGGCCTACAATTCCATCATCCCTTGCACTGGTCTTGCTAGTCAGGGATGATGGGAGTTGTAGGCCAAAAACATCTGGAGGCACAAGGTTGGGAAACACTGCAGTAGAGAACAATTCAGGGGAGCGAATTAAAGTAATCCAAGGGTTCTGTGATAGCATAAATCAAGTCATTGCTTTTGGGCCTTGCCCCTCAGAATAAGAAAGAGTCTTGTGTCTTGAAAGTGCTACTAGGTTACCATATCAAAGAAGTGACAAGAGCTGCAGAGACGAAGTTACTGGTCTTCTGCTCTCAACATCTCAGCTCTCATTCCAAATCTCTCTAGCTAGCTGCCAGTCTACGTGTGCAGTTTCCTCCCCTTCCGCTGCCTCCCTGGAGTGCTATGACATCAGATGTGTTCTGAAATTCAAATAGGGCGTAGTGCGTATGATGAAGTCTTTGTTGGGAGAGTTTTTGGAGTGCAGAGACACTGCCATCCTCTGCAAGGAATAAAGCAGCACTCCTGTTAGAACGTGGGCAGATTTGACACTGGATATGGTTGGGTGGGGGCCAACAGCTATCCTCCAATTAGGACTTAGATCTGCCTTGTATGTTGGCCACTCTTTTGAGTTCAGTCTTATTTGTTCTTGATACTTTTTTACTGGGCAGTGCTCATAATGCGAAATGAGATTCAAGTCCTTTTGGTGTTAATGCTTTGAAATCATGTGTTTTGTAAGGAAGAACAAGTTTATCAAACACCGTGATAAACACTGTAAGTGTGCCTGATCCGGTGGTGAATACAGCTGCTGGAGTGGAAGACCTTAACATCATCCAAGTGACTATACCAGGTACTCTGCCCATTTCCCTCCCCCAACCTTGCATTTTCAAAAGCCGTTTTAAAGACAATAGTCTTTTTCCAGTTCAATATTTTTGTTCCTGTCCTACTTCTAATTCTAGTTCACGTGCCAGCAGACATCACATAAGATAGTAGTCATAATAAGCCGTATTCTTCTGTGTTACTTGCAAAAGTATCTTGAAGCTAAGCTCCCAAGGGCTTGAAAGAGAAGAAGCAGACATTCTTAACTATTGCTAATAGTTCTCACTTTGCAAATTAAACGTGACATAGAAGCCCCATGTTCCTTACTTTCATTTCCCAGAACAAGCAGTGCTGCAAAGACAAGGGCTATCTTATTGATGATTTACAGGAACTGAAAGCAGCCTTCCTGAGTTGGATTGCTCTGCTTACAGGAACACGCCGGCTTCCCACCTGCCAACCGCAGACTGTCCTTAGAACTTGCACGAGGGTTTAGAGAACTTCCTTGCTATGTTTCCTATTGGAGAATGAGGGCTGCAAAGCAATGACTGACTGACCTCCTCCAAAGATTCAACTAGGGGAGAGTGCTGGTAGCTGCCAGGTTGCTAACCAGCTGCCTCCCTTTCTCCATGCTTCCATGAGGTTCCTAGCTTGGAGGAAGAGCTTGTCAATTTGTTATTTTCTGCATTAGTTCACTTTTTTCAGTTGCTCCAGAAAAACACCAAGTGGCATCTGTATATCTGCTATGTGCTCTTTCCTTTAATCTTTCAGGCAAGGATGGGGCATGTATGGCCTCCAAATGTTATTGGTTAACATCTCCATCATCATTAACCATTACCCATGCAGCTAGAAGATGTAGTCCAACATCATATGGAGTGTGTGTGCAGGTTTCCTTGCCCCGCTTTAAAGTCTAGTGACTTAAGCTAAAAAAAGAGGATTTTAGCAGCAGGTACACCTGGTAGCCCGGGACGCGGGTGGCGCTGTGGGTAAAAGCCTCAGCGCCTAGGGCTTGCCGATCGAAAGGTTGGCGGTTCAAATCCCCGCGGCGGGGTGCGCTCCCACTGCTCGGTCCCAGCGCCTGCTAACCTAGCAGTTTGAAAGCACCCCCGGGTGCAAGTAGATAAATAGAGACCGCTTACTGGCGGGAAGGTAAACGACGTTTCCGTGTGCTGCGCTGGCTCGCCAGATGCAGCTTGTCACGCTGGCCACGTGACCCAGAAGTGTCTCCGGACAGCGCTGGCCCCTGGCCTCTTAAGTGAGATGGGCGCACAACCCTAGAGTCTGTCAAGACTGACCCGTACGGGCAGGGGTACCTTTACCTTTTACACCTGGTAGAGACATGCCCTATAGGCATAGCTGTCAACGTTTCCCTTTTTTTAAGGGAAATTCCCTTATTCCAAATAGGATTCCTCGCAAGAAAAGGGAAAAGTTGACAGCTATGACTATAGTGCACTTAGGAAAGTGGGCACACACTTGGCTCAGGCTCTCTCCTGCCATTCCTTTAAACCCCAAAGAACTAACAGTCTTAAGGCTGAGAAGGAGTTGGTGATAGGACAGCAGCAACACTAGATGAATAGAACAAGGCTCTTTAAATAACTAGACTGACTTAAATTGGTTTTGCTCGCGTTTAAACAAGATCTGTTTTTTGTTTTTTTTAAAGGTTCAAGTCAATCACAAAATATGATTTAATTCTTGTTTCTTCAAATTTTACAGACGACGATGAGAGAACATCCAAAGTAGAGAAGGCCCGACAGCTGAGAGAACAAGTGAATGACCTGTTCAGTCGGAAGTTTGGTAATTTTAATTTTGCAACGTAGACTCTGTAATCCAAGGTGCAGTAGGCCTACTTTTCAGGCCTGAATTGAAAGAGGACTGAGCTGTAAAAGTCTGCAGCTGCAAAAGAGCTGTTTATGCTTCGGAAAGTCAGAAGTTGGGCGTTGAGTGCATGTGTCCTTGAACACCTAACTAGCACCTGTTTTCTGTTGGTGGTTGGCAGGTGCTCTGGTTGACAGGTGGTCTATAAATATAGCAAATAAGTTCATCCTTTTGTACTTCATAATTGAAGGAAAGATTTCTGTTCCCTCTTTCCCGAGTTCTATATGCAATTCCACTTCACTGAAAAGCATATATTCAGTCGTTAGAAAATAGCTGTCATTTGATGCTTCTTGAGTTCAATAGGTTGCTTTATTATAGTTATATATGATCATATATAAAAATACACTTTGGTTTAAGTGCAGATTATCATGTCTGTGTTAGGTAGCTCATGTTGCAGTCTCCATGCAGCCTTGGATGATGAAATGGGAACGACTGACACCTGTGATTTCAAAAACAGTGGGGTAATTAGTTAGATGCAACTTAATACCAGTGGTCATCGGAAGACTGCATTTGAAGAAAACCTGCCAGCTGGTGTCTGGTGGATTTCATACATCTGATTAGTGATGGCAACCAAAAGGAAGTATTTCTTTACACGATGCTTGATTAACTTCTTGAAAACAACACGCAGTAACGGCCATGGGAGTAGATGGCTTTAAAAGATGCTTAGCAGAGGATAGATCTACTGGAGGCTATTAGTCATGGGAACAAAATGGAATCCTCCTGATTCCAAAGCGGTGTGAGACACTGGATACCATTTGTTGGGAGGCAAATGATGGGGAAGGGCTGTTGCCGTCATTCCCTCCATTTATGCTTTCTATAGGCATCTTGTTAATTACCGTAGGAAACGGGGTGGACCTTTTTTTTTTTACTCTGATCCAGCTGGACACTTCTTATATAGGTGCCAGTACTCGCCATAAAGTTGTTACACTAAGTGCCACACTTTTTAACAACGAAAGAAAGAGGTGCTGTTACTGCGTACCCTTGAGTACTGTTTTAATCAGTATTTTTAAAAACAGCACTTAACAAAAGCTTAAATGAAGATAAGTGGAAAGGTTCAGTCCCAGAAGGTCAGCAAAAGCACATCTCCGTTGAAGTTGATTCTGTTTTTATAATGATCCTGCCCTTGTTACTGCCCTTGTGTAGTATTTTCAAGTAAACTCTGCCTTCCATGTGGCCTAGCGGGAGGACAGTACAACATAACTCTCACAACCTCTCTCTCATCAGGGGAAGCCATTGGCCTGGGGTACCCTGTGAAAGTCCCCTATCGAAAAATCACAGTCAACCCTGGCTGCGTGGTGGTGGATGGGATGCCTCCTGGAGTGTCTTTCAAAGCTCCCAGCTATCTTGAAATCAGTTCCATGAGGAAGATACTGGATTCAGCAGAGTTTATTAAATTTACTGTCATCAGGTATGTGGCTTTCAACTGCATTCTCTATAATACTGATTTCCTTTTCTTTTTTCTTTTTTTGTTGGAGAAGATGTAAGATGGGGCCTGCTTATTCTGGTCCTGGTTGATGGATTAGACATGCAGTAAAGATAATGGGAGAAGCCGCCACTGTTTTCCATTGCGACCAAGCTAGGGCCAGTGCACAAGACCAAGAGAGCCTCTTGTGATCTCTACGACCCTTTTGACAATGCCCTGTGTTTGCTAGGCTCAAACAAGCCACTAAACTGAAGCTCCATAATTTGAGGCATGATGCTTCTCCTTAGGAGGCCTTATGGGGAAAGAGGTGACTGCTGCTTAGGATCATCCCAGAAGCATCTGAGCTGCTATGCTCCCTGCCTTCCAATGGAGAAGGGTCTTCAGAAGCATGGAATACGATTGTTTTAAAGTCCAGGCCAGCTTCCATTGGGGCCAGGTCCTCATGGCCTGGGGCCAGCATACCTAAGAGAGTGTGCCTTCTTCCCTGTGCCCCACTGCAGTGTTGAAAGATCAGCCGAGAATGTGCTCTTGAATGATGCCATCATACAAGCCAGGCTTGTAGGAGGATATGGAGAGAGGCATTCTCCTTTGCTGCCTCACGACTGTGGAACTCCCTTTCCTCGGATGTTCACATTTTGAGGCTCTTTGTTTTTGAGCCACTTTAAGCAGTACAAATTTGGAAAAGCAGCTAATTTACGGTATGATGCCTTCAAGATTTGTTCACATCTGTAAGGGCTCCTGTGACCAAAATGTCCTGCCTCTCCCTAGCAGGAGGTGAAACAGATGTGGAGCGTTGTTACTAAAGCAGCAAGGATGAGCGGATATTTTCTTAAAGGTTTCACCAGCGGTTGTGTTAGGAACAGGCAACCTACTGGTTGCTACTAAGGACGTTAGCCATATATGAAGTGGGCCTATTGAAATGAATAGAATGTTTAACAAAGTTCCATTATTTTCAGTGGGTCTCCTGAAAGTAGACCTGTATTTACTAGATTCAGCGCTAGGAGCAGAATTTTGAAGAGAGAGTCCACCACTGACCTAGCAAAGATATGAGGGTAGAGAAAATATAATAAAAATGGAAACTGGAAAGTATACAAAGACAACTGGAGAGTAAGTAATAAAAATGGAGTCAGTTGAAATTTTTCAACTTGGTATATAAATGCAAAGCTCAGGGTCACGTAAGTAAGTTACTCATGTTGAATATATATGTTTTTTTCTTGGACTTTGCTGGGAGGCTTAAGAATTGCAGTACAAGATCTGTGGCTTTATGCATACATGAAAGTGGAAGAAAATTAAACACAGTGAGAAGATCAGAGTGCATATGTGGTTATACGGTTTGGCACCTCAGATTGTTATGTAAAATCTGTAGAACATTAGGATTATATGTAAACGATCCCTTATTGAAGTGTTGCATTCTGTGTTTTCCAACAGACCATTCCCTGGACTTGTAATGAACAACCGTAAGTATTTCATTAGCAGTGCTTAATATATCCGTCCTTCTATAACTGTGTTGTCATTATGATGCTGCCAATGACAGAGTCCAGCTCTTTCTTAGCATTTTATACCTGTGACCAGAGAGAAAATGACAGCGTATAAATGCTAAAGGGGTAAGGATTACAAGGGAGTAGATTTTGTAAAAAAACAACAATGAAAAAAACAACTCTTTGGAATACTATTTATCTATCACATCTTTCAAGGGATTGGTTATGTTTTGCTTGGTGCATACTGACATGGAGTAACATTGTGGTTTTAACATGAATACATTTACTAGTGGAGGGACGTATCCTTGTAATAACTTAATGCTGACCTTACTACTTCTAGAAATTGCTGAGAAAGCAGAATCAGAAGCACCAGCACCAGCAGCTGTGCCAGTCCCCGAGCCAGTGGAACAAGGTATGTGTTAACTTTTAATAGACTGCCCTTAGAAGTTGATGACATGATTGGTAATAAAGCCCCTTTTTCGAGGTGGAGCAGGGATGCGGATGGGTGTGAAGACCAAATCTGTGCAATAATACCAGGGTGGAATTAATAGTTGAGTTTGGTTTGTGTGAGAATATGGACATTCATTTTTATTGATTTACTTCATAAAATTTATAGACCACTTGATTGTAAAAACAAAACCAAAAACACCTAAAATGGGTTTTGCTAATTCTTACTGGTGCTTTTCAGAGAATATACATTATGTTGCTGCCTCTGGTTACATAGTCGGTCATGTTTGCTGTTGTAGTTAACACTACATTATATGAAATAATGCAACTAATTTTATGAGTTTCCTTTTTTTAAGATCCAGTTGAACCAGACCAAATAGTACAAGTATCTGTGGAGGACGGTAAGTGTTTGTTGTCTGATGAGTGGAAATCAACAGTTATTTGAAAATGTATCTTCATGCCTACAAAACCAAAAGGAAAAGAGCAAGGTGAAGCCCAACACTGCTCTCTTCCCTCTGACCCTGTAAAGTTGCTTGCTAGCTTTTCATTTTTTAATTTATTTTTATTGTCTATGGCTCAGTTGCTAGAGCAACATGAGATTCCTAATCTCAGGGACATGGGTTCAAGACCCATGTTGGACACAAAAGATTCCTTCATTGCAGGGGGTTGGACTCGATGACCCTGATGGTCCCTTCCAATTCTACAATTCTATTTCATGTGTTTCCATACTGTTTTATATTCAGAATTTCTAAGCGGTGCACATAAAATGTTTTTTTTTTAAGGCAAACACAAACCACACGAGAGTATAAGAACAATTAAAAGTAAACATAAAACCATAACATAACATAAAAGCTACTTTTAAAGTGGCTGCTGAAATAGCCATGAAGTAATTTCAGTGAAACAATTTGTAGCTCCGCCACTCTTGTTTGTGGTTAAAGATTCTGGCGGCCCATTCTTAAAATTATGTGGCATGGTTTTCATTGGTGGTTTGTGTTTGAATGGTGAATCATTTTGCAGCTGTGGCTTTTCTCGCTTTCAAGCAGCTGCTCTCTATAGTTCACTGAGACAAAATTACTATCACCTGGGAAACGAACAGTCTTCTTAATTAAGTTTATGCCGGAGCTTTGTTCCTCCTTGCTTATTTCCAGAAATTGCAATTTTCATTTACATTCTCAAATCCCCTTCCCTCTTTCTTCAGCGATCTGGTTGAAAGGCATCTAACGATCCTTTTTTTCTCCACAGATTCGGCACAGACTGAAGAAGACACTCAAATAAAACAAGAGCCAGACCCAACGTGGTAGACCTCGCCAATATTTAGGGTAAAAAAGTCATGAAGAAAATGGAGCGGCGGGTGGCATGCAGATGATTTTATAGATAGAAGGTGGATTGTACTCTTAATGTACAATTTACAACCCACGTTGTGTTCATATTGGCCTTTGTAGATTGCTTAACTCGGCAATACCCTGTTGCAATCTTAAATTTGTGCTCATTTTGTCCCTGGGCACACTTCATTTAATTTTAGCCCAGCTGAACCTTTAAAAGAGCAAGCTAAATGAGTGAAACAGGTTTAGCATGTCGAGTAGTCAATATTTTCATTGGACTTCTAGCTGCACTTGATTTAACTTCAATCCCTGCCTTTTTTATTCCCTCCTCACTGTTTAGTCAGAAGCTTCCAGGATTGCGAAGAGTTTGCTGGGACGGCCCTGAGCTGTGTAATATAGCTGTATAAGAGAAATACCTTCTATCCACCCTCCCCCAACCTCCTTTTTTTTGTATTTTTAGATAGAAATGTCTACTCTGTTCAAAAGTCCTGATAATTGACATGAAGCAATGAAATAATATTCACAATGGCTTGTTTTTTTAAAAAAAATAATTAATTGGAGGAAGAAATGCTGGATACATGGCTTAATGATTGTTAGCTTTTCATTAATATCAACAGGGACTTCCAAAAAATATCTGCCTTTCCAATTAAGACAGTCCATTAGATATCGAAGAAGAAAGAAATATGCCTATCGTAGTTCAGGTTTTATTTTTTTCTCCCAGTGGGAGTGGGTGGGTGTGGGAGTTGAAATTGTCCGCTGAATTTTTCTTTCTCTTTCTCCTTAATGGTTAATTGGATAATAGTATCTGTATATTTGAAATAATTTTTTTCCTATGATATATCTCTCAACTCATATGTTTTTAATAAATAAAAAAAAAACTGGTTTTCCTGGCATCTGCAGTGTTATTTATTTAATAACCTGGTAGTCTTTAGAGAGGGTAGTGGGAAGGATAGCATTAATTTCAAAGCAACGAGTGCTTGTGTTTAGATTATTTCTGCATACCAAGGTTCAGCTGCAAAGCTGTTGAGGCCTTAAGGCAGGGATGGATGGAAAATAAAGCAGGGTGGACCACTGAGTTAACCACATAACAGCGGCAAACTGTTTCCTTTCTAAGAATATTTGGCTAGGCAGAACTTGGGGGGCATTTAAGTAAAAGTGCACACTTGTTGATTGCTTAACACTTAGTTACACCTCCACTGTTGGACTCTGGGGAGTTATACCTTAATGCAGCCTGCTCCTGCTTCTTAAACTGCTGTAGACTACTGATACGCCACAAGTTAAATCCTCTGTCTTTCTGCAACATGTTCAAAAATGGCACAGTCCCCAAGAAGACATAGGAAGCTACTTTATACCAAGTCAGACCATTGGCCCATCTAACTCAGTATTGTCAACATGAACTGGCTTTAAAAAGAGTCAATCATTAAAAGACTGAAGGCAGAACAGAAAACATGTTCTAATTGTTGCAACCAAGAAAGCTTTAAACTACCAAGGCTGATTGTTAGTTTATCATTCATTCATTCATTCATTCATTCTGTTTTCTTCACGGAATTGTTGACTTCAAACTGAAAGTAGTATTTCTATGTCACATTTCCTTCCATGGGAAATGAAAGTGGTTAGATAAGGAAGAATGCTGTGAAGATTTTAAGGTGACGATGGGAGGTTAAAGTTCTTAAGGTGCAGACTGTGGAGATCTTATGGTGGAGACTGAACCGTTAATAAGACAAAGAACATTCAGTGTGGCATACGTTGCTGGGCATTCCATTGACTGTTGACATCTTACAGCAATTTTTGGATGAGCAATTAAAAGAGATTAGAGCTGAGATGGATGCAATGGTGAATGAAAACGGACCAAAGAAGGATGAAAAGGAAAATGGAATTTAAGAGGACTGAGACTTCGGAGAACATTTGTAGAGTGCCCCTCTCATTGTTAACATTCTGGAAAAATTATACAACATTCTTGTTTGCTCAGGCACCTGAACTTTCTGACGGTAAGAACTGTTTTACAGTGGAACAGACACCCTCGGAAGGTGGTGGATTCCACTTCATTGGGGGTTTTTAAGCAGATTTGAATGGTCATCTGTAAGGGATTCTTTAGTTGTGATTCCTGCATTGCAGGGGGTTGGACTAGGTGATCCTTGGGGATAGCTTCCAGCTACCAATTCTATGTGCTTTCCCACATAGCATTCAGAAAAAGTTGCACTGATAGTAAAACTTGGCTTAGTTACAGTGGTGAAAGTTCCTAAATTGTTGGTACCACCCCCTGATAAGGGACTAGAAGAAGAAAAGGTTGCAGTGTGTGTTTGCTTGTGCAAGGGTGTGCAGTGTGTGGTGTGTGTGGTTTGCAAATATGTGCATGGGTCTCAGAAGGTGGACAGCCAAGGCTTATATGGTAAAATCGACCAATTAGATCAGGGTGAGAGAAGTCAGACAAAGGCAAGTCTTCATATCCATTTATTTAAAGCACACTCGAAACAGGAGGCCTTTCCCTGCCTCCACTAAGGTCCTGGGAACTGTAGTTCATCCCTCACAGAACTCCCAGGAGTCATGTGCTTGAAATGTGTTGTGTGTATGCAGCCTCAAGCTGATTGAAAAATGGGATCTGCTGGTTTTGTACTGGAATAGCACAACACAGGGACGCGGGTGGCGCTGTGGGTTAAACCACAGAGCCTAGGACTTGCAGATTGGAAGGTCAGCAGTTTGAATCCCCGCGATGGGGTGAGCTCCCGTTGCTCTGTCCCTGCTCCTGCCAACCTAGCAGTTCAAAAGCACATCAAAGTGCAAGTAGATAACTAGTTACCACTCCAGCGGGAAGGTAAACAGCGTTTCCGTGCGCTGCTCTGGTTTGCCAGAAGCGGCTTAGTCATGCTGGCCACATACCTGGAAGCTGTACACCGGCTCCCTCGGCCAATAAAGTGAGATGAGCGCCGCAACCCCAGAGTCAGTCACAACTGGACCTAATGGTTAGGGGTCCCTTTACCTTTACCTTAGCACAACACAAGACTTAATAGATTCATACTTATTACTTGGGAATATTTGGTAACTCAGATATAATTATTTGATTATCTGGTAGTATAGACTTCATGCAAAGCTATATATTTCTATTTTTTAAAATGAGATACCTAATAACAGTCTGAGCACACTCAAGTTTATCAGAAACGCTGTACCATTAGTAGCTGGTATTTCTTGATACCTCAACATTTCCTTCACTGGAAAACAACATTTATATTCATGATTATGCTTAAAACTCTATTAAAAAGTTGTTTCCCCTTCAGAAGCTGTTCCTTCGCAAAAGCTTCTGAATCTAAAAAGACCCATTCTTACCCAACTTCCACATTCCTGACGAAGACAAAAGTCCCTAAAATACCTATAGACATTTGCACTTGGAAGAGAGAAGGTTTTAGAAATTCCCAGCGGTGAGGAGGAGGTTGGATTCTCCTTCGCCCCTCCCCAGGACCCATCCTAGTTATTTGATTTCCCTGTGCAGCTCACATAAGCGGCTGAGAGAGACACCCCCCCCCCGTGGCTTTAAAAGAGGAGGAGATCAAATCATGGAGGGTGTAAATGCAGCAGTAGCTAATAACCCTTGTGGCTACGCTCAATCTCCATTGCCAGAGGGAGTTTGCCTCTGAAAGCCACTTCCTGGAAACTGCAGGAGGGGCGAGGGCTCTCATGCTCAGATCCTGATTGCAGGCTTCCCAGAGACATCTAACCAAAGGACCACTATGAGAGCAGAACGTTGGACTAGATGGGACCAGGGCCTGATCCTGCATGCTTGCCTTTTGTTCTCCTTTGGGAAACTGAGCAGAACTGCTTCACGAGTCTTCCTGTGGCTCATTCGCCAGCTCCTGCCTCCTTAATTCTCCCCCTCCCGTCTTCCCACTCTGAAACTTAAATCATCCCCACACCAGTCTTCTCTCGCTCCCCTATCTGCAGACTTTCCAGTCTAGATAAACTCGGAAGTTCCCGGCAGGTGTTATCAAAACACAAAAAGCTTGCATTGTTTCCGCTTGCAGAATATCCGGCAAACGTGTGCTTCCTGGACGAGAACCAGCTGCTTTCATTTCTCATGCCGAGGCTGAGAAATAATAAGAAAAGAGAAGAGGTGTGCTAAAAATATTTTGGATTTCCCATCAAGCAAAGCCAAATCTTTGGCGAGGCTTGGTACACCTCCCTGGATGGGTTTTTCAACCAAAAAGTTCTGTGTGGGGTGGAGAAGCTTTTACTTCTCCAAGGATGGGTTACACTCAGTTTTTAAGTGCAGCTGGTGTTGAGAGGCTTCACCTGTGTACAGATTACCATTTCCTCTCACTCCAGTGTGCTTCCATTGCTGGTGTTTGAAGCCATGGACATGTGACATTAGTAATAATAATTATTATTATTATTTATTATTTATACCCCAACCACTCCAGGCAGCTCCCAACAGAATAATAATAATAAAGTGATAAAACATAAAACATTAAAAACTTCCCTAAATAGGGCTGCCTTCAGATGCCTTCTAAAAGTCAGGTAGTTGTTTATTTCCTTGACATCTGATGGGAGGGCGTTCCACAGGGCGGGCGCCACTACTGAGAAGACACAACTCATATCCATCCTGTCATTCCTTGGGAAATATGACTGTTAGATGCATTTTCTCTCAAAGCAGCTCATTTGGACATATGATCAGACAGATTGCCGACTGGTGTAAGAGCATTTTACACCAATCCTGGTCCAACTGCACTGGTTACCAGTTAATTTCTGGGCCTAATTCAGTGCTGGTTTTGATCTATAAAGCCTTATGTTGCTCAGGACCCTAATACCTCAAGGACTATCCCTATCACCACATGAGCTAACCCAGACCCTGCATTCATCATCTGAGGTCCTCCTCTCTGTGTCCACTCTGAGGGCGACCCAGAAGATGGCAACACAAGACAGGACCTTTTCTGTGGTGGCTCCCCGCTTACAGAATGCTTTCCAGGGAGGCATGCCTGGTACCATCACTAGCTACTTTTAGGCACTGGGCAGAAAACGTCCCTTTTCAGCTACGCTTGGGGGATTTAACTTGGAGAGTTTAAAATATTATGGTGTCTTTTAGTGGATGGCATGTGTTACACTGCTTTTTCTATGTGTGTTAATGCTTTCAGCTCTTGGAAGGGACGCGGGTGGCACTGTGGGTTAAACCACAGAGCCTAGGACTTGCCGATCTGAAGGTCGGTGGTTCGAATCCCAGCGACAGGGTGAGTTCCCGTTGCTCGGTCCCTGCTCCTGCCAACCTAGCAGTTTGAAAGCACGTCAAAGTGCAAGTAGATAAATAGGTACCGCTCCAGCAGGTAGGTAAATGGCATTTCCGTGTGCTGCTCTGGTTCGCCACATGACCTGGAAGCTGTACGCCGGCTCCCTCGGCCAATAAAGCGAGATGAGCTCCGCAACCCCAGAGTCGGTCACGACTGGACCTAATGGTCAGGGGTCCCTTTAATGCTTTCAGCTCTTTGTTTTAACTTTGCATTGGTTTTACATTTGTATTATAAGTTACATTTTATTTAATAATAAAAAAGGGTGACCAACAAGTTCAGATAACAATATTAGTTAATTAATCAAACAAACAATAGTAGAACTGTAGGGTTGGAAGATTGCAGCTAATGCAACATGCCTTTTAATGCAATGCCTTTGCACTTGGCATGTTTTCCACCAGAAGCTGCTGTATGATGGCCAAATGATTACAGAGAAGAGTTATTTCCAAGTTCACAACTGCCTTAGATCAACCTGTGTGACGCATGTTCAGAGAGACCTCAGTCCTGAGTGTGCTTCTTTGGAAGTTCCACAATATTCAATTGGACTCATCTTGAGTCTACGTGCTTCAGGTCATGTTCCAGAGTGACCACAGGATTCATTAATCATGGTTTCCCTTCTGTGATGC